AGATCATTTAATTTCTCTTTGTCTTTGTTCTGTATTTAAAATGTATTTCCTGTGTTTTTAAAAGCATAATGATTTAACAAAAACTAGGAAACAGTTTATGATATAATGTCTGTCTGAGTTTACAATTAATTGTTTTGTACTTCCAAAATGATCAAGTGTGACAGAAAAACATCACATGATAGTAGTTGAGTATGAACTGAGCATATCTTAGGAATAAGCTGGACAAAGTACTCAAAATGAGTATAACAGAAGAACCAGAGACTTTACCCACTATACAATTTCATTAAAATTTTAGTAGCTAAGAGCCTCTCAGATGTCAGACTAACCATGGTACCAACACATGTCCCAGGGCATTATATGAGATTATCCAGGATATAGTAGGCTGGTCCAATGGCACAATTATTATATGGGATATCCTATAGTACTAGAATATTAATATTTATATCCCAGTATTACTGGTTGTCCCATGGTGCCAGGCGTACATAGAGATGTCTCACTATTAGTAGAAAATGCATTTTTAGGCTATTATATGTGTAGTTTTTTATACTTTATTTCACTGTCATATTGTATAAGCTTTAACTATAAAAACAGTGACTAGAATACTGTAAATAAGTGTCTCAATTGCACTTTATATAAGGTAAAATATTCATAGAAAGCAGGATGTCAAGTTTTCATATGTATTTGTAATGTTATAAAGGCTATATTACTGTTAGTAGTATGTATAACAATTTTATTAGCTTATAGAGTAAGACAGGTTAAATAACAATGTTTATTCTCGTGTTTTAAAATTAATTTTACATTTTCTAACATAATGTTCAGATTAACATAATATAGTCTTTGGCATACAGTATATCATAGCTATACTATAACTTTCACTAAGTGTCTTAAAAAATAGAACAACTCAGTCTACTAATATACTAGCAAAGGAGGTATAATCTTGTCATGCCTTCTATCATATACTGTATTTGAATGAAAAAAGGCATTTTTTCAGTCAAGTTACACTCAGAAATACATTCACTGAATGACACCTTTGTAGTATGGGATATCACTTTATGTGATGGGATATCCCATATAAGGACCTGTCACTCTTAAACCTTACTACTTCAACTGTTAGTATAGATTTCTAGATAATTATAGTAGTTTAATAGAAACTTTAGGCTAAAGAAGGGACTAAGTATCTGTGAATTTATAAATCACATCTTAGGATGTACTGAAAATGAGAGATCTCACCTTATACAATGTGCAAATAACTTGCTTGTTTAGAGCACTATAGTCACTGTTTTTATAATCAAGACTTAGACAATATGACAGTGAAATAAAGTATAAAAAACTACACATAATAGCCTAAAAATGCATCTTTTACTAATAGTGGGACATCCCTATGTACCCCTGGCACTATAGGACAACCAGTAATACTGGAATATATATACCAATATCTCAGTACTATAAAATATCTCATATGATAATTATGCCATTAGACCAGTCTATACTTTACCTATGCCCTGGATAATCTCATATAATGCCCTGGGATATGTGTTAATACCATGGTCAGTGAAAGCCTGTCTGGTGTTGGCCAAACAGGAAACACTGAGAGGTAATACAATATCTCACAAACCAGACTGTAGATCTGGATGTATTGAACGAGAGCAGAAAGATTGTCAAGATGAGATATGAAGTGATATGTATGTAATGTTGCAGAGGTAATGTAGGTTTAGAACCAAAGAATTGAGATGATGTGCAGACGCAAAGTTGCCTACATAATAATATGTACAAATATGTGATGTAAGCAGCATGCTTACAGTTAGTCTGACATTTGAGAGACTCTTAGCTATAACACACTATAGATTATGTTGAAGTTAAGAGCTAGGTTAAAAGGGTACCCTGAAGCACTTTCTTATCAGAATGGACCCTAACCCTAAATGTCCCATTCAAATTTTGTGTTAAAATTTCATTCTTAAGGCTTCTTGAAGCAGTTTCTCATTACAGTCAGGATCTACTAGAATAATTTTTTCATATCTCAGTCATCATAATAGGGAGGTTCAAGTGTTTGTTAGACCCGTAAAACGTATACACATAATACAGGTATAGGAGGTCTGATTATATATACCTGCAAAATTTTTATAAATATTTGAGAAAGACTCAAATTGAACTGAATAAATTGGAGCATAATTGCTACATATATTCTGCAAGATAGCTACTCAAACTTGAACTTTGCATGTTAAACTTTGCTCTTAAGTATTATTTTACTTGTAAAATTGTCTAGTATATGCAGTAAACTACACATAGGTGCAGACATAGTAATAGTACAGGTTATAGTACAGGTTAGTGAGTGCTCCTGCCCATCCAGCCAGTAGTAGCCACTTATAGCAGAATTCCAGCAGTAATTCTGAGACTGCAAAAAAAGTGTAAGAAGTTTATATTCTCAGGCTCACCAGAGCTGCAGTGGACACAATATATAGCCAAAGTAGGCTAAAACTGAAAGTGTACAGCTAGATGGTGAGTGTAGGAAGATTAAAAGCACCTTGCTTAGGTAATCAGTAAACAATCCATGATGAGTAACAGTCATCAGAACTGATCCATTACAACCTGTGACTTTGTGCTATCTGCAGATCCATGTGCTTGTATGTATAATCAGAATCAGGCCTCTGTACTACAAAGGTAAACCTGTGTCCCTGCCTATGTAACAGTCATTCTGTCTTATTATGCTTGTGCAGGCCCTGCAACATTAGAAAACAGCCTAAGAGCCTCTAAAATGCTGCACTTCTGCATTTTTGAACTACAGTCCTAACAATTCCTACAAAAAAACAGAATCAACCAAGCCACCTTTCTGATGAAGGTAAAAGACCTAAAAATGCAAGAGCTGATTGATGTGCATTGGCAGGAGCACCCAACAAAACTTTGGATATAGTGGTGATCAATTCTGGTATTACAGCCTACTTACTGTGTTTCAAAAATAGGCTGAGTGCTGGTAAAAGGATCACTGTAAGGAGCCAAGCAAGCCTTTCATAAGGTAATGGTAAGAATGCAAAACTGCCAGTTGAAACATGTCATTGGAGCCATTGTTCTAAATGAGCAAAGGGCTTAACAGCAGTAAGCCACAATGCTGCCAAGCACTGAGACTCAAAGCATCCAAAAACTTTCTATGCCATACTAGACCACAGAAGCACTGAACATGCACACCATGGCTGCACTACTTCACTGATAGATCCAAGGCCACAACAGAATATGATCAAGAGGCATTATCAGGAAATTTAGGAGACCCAGGTATGACCAGGCAAAGTTGATAACCATATGACTGCCTGTCACCTCTCTCTGGGCATTTATTTAGACATTTAATATATTGTAGAGAACTGTCATTCATATGTGATAGTGTCAGATAACATCATTAAGATGAGGATATGACCAGATATTAAAATCTGGCAAAAATTATTGTAAAGCAATGACAAAATCCACAAAATCTGCAAGACTTGCAAAGCTTCAAAACTATAGCATCTAAAATAAGTACATGAAGAAGGTTCAAACTCAAGGTCTCGAGATCAAATCACATCACATATGTTAGCCTCACAATCTAACCAACTAGTCTATGCAGACACAGTCTTTGTCCCTAATCTAGAGTTATAACATAGTTTGTGGGACTAGGGCGAATTACAGAGCGGAGTTAGTGCAGAGTACAATTGCCTTTGCTTGCTGCAGTTTGAAGCATCTCTCATTTTCACTGCTGCTTTACTTCCATCTCCCTGCCTTTAAGACTGGTGCACTGCTTGGGCTCATTACTATTGGCCAAAGACAACAGACATGAAGATTACTCTAAAAGGCCATCTCTGTTGGTGAGAAGGCTGACCTTGGATCAGAACTGTGGAGGGCCCAACATTTGGCCAGGATCGTGGAGGGCCAACATTTAACCAGGACTGTGCAGGGCCGATGTTTGACTGAGACTGCAGAGGGCCGATGTTTGATCAAAATTGTAGCTTGTGAGCATGCAGAGCTTGGCTCACCAATGACTTGTGATGACTTGCAAGGATTGTGGATGACCGACAATGAGGACTATTCAGACAGCTGACCTGGACCATCAAGATGCCAGAATATTCACAGAATGGCTGCTGGGGTCAAGCGATAATGTGCAGGTGTTGTGTTGATACACTCTGCAGATTTGATAGTTGTGCTCACCATGTCTGCAATGTGGAACCTGGGGTGTAGCCATATGGGCACAGTTTTCATAGATAATGCAGATAGATTTACACTATAGCAAAAAATGTATATGTTTTCTTTTTAAGCATTATATAGGATCAATTATAATGCCTGATCTATGACAAAATGCATATGATCTGACAACTGCAAGCTATGCTAACTCCAATAACCCCATGGCATGCTGATGCTTTAGTTAGATGTTCACCAACTCAACTGTAAAAGGCCTGACTAGAATGAATGCAAGACTGACGCATATTGCAGAAATTATTTACATTACAATTGTAGCTAATGCCTTGTCACACCCTCATGTATTTTTTGATGATAGCCATTGGCATAGCAGAATAAGTGTCCATCCCGTGTTTGCTGCAGCCCCAATAGTTCAATTGATTCAATTAATAGCTACCGACATCACTAAAGATTTTAGCTGACTTCAGTCTATCTGATCACCAGATGAAGTAACAGCAGAAATAAGGTGTACACATAGAGTTCCAGAGTAACGAGAGAATGTTAGGGCTGGTGGTTTCCCAATCAGGAAACATATATTAGTCAGCACATAGGTATGTCGGAGAACATACTGGAATCTCCTAGAATTACTGTGTAGTATAAATATATGGCCCCAACCGCATGAGCTCCTCATGCGCTTGTGACCCATGGCCTAACAGCCGAGTGAGTAGTAGTGATCAACCTCACAATAGAGAATACTAAGTTTGTTGGGAATGCCTGGAGGAAGCAATCTGAGGGCACCCATAGAGCCCGTCACAGCGGGGAATAATTATGTAAGGGAACTTTATATCGAATGTATATAAAGAAATCTATTTCGGGAACCCGGCTGAGTAATCAGGTCTTCCCTTAATCTGAGACATCATCGCGATATTCTCTGGGATTTTACCTATTATTCTCAACAGGTTATGAGCCTCGAGACCATCTAAACCTCGGACTTGTATCCTACTGCTGCTAACGAAGAATAAAACTATCCTCACCCATACAAGAAAAACTACCCCTGTTCTGGGCAACATAATGTCGAACGATGACAAGGAATTCCGAACAGTATGTATCGGATCCATCCTCTGAAGGAGGACAACTGGATACCGTGAAAGAGGCACATGACCGCGTTCCTGGACGAGAAGAGCTTCTCGGCTATGTCACCAGTGAGATACAGAAACTGGAGCTGAGCGCTAATCCGAATACCAGAGAAGCACGCGATGCCGAGATTTAGAAGTGGGGTGAGAAGGATCAGAGAGCGAGGAATTTGATCATCATGTGCCTGGACAATGCACAGGTGATCCATACGGAAGGAGCGACAATGGCACATCATATGTGGAATCTGCTTCGCACGGTAAAGGAGCTGAAAGGACAACATGGGATTATAGCGTTGAGTCGAGTTTTCTACGATTACCATGCTGATAAAGGCGTGAATATCCCAAAGCACATCATCAAGCTTCGGGAGATACGTGAGCAATTACAGATGATGGGAAAGCAAATAACGGATGCAGATTTTAATGGGATCCTCATCAAGTCCCTGCCCAGCAGCTGGAACTCATATATGGCATCGTACACTGGTGCGATGAGTTTTCAGCCAAACTCTCCGCCAATGATGGCACCGGAATTGATCGCTGTAGTCATCGGCGAATATAGGCGCCGTCTCGACCACGATCAGCATGTCGAGCCAGAGCAAGTGCTTACCGCTCAGAGCCAGAAGCGGAAGCGAGACTCGATAAAGAAATGTTCCATCTGTCATAAGATGGAACACACGGCTAACAAATGCCGAAACCGAGGCAAGCCCATCTGTTCCAATTGCAGAAAGTTCGGGCATATTGGGAAAGATTGTTGGGCCAAGGGCAGCGGCAAGGAGGGACAAGTGCCTTCCAGAGCAGGACCGTCCAATGCCCCATATCGAGGCGCATCATCCGGAGAACCTCCATACAAGCGCTGAAAATTCGAGCAGACACGCGATGCCAGTGGCAAAGGCAAGGACAGAGCGCACATTGCACACGAGAATGATAAAGAAGATCGCGATAGCGATATGGTATCCTTAGGCACTAGCTCTGGGAATGAAGATTTCGATTCCTTTTACAACTGGTATGCCGATTCAGCGACAACGTCGCATGTCGCGAAAAATCGCAATATATTCATAACCTACAAACCCCTCGAGCATCACGCGATAAGCAGACTTGGCACTGTCCAAGCCTATGGATAGGAAACTGTACAGCTCAAAAGTAAAGTAGGAAATAGAAGAATTAAGTTCCAATTGCGCGATGTACTATATGCACTGCGGTCCCCCTGCAATTTACTTTCAATACCAAGACTTGACGAAGCCGGTGGCCGAACAGTCATGGGAGATCGGTGCGCAATCTTAATTGATCGCCGTGGAAAAACCCTTGCTGTCGCCAAAATGAGAGGTAGATTATATTTATTGCACGCCCGAGCAGTTAAGCTGCAACAAGGGAGTGCATACATAGTGTCCGAGAACAACCCGCACACCTGGGAAGAGTGGCACCAATCATATGGACACATCAGCAAATCCGCGCTACAAACTTTGCAGTGCGACCATCTAGTCGAGGGCTTACAATTTCTGCCCGGCCCGGCTAATATCGAATGCGCTGCATACATTCAGGGAAAGGCATCAAAGAAGCCATTCCCTAAAGCATCAAGCAGGAGAAGCCATCAGCCCGGTGAGTTCACACATGTCTGGGGCCCAGTGCGGACCACTGCAATAGGCGGGTGGAGATATTTTGTAACCTTCACAGATGATTACACAAGACAAAGCACAGTCGTGTTTACCAAAATGAAGGATGAAACTACAGACAAGGTAAAGAATTATATGACCTACCTTGATCAACGTTTTGGGAACAAACCACGAAAACTCCGCGTAGACAATGGGCGAGAATATATTAACACCGAATTAATGAATTGGTGTGCCGCCCATGGGATTGAGATAGAGATGACTGCGCCGTACTCTCCATCTCAAAACGGAGTTGTAGAGCGTCTCAATCGAACGCTACTTGCCCTCACGAGATCAATGATCTACGCGAAGGATCTACCACATTATCTATGGGCCGAGGCTGTATCACACGCAGCCTACATTAAAAATCAAGCACCCACCAGTGCGCTCGACCATGCCACCCCTGAAGAGAAGTGGAACCAATCAAAGCCAAATATATCTCATTTACGAGAATTTGGCAGCATCATTTGGGTCCTCACAGAGGACATCGCGCTCTCGAAGCTCACACCAAGAGCCAGTAAATATGTATTTGTTGGCTACATAGATGGGCCGAACACTATTAAATATTATGATGCCAAAATGCATCAAATAAAAACGACGCGAAATTACCACTTCACTAACTGGGATCCATCTCCAAATAATGTGACATCATTGCAATTGCGTGAGAGAGAAGGACCCGATGCCCCACAATCGAGGACTGCAGACATGCAGCGCAAGGGGGAGTCTTCAGATTCAGGGGGAGACACGCTACAGTCCTCCGTCAATAACCCGCTAAAGCGCAGATGCAAAGAAGACGAGGATAGAGATGCACCCAATGAAAATAAGCCCAGATGAAGCAAGCGTGTAACTGTCAGACCAGATTACCAGTTGCTAAATGATCCCGACGCTGACGCCAAAGATAATGCGGACACAGACGCCGAGGATAATGATAGTGCATCAATCGCCGATCTCATATATGTGGCGATGAGTGAAGAAAATATGGAGGCTAATGAGCCTAAATCGCTCAACAATGCGAAGAACTCACCCGAATGGCCAAAGTGGGAGATGGCTGTTCAAGCGGAACTTGAGCAACTACACAACATGGGCACTTGGGAATTAGTGGACTTACCCCAAGGGAGAACTCCGGTAGGCAACAAATGGGTCCTGGTAAAGAAAACGAACAGAGAGGGAGAGGTAATTAAATTTAAGGCGCATTTAGTCGCTAAAGGCTACTCACAGATTCCGGGAATGGACTACATGGAAACATATTCTCCGGTGGTCCGTCTCGAGACAATCCGCTGAAGGGACGCATAGCGCGCTGAAGCAGGGATCACATCTGCAAAGCGGTCTCACATTTTGGAGATACCACAGGGCGCTACACAACAGACCCTAGTCTGACAGTAATTGGAAGCTGGTTATCGGAGGAGGGAACGCTACGAGCCCGAAAGCTATTTCTAACTCCTCAACTACGATCTGCAACCACCTCAAAGTACCATCCGCCAACTCGCATCTACCGGTGATCTCGCGCATGATGTCGTACAGTTCGCGGGCCACATTGCACAATGTCTCAACCCAAAGGTGCAAGGTTCCTGATGACAATAAAGCAAAACTAAGGAACGCGATCCCAGGAAAATGGGGATAGGATGACTGCGCACCAATGTCAGGGAGGCCATCCGGTGGGTGACCCAAACCAAAGTCCTCGCGGTCAGCGGGGTCATCGTATAGAACACGTGCAGTCAAACCACGAGGAATGACAGCAGGAAGGTGGTCAGCAATCCGAGAGACCATTCGACGACCGGCTTCCACAGTGCGGGTCGTCGCAAGATGTATTTCCACTTGGGCGAGGACAGGAATATCGAGCGGAAGGGGTAGGATGATCCCCACGCTGGCCGCTTCGGACTGGGCTTGGACCATGAAGACCTGAGGGATGTGTGAGGACTGGACAATGAAGGAACATGTGCTTGCAGGGGCCTCACCAGCAGGACGTGCATTCGGACGGCCCATGCTTTCCACAGGATTGGGTCGAAGGGCTCGGTAAGGATGACGCTGGCATCCATGGATGAGAGATTGAGTTCAGGATGGGAGATATGTCTCCGAGGCGGGTGGGTGTTTATTAGACACTCGGGCGGGCATGGTGAAGGATGACCCCTCAGATTGAGTAGGAGCATGAGGGGACGAGATTGCGAGATATGATGTGATGGGCAGTGATTCAGCAGAGTGATTGTTAAGCAGATGCGGGCAGTATCGGGAGGGCAGGAAAAGGGTCAGGACCGGTTTAAGTATGAGGGCAGGGGAAGAGGTCGGGGGAAAACGAACCGTCCCAAAAGGTATGCTTGCGAAAAGACTCATTTCACATTCCCATCCCATCCAGTTAGTGCATCTTTGGGCAGTCTTGCATTTTGTGCGTTTTCTGGGCAGTCTTGCATTTCTGCATTTTAGCATTCTCCTTAGGGCAGTGCGATTTTAGTCCGACGCGTTGTCCAGCGATCATTGCGACTACAGAGATTTTCCTAGCTACGCTTTTGGGCCACCCACCTCATACCTCTGGAATAGACTCTTCTCCCTCATTGCATCTCAGACCCCACACGGACTTGATTCCGCTCGTACTCCTCCTTTCCGGCTTGTGACGGAACAACAATCTCGTCACTGCGCAATTCTCGGGCTAGCCGCAATTCTCGATTGGGATATCCAACACATGGACGTCAAGGGCGCATACCTGAATGGTATCCTAAAAGAGAAAATTTATATGCGCCAGCTGGAGGGATTTAGCGACGGAACACACTGAGTATGCCGCATGCGGAAAACCCTCTATGGACTCAAACAAGCTGGATGCGAATGGAATATAATACTGAACCGCAAATTACTCGACGCGGGATTCAGACGACTATTCGCGGACCCATGCGCGTACATCAGGACAAGAGATGGAAAAACAGAAATTGTCACTGTATGGGTGGACAATTTATTACTGTTCACAAATGATTGCGACCTCATGGACCACCTGAAAAAGGAAATCCAAAGTATGTTTGAAGTTACCGATCTAGGCGAGCCCAAGAAGATCGTAGGAATAGAGATCGTGCGAAACCGAAAAATGAAAACAATAAAGGTATCACAAAACAAATATATTGATTCTATCCTACGAAGACACGGACTCGAGAACGCGAATCCGGTAGGGATGCCTCTCGACCCGAACGTCACCCTCGAGAAAGATAAGGATGATGCAAATGAGGCACCAAGCCGAGACAGCGGATATGCTTTGCTGATCGGATCTCTGATGTATGCGGCAGTAGCCACACGACCGGATATCACATATGCTATCCAAAGATTGAGCTCGTTCACGGCTAGGCTGAACCTGACCCACTGGACAGCCGCCAAATGTGTGCTCCGCTACTTAGCAGGCACACGTGAAGCCGGAATAGTATACAGTCCAGCAGATAATGAAGGGCGTGATGCAGATGTGCTCATCAGGTACACAGATGCGGACTTCGCGAATAACATTCGTGACCGTAAATCTATTTCAGGATACGTTTACAAAATAGGAAGAGGCGCGATAACATGGAGTTCGAAGAAGCAAACAATGGTCGCTTCTTCGTCCACAGAAGCGGAATATATGGCATCCGCTCTCGGAGCAAGGGAAGCCATCTGGCTATGAAATCTATTTAAGGAAATAGGCTTCGACCAGGAACAGCCGACGATTGTCTACGGAGACAACATGGCTGTGATCTCAATCGCCTACGATCCACAGTATCACGCGTGCTCAAAACATTTTGATATAAAGTATCATTATGTGCGAGAAGAGATAAATGATGGAAAAATGGAAATAATCTACTGCCCTACAGAAGATATGGTAGCCGATATTTTTACCAAACCCCTAGCAAAGCCAAGGCACCAAAAGCTTATGGAAATGCTTGGGATGCCCATCGGCCCGAGGGGGAGTGTTGGGAATGCCCGGAGGAAGCGATCCGAGGGCACCCATGGAGCCCGCCACAGCGGGGAATAATTATGTAAGGGAACTTTATATAGAATGTATATAAAGAAATCTATTTCGGGAACCCGGCTGAGTAATCGGGTCTTCCCTTAATCCGAGACATCATCGCGATATTCTCTGGGATTTTACCTATTATTCTCAACAAAGTTGAGTTCAGGAAAGTGAGCGCTATCATTGGCCGCCATGACTCAGTGGGCGATTTAGAAAAAGCGCGCGTCACGAACCGCGTGATCAGTGACAGACGCGCGGATAGATCACGGTGTCGCCATCCATGATGAATCTTGATCCCTCACCACATAGGCGGCCGCAGACACTGAAATGCTACTGTTCGGTCCGATTGATCCTGATATTTTCCCGGAAACCTGACATAGGACGACAAATAGCTCTCAACTGTTAGGTTTCCCGCAAGCGCAAGTAGTTGTTGGGCGGTACCTGAGACATCCGAGTCCTTCGCGAGGAAGTACGTGTCTTTACAACCGATTCCAAGATGATGGAAGATTTTGAGGAGAAGCAGATATGAGGGACAGCTTCACAAAAATACACCACATCACCCACATCCAGACCACCGCCATTCTTCGTGGCTCTGATATCAACGCTGGGTCGCAACGATCTGGTCGCAACCTGTGGTACCGCAAAAACTATGGGAATTTAGAAGAGAGGGCAGGTATTTTGTGCCGTCTTACAACACCCTATCATGTTGGAATCACTCGTGAATTGACTACATCCGCTGTGTTGATGTGTAACATCTCACGTTTCACTGAGCGGGGCAAATAAGGACGATGATAACCTATGCTATCGTTCTGCAATTAGTCCACTGGACACAGGTGAGCATGTGCATTCATGGTAGTTTCATTAACAATCGTGCCTACTTCTACTCACGAGCTCTGGGAAGGACAGTAGCAGTGTCCTACATAGCGCTGTTAACGATCGTGAACCGGATGTCCGAGGCATTTCCGGATTTCAATCTGGCGCCTTTCTCAATGGAGCGCTTTGTGGCAGTATTCCTTGACGCCTGATAGTACAATTGGCGAAGCAAGATACCAACACCTGGCAGTCTGTTGGAAGACTCTGCCGCTGCTTGCTTTCTCAGAGCGCAGGTCAGGCTGTCTCTCGTCATTCTGCTTCTGACATCGAGTTCTAGTGCAACCTAGCATCTCTGTATCCCGAATACAACCGCCTGCTTGACTTCTTTGCTTTATGGAGGAACATTCACCTATTGTTAGGTAAACATCCGACTGGGCGAGGCGCAGAAGTTGGTCATGGTGCTCGGAACAACTGATTATCATTGCAAGAACACCAGTGAGCGCCACGTTGAAACATCATGGATGGCACTGCAAGCATCTTTATCCATGAAAATTTCCTCGGTGTGCGACTAGGCGGAGCGGTATAAGAGGACCGTCCATTCTCAGCCAGTCTCCAGCTCTCATTCCTTCGCTTTCTGAGCCAAAGACTTACGAGTCGGTACTGGATAGTGAGTCTTGTAACCTGCCCTGTCTTCAGGGGACTTTTCGAACTGACGAATACCTGGCAGCCTGACTTGTTTTTCGTTCATTTTCACATTTTATTTCACTACTTCATCCACGTTCAACTTCGACTCCATTCAACGACTCCACCCTAGTCTCCCCGAAGCTCTTATCTTCATTGATCAATCACGATGCGTTCCACCACCGTTGTCTCTGCTCTCTTCGTCGCAGCTTGCGCTGCTCCTTCCCTAGCGCTCCCCGTCGCACCAGCAGGGTATGTCTCGACTAACGCTTGTACATTAATTCCTCTGACATGGATTTTGGATTTACAGTGGTAGCGAGGCCCTTAACTGGTACAAGGTCGGCAATGCTGCGGGTGCCGTTGGAAAGACACTCCTTCACTCCCTGCGCGAGGAGGATGCTCTCATGGCGCGTGGCCATGCCGGCAGCAGCGAGAAAATCAACGGGCGTCCCCCGCACCCCCGTCCCTTCGGCCCCGCCCGTCCATGGCCCGTCCATTCGCCCCGAGCTGCGCCCGCGGGCAGCGAGGCCGTCAACTGGAAAAAGGTCGGCAGCGTCGCGGGCAGCGTCGGGAAGACGCTCCTCCACTTCCTGCGCGAACAGGACCCAATCATGGCCCGCGCGTTCGAGGAGGAGCTGCTGGCCCGCGGCGCCGCCGAGGCCGGGTCGGAGGCGATCAACTGGCGGAAAGCGGGCAGCGTCGTGGGCAGCGTCGGGAAGACGCTGCTGCACTCCCTGCGGGAGGAGGACCCCATCCTGGCTCGTGCGTTTGAGGAGGAGCTGTTGGCTCGCGCAGAGGGCAGCGAGGCGATCAACTGGCACAACATTGGGCACAACGCCAAGGAATTCGGGCAGGGTCTGATCCACGGTGCGCGGGCTGACGAACTCATCGCTCGCGCAGAGGCGCAGGGCAGCGAGGCGATTAACTGGCACAAGTTCGGGCAGAACGCCAAGGACTTTGGCAAGGGTCTGGCCCAAAGTGTGCACAGCGCGCGGGCCGACGAACTTATCGCTCGCGCGGAGGCGGAGGGCAGCGAGGCGATCAACTGGCACAACATTGGGCACAACGCCAAGGAATTCGGGCAGGGTCTGATCCACGGTGCGCGGGCTGACGAACTCATCGCTCGCGCAGAGGCGCAGGGCAGCGAGGCGATCAACTGGCACAAGTTCGGGCAGAACGCCAAGGACTTTGGCAAGGGTCTGGCCCAAAGTGTGCACAGCGCGCGGGCCGACGAACTTATCGCTCGCGCGGAGGCGGAGGGCAGCGAGGCGATCAACTGGCACAACGTTGGGCACAACGCCAAGGACTTCGGGGAAGGTATGATCCACGGTGCACGCGGTTTCGTGTTGAATGGGCTGGATTAAGCGGTAGTTGCTGCTGGTCATCGTCCGGAAGATGGATGCCGGTGGTGGTCTCATTGTGCTGATACTAGTAGTCGAGTTGTAGGATCTGAAATACGATGTGTTTGGCTCTGGGGCCTGAGAACTCAGCCGTCGTCTGCGTGTCTTTATGGGCCTCAGTGAGAGTCACGGTGCGCTGGGGTGCGTTGTTGTGGTTTGCACGACAGCGCTGTGCTACTACCAACGTGCCGAAGCGCGCACGCATCGAGTTCGTTGTCGAGGACGAATGAATCACACTGTTGCCGAAATTCACGCTGGCAAACAAGGTAACTTCCAAAATACACCGTACCACCGAAGAGGTGGCTAATACTAGGTAAATACAGAATAACCCTTCCACGGATCATCGAGGCACGAGAGCACTAATAGTATACGACAGCGATGCGGCAATGTGACAGCAGAAATTTCTTCGGAAACAGAGCGAGGGGATAGCGACATATGGTTCGAGTCTCAGAACCTAGCCGATAGAGTCGCGGCGCAGCCCGACGAGCGCCGAGGGATTGCCCACCGGGGGACCAGGGACGCCATGGTGAGCGCGAAGCATTTCACGGAGCGCCTCGTTCTGTACCGAGTCTCAATCAGCATGGGAGAAGAAAGACAGAAGGAGGGGTGAAGGGTGGACGTACGGAGCGCTGAAGCTGGAGGCGCCTCAGCCGGTGCTCGGACACGTCGCGCTCGAGGGCGGCGACCATACTCTTGGAGTGGAAAGACGTGCGTGTCAATACGCGGCGAGAGCTAAACGGAAGGGCGGAACGCGGCTTACCTTGGCTGTCTTAGAGTTGAGGCCTGAGGCCTGAGAATTCAATTACTTACAAGTTGTCTGTGCCTCTTTATAGCCCGTGACGGTGCACTGACGGACGTCCGAGATGCAATGAGAATATTATTTAGACAGCCGGGGAAAAAATACATAACATAAGGTGGGTCCATTTGCACCTACAATAGTTGACCACGCGCGTAGGGTCGTTTTACTTGAAACTATCAACGACGTTTATTCGAGCAACAGTAGCGAAGGCGAGACACTTAAAGGTCACCCCACCTTATTGAGCTAGCATCATCATAAGCTCGCGTCACGCAAGCACGTGTTTCGTGACAGACGCGCACGCTGATCAGCAATTTCAGAATAATTCACTGTTCATTGCGATTCTGCGAACTCTACGCATAATAATACTACATCTTGACTACAGTAACTAACAGTAAGTACCTCGACACAAAGTCCATCGAGCGATCAGCATACAACAGCCCATCAGTAACGCCATATGAGAGTGCGAGAAACAGCGACAACAGAAGACGCGAATAAAAAAGCAGTAAGTTTAGCAAAGCGAATGAACGGCAGCGACGAGATCGCGCGTGCGTGTATATGCATCTTCAGTTCGGGCGGATATGTAGGATACGAAGCAGGATATAGGCCGAGATCCGAGCGACGAGGCGAGGCGTGGGAACGCAGACTGCAAATGCCGGGAAATGGAGCGAGATGGAGCGATATTGTGAGAGACGACCCATGGAGATGCGAGCGTGAATATGAAACCTTGGAGCAGGCGCGAGAAAGAGACGCAGGATTGGAGGCAAACGCAGCCTCAATAAGTAACAGTCCGATGATGATAACGAAGCGAGGTGACCGGAAGCGACAAAGAAATGATTGTGCTTTTTTGAGAAAGCTCAGCGCGTCGACATCCTGGGTGGAGGTGCGCGATAATGGTACAACGTCGAACCTCCATCACGGTGCGGCCCCTGTCCCTGGACATGGTGCGCACCCGGCACAAACAACGCCCCGCGGTTATGCGAGCTGCGTTCCTTGCGGCGGAGGTGCGTCGGCGGCGGGAACGGTTCAGGGAGTCCTTGGTTGGGCCCATCGGAGTAGAAGATCTTGGGGCGCCATGACTCGCGCTCGTCCATGATACAGGAGTTCTTGAACTTCTCGACAGCAGCTTCTTTTCCCCTACACAAGATACAAATCAGAAGGGCGCAAGGTCTGAGAGCGAGATGGCGACATACTGATAGGTAGCGTAGCACATCTGCAGGACCTTCTCACTCGAGTACATGTTCCTGTGTTTTACGATTAGTACACAGGATTAACGCGACTGCGTAGTGAAGAATCTTACCACTTGACCCCAAGCTGCGTCTTCGCGAAGTGCAACAGATCGCCGACCGAGATGAAATTCACAAACGCATATCCAACATTGCAACCTACACGCACACCACCGCCATCAGCCAATGACGAGCGCACACGCCCGACGGACTCACCGTTCTGGAAATCCATCCGCAAATACAAGAAGTCAATGCGCCTGGGGCAGACCTTGTTAATGAACGCCATCAGATCCTTGTCGCTCATCTTGTTCGGGATGTTCTTGACCATGACTGTCGTGCGCATATCTTTCCCCTCCTCAATCGCCGCAATATTCAGCTGGTTCTTGTCGTTGCCTTGTTGCATAGCTGCCCCCAGCTGACCCTGCGTGTCTCGCTCAGAGAAATCCAACGCTGAGGCGGTGTAGGAATGGAAGGCGTGCACGTCAGATGTGGTCCCGTATGCACTGATCCCGCCGAAGTCTGTCTGTCCAGGGTACCCCTGTTGCTGATACTGGCGCTGGTGGTCGGAGTGCACTGCCTTGCGCGGAGTGGAGGGGTAAGGCTGGTACGCTGCAACGCGGGGCGAGGGAGGAAGGTAGTACTCGATCGTCGGCGCAGGGGGTGCGGCGAACGCCCAATGGCTGCTTGCCGCGACATCCGCATCCATGGTCCCGTACATTCGGACCTCGGGTGCATACATCGATTGCGAGTATGCGTACGATGGAGCGGCATAGAGTGGGGCAGAGGCAGAAGAATGGCCTTGAGAGTAGGGGTGTTCCGAATAGTGGTACGCAGGAGTACTCGCATTATACCCGAGCGCTGGGCGGGTAGACCGCACCATATTGTCAGTACCGATACTGATGCTCCTTGGCCTGGACGGTGTCTCAAGAAGAGCGCTAGTCTACATTACGCCACTCAACTCATGATACCTGACAATACAAAGCAGTGAACCATACCTTTCCAATAGCGTCAAAGAACAGATCATTGGAAGGACGCCTGCCGTGTTCTGTAGGCGACTCCCGTCCCTTCCACGACCTATAAACGGCATCAGGAGCGCCCATGGTTTCACTGGCACTGACGCTGCGAGGTCTCACTCTCCCTACACGCCTGTCAGCACCCCTTCGACATCAGTTTTACACGGGGGACGTACCTTGTAAAGAGCGTTCAGTCTCTTGCTGAGCTGTACCATTCAGCGAGAACATGGCCGGCTGATGAGAACTACCGGCTGCCAATAAAGAGTCGTCCGCGGACTGATATCGGTCCGTGTCCTTCCTGGAGAGGCGCAATCGAGCATTCAGGATAGTGCGATTGTTGAGTTGCTTGAACACAGACGCCGTAGTGCGAACATCGTAGTACTCTACAAGGTATGTCTACCGCATATAGGGAAAGACGGTCAATGAGTGCTCATTTTGAGTGCGCACGTTCTTCCTCACCTGGTCATGCGGGTCGGCTCCGACGGCCTCAAAGGATATCAACTCGCCGAAAGACGCAAGCACATTGCGCAGGCTAGCAGCGTCAACGACGCAGTCTTCGACAGTGACGTATATGGCCCCATCCATCTCTGTGACGAACGGGGACCTGCCTGTGAGCTACGAAAAAAAATTGACGAATCAGCGCAGTTAGAATACGGAGGGGAGAATGTTTATTCCCCGATGTGGGAAAACACTCACAATATCAAGCTGTTCTCCGGTGACGAATCCCGCCTCGAGACAGACGTCTTCCAAACCCGGAAGGGTCTGCCCAGAGATCTGACTCTTGGCGCGAGTCGCCTCTCGCACATCAAAGAAGGCAAGTAGGATAACACTATGAGAAACCTGAAAACGGACGAATATGCCCTTGATGTCTCCCATCGACGAAAACGCCATCCGCAGCGTCGCGAAAGAGGTAGAGGGAGGGACATTCTTGACCTGTTGATTAAAAAGGTGGGTATATGCTACAGAAACGAGGTTGATGATGTAATCGCAACGTGCACTCACCATCAAGAACCGACTCGGAGTCGTCTCGGTGACTCTCAAGTCATTAACCGCATCCAATGGGTGCTCTTGGCTCAGTGCAAGCTTCCTCTCGTCGCGGGGGGTCAAGTCCAAGTCGGATATACCTGCAGCCAATGCAGAAGCCAGATCTGCTGCGTCAGATTGCCCAGAAAGACCTGGAGAATAGCTGGGTTCGCCATCTGACGAAATGGAGTGCGTACGGCCGCTAGAGGGAGTGAGATATCCGGCCCTGGGGAGCGAGCGATTTCCCTTCAAGCTGGTAGGAGAATAATCTGCATCAGCGATGAGAGTGGTGTCGGAGAAGGAGTCGACCGCATGGTGGATCCAGCGGAGCGGAGAGGTTGCCTCAGGCGGAGTCGAGGGCGCCTCGTGAGTGTTGGAGTTGAAGGAAGAGGATGGAGTGAGCGGCGGGGTAAGCATAGAGGGAACGCGGGAAGGAGAGCGGGAAGGCTCAGCCTTGACGGGAGTCGCGTACGGGCCACGCAATTTGGTAGGAGAAGAAGTGGGAGAAGAAGCAAGGTCGAGGGGACGGAGATGAGGGCGATAGCGAACTTGGTGCCGGGGAGCCAGATGGTGAGGAAGCGGGCCATTATGAGCGGGAAGCCTGTTATCGGCAGAACGGAGAAGAGATCATTACGAAATTGACAAATATCATACGGATATCAGTACAGCCAAAAATACGAAATAACGAAGCGACCTACCAAAGATTGGGAAGAGACGGAGAGGAATGCACGCGTGAAGGAATCGCGGGGCGCGAGTCCATGTTTTGCGACTTATGACAAGAAGACGGAGATACGTAAGCGGAGATATACATGGCACAAAGATGCTACCAGCGATCAAAAAGGGACTTCTACTGACCTCTTCTGCCTGATGGAGCAAGGACGGGAAGGGGACTGGAGAACGATCCATCGGAGCCGATATACTTCAAGTGCTGGGAAGGGCCGCCGAGCTCTGGGTATAAACGGGGGGCAAGAATAGTGACAAGAAGTGCGGCGGGGTATGTCAGTACGCGGGGTCAGACAAGCAGCAGTGCGTGGTCAAGAGCAAGAGGACAAGAGCGCAGGGCGAAGGGTGGCCGAGACGCAGAGGGTTTATATACGGTGCGTGGGTGGAAATGAACGTGATTTGGCGGAAGAAGGGCAGGCAGAACGACGCAAAGGAAAAGGACAGAGAACGAGGGCGAGATGGGCTCAGATCTGGCTGCGATTCTTGTACAGTCTTTTTTCGAAGTAATTTGCGGATCCCGCGGGGACCATCCCTGCTTCAGGACAAGGGCTGCCGTGGGCCGGATCAGGACCGCCCCTTGCCTTTTTTTCTCTGCGGAGGCGGCGCAGGTCAGCCCCCGGGCTCCTCCCAGGCGCCCATCGGCGGCAACCTGGCAGCGGCGCTTTCCCGAGCCCTTCCTGCCTCTTTCAGCCATAAATGTCCCCAATCCGGGTGTGAATGCCTCGTCGTCCATAATTCATCCGCGAGCAATTCGTATCCAGCACCCGAGGAATATTTCCCGGGATATTCGGTCGCGGGCCCAGTATGGCAAGCGCATTAATGCCCGTCGAATGGAAGGGTGGAATCGACCACCACCGCGCCACATAACACGCATGGTACCGTGCATAACGCGTATAGCCACATGCAAGACGCCCCCGCAGAGTCCGAAGTCGCGACGGCGATGGTCGAGGAGCACAATATTCGTTGCACATGGGTCGTCGAGCAACGTCGAGGCTATCCGTTGATGTAACTATTAGGACAGCCAGGTAGGTACGGGCAGAGTGGCAATTGAGCGCGACGACAGGACCACATCGCGCTCGAGGTGACACCGTTGACGGCAGAAGACAGTCATGTTCCCACGCCACCGACGCGCTTCTCTTCCCGCGACTCCCCCTCGCGGTGTTCCAATCTTCCGTCCAAACATTCCTCTCGCTCACAGCAGACCACCGACCCCACTTTATTGTTGTTCAGCATAGCTGTGCAATGTGGCGGTCAGCTAGTCTCTGCAATTTTTCTGCGGGTGCCCCACGATCCGCTATGTCCGAGCATGTTGAAGGGCGCAGAAGCAGCGGAGAAGCGCGTGCCACAGCCAGATCTCCCTGTTGATCTCGGAACACAGTTCGGCGGACGCGCCACCAAGCCGCAGGCTACGCAACGTCGTCGAAGCTCCTGCAGTGCCCGATCGATGGCGTGTTAAATGAGCTCTTCGTGCACTACCTATCCATCAAGGTTTCCCAGTCGTCGAAGGTCTGTCGTCCATCATCGTGGTCGCAGCTATACTTTGTGACACAGGCCGTTCAGCGTGAACCTAGTAGTTGCTGATTGAGACAATATCCATGCAACCCACTGCGCGGATAGGTCGTCAGCGCGTCAGCGCCAGCGGCCATTGCGTATGTATTCGAGCGCGGTAACTTCTCGGTAACTTCGACAGCACCTTCTTGAACGTCGACGTCTGGTCAATGTAGTGGTGCAGATCGGCAGCTGACGGGTACATCATCTGCACGTACATGTGATAGACTGTCACGGCGCAGCAGAACCGAACCTTTCACAGCTTCGCGAGGCGACAAGATCACTCGGTGCGCCGTGCGCAGAAGACCCGCCGTCACGCTGCGTACGTTGGAGTGCCTACAAGCGGTGCCGGTGAGCGCTAGCGCTTGAGCTGTAGGGTAGTAACTTATGCGCACCGCCGGCCGATATCACCATAACTTCTTGTCAGTCGAGCCCACGCGTCGTTCGCCTGCGCGTCTTCGCTTCCGCGCGAAGAAGAAGCCCGCAGGCGCGAGCCTTCGAATTCCCGATCCCGTGCCCGGTCTCTTCGCGCGGAGTGGGCTATACGCCGCCACTACGGTATGGGCTGCACGCGCTCGAGCTCCCCCGGTACCCGTCTGCAGGAGCGCTGAGCGCTTCCCGCGATGCGCGTGCTCCCGCTCACTAGTGCTGTCGATCTCTGCCGTAACTTATGACTGTAAGAATCGAGTGTAGACTCGTCCGCGTCATGGGCCGCGGGACCGCCGCATCCTCCCACGAAAACATCCTCGGCTCCGCCTTTGGGGGATCGCGGTCGCCCATATTCCCCGGGACAGAGGGATAGCAGCTGGTCTGCTGGATGACATGTATGTTACCCTCTCGACCTGGGTATTCGAATATTCGCTGGACACGAAGTCAAAGTCGCGTAGAGGTCAGACTGGATTCGATGCCGGACATGGATTTCGCAGCTCCGGGATATGCAGAAGCTCACATCAAGGTTAACGTGTGGTCTTGTCAACGTTTTCCATGGACGCGGGAAATACTCAAGATGCACTGGGACCACCCGACGCTTGCTCAGGCTCATCCGTGCTGCACGCAGGCAAATCCTGTCTCTCCCCCTCCTTTATTTAATCGTTCGGTGCTCAGCGCTCAGCCACGAATCCGACGAATTCGTGCACTGCTGCCACCGTTCGACTGCGATCATGTTCTGGCGTGCTCCCTGTCCACAGACTGCCTTGCAGTTGGGCTTGGTTCATGCTAGGAACGGTCCCCTCGTTCTCGCTGCCTGCGCTCTTTCATAGTTGCTCTCGGAAATTGGCATCTGTTGCGCACATTTCTTCCTTCCAAGTACTGTTGCTGTGACAAGCGATCAGATGCTGCAGTCGACAGGCCGCAAAGAAGTGTTCGAGCCTCGTGCGCCTGCTGGTACCCAGTTTTTTCAGAAGGTGACAGGTCTGGCTAGGTGGCTTTGGCGCAAGGGTGCACGCATGCTTGGGCGATTGAACTCAACGAGACTACAGGCCACGGCGATCGATCGATATCTACTCACCTCACACGAACTCCGAATTTTGAACGGCGGATCGTATGCACCAGTCCAAGCACACCGTTCAGGCTGGTCATGTGCATTCATCAACGCGTATACGAACAAACAACTCTCGCTCGCAAGCAGCCACGTCGAGAGGGAAGTAGCGACGCATTCGAATTATATACTAGCGACACAAGATCTAGCAACAACTACGGCACAATACAGATCGTCGGCACCGACATTTTCCAAGCACAGAACCAGCACCACCCTCACTCGTCCTCCTCGACGACGTCGCCAAACTCGAACATCCCGAGCCTGTCCTCCTTCGCGCCGGCGACCGCCGCCTGCAGGTCCTTCACGAGGCGCGGGTACGCCGAGAGGTACTTGCAGCCCTTGCGGTCGATCGTCGCGAGGCCCTCGCGCAGGAGGTCCGCGTTGATGCACGCCGACGGCGCCTGCTCCGTCGCGGGGTCCGTCGGGTCCATGAGGCGCAGGTGCAGCAGCGGGCCCTCCCGCTGGTCGATGTTCGCGACGAGCTTGCGCCCTTCGCACAGCGCGCGGAAGCGCTCCACCGCATCGGCGTGATAATCGCTCTCCGGGCCCAGGAGCTTAACGAAGCTGTTGACCCCTCCTGTCAGTTTCAGCGGTGGTGCGGCACAGAGGGACCAACGTACCTGAGACGCGCATCGCGTGCTTGGCCCGGCAGCGAGCTGAACTTCGGGTCCAGCGGCCTGATGTTCGCGAAACTGACTGTATCTTGGTTCCCGTAGTCGATGAACGTGACCTCCGCCTCCTTCTTGATGGGCGACGCGCGGCGCACCTTCGCGCGATACCACGAGTTGTCGGAGAACTTGGCGGATACGAGGTCACCGCTCTTCGGGACAAATCCGGGAGGTGTAGCCGCGACCTTGTGGTGCAGGGAGAAGTCTCGCATGAGCTTCTCCAACGAGGCGATGCCTGGCCCGGACGTCAATCGGAGGGGATGACAACCTTCCGTTCTCTGCGTACCTTCTGTGTTCAGGATTTGCACGGAGAACCCGAAGTCATTCTGTGTGCGAACGTCGCTGATGATCACATCGATGTAATCGGGCTTCAGCGCGGCGTTATCCTCAGGTGAAACTTCTGGAGCCTCCTCTGCCTCCTCGTCGTAGTCCTTCCAGATCTACGGAAGAAAGTTGAGAATCGACAAGGATGGAAACTGGTTAATACTAACATTACGCTTGGTACTCTTCGCTTCTTCCTGGGGCCCGAAGACACCTGTCAATGCACGTCTCGCTGATGACAAGACGGAAAGCTCACCTCAGCCTCGTACAGCTGGTGCGCCCACGGAAGACCGTCTGCAGAGTACGAGTGGACCGTCGCAAGGCCCTCCCGGACGAGCGTAATGGCGGCATTTTCTGTCTTATTCAGGTAAAGCGCGCCGATGAAGCCGCCAGACTTGTCGACGTCGTGAATCTCAATCTCGACGTCTCGCTGCATCAATCTGCGCATCGCGAAGTCGGACGCTTCTGGTCCATACGGCTCGCTCTTTTCTGAGGGATTGCGTGCGGTGCGGGGTGCTCGGACGCCTGCGTGTGCAAGAACGTCAACAATTGGGGTCGGTCACGTTCATGAAACTCACCGCTGAGCACCAAGGTCAGCACTTGGTTGTCTTTTGGTAGGTTGATCCTGCAGCAGGAGGTTAGAGTGGGTCAACTCAAGCGGTCATCGGCTCACTTAAAGCGAGAGCCTGCAGCAACGTAATCAACGACGGCTGGTATCCTACCTAATCGTCTGAAGCTGTTCACAAAGGGAGCAGCCCGGCCGTGAGACTATTGATCACGATCAGCGGCTGGAATGAAGCAAGTGGAATACTTAGATATCACCTCGGAGATGTTGAGCGGTTGCTTTGGCGGAGGGTGGTCTTTACCAGAGTGAATACCACGCAATTCCGTGACTGCACTATGTACTCGTTGGAAAACTCTGAGCCAACGAAGCCATACAAAAGCACTTACAGTTGCTCGGCCGCCATCAGCTTGTCGAACTCGGGAGACCGGTCTTCGTCGTCACGCTTGTGACGCACAACACTGGCTAGACCACGCTCTACGAGCTGTTCAGCGATGTTGCTGCATCGAGCTAAGCCGTAGGTTGGAGCATAGTACAGTGACACACTCACGCATTTTGGCCACCATAGCGGACAGTGACACATTCTCGCTCCTCATATTCACCCTCCCTTGGGCGAACGAAGTCAACATGAACCTTGACATGCTTGCCGATTAATCGCTTTCGGAGGAATTCACGAGCTTCTTGCGCATAGAAGGCTTGCTTCGGGTCGGCTAGTCTAGACAGCCGAGGTCGCATGTCAAATGTCTAAGCCGGAATGCGACGACAACAGAACCTACGCACTTTGGGCCCCTGGTGGAGCTGAATTGCAATCTCCTCTCCTTTCCAGATTCCTTGTCAGCGACAGAAATCTGGTCTCCGCTCCATATACGGGTGACAGTGCCATCGAACGTCTGCGAGCTGCCGTTCGCCATCGTGCCGTTCGCCTTCGACGATGGCGCAGCAGCGTTAGCAAAAAGATACATGCGCTTCTCTTTCGCGGCTTTCTCTGCCGCACGCAGGCGCTCCATGCCCCCGCTGCTTGCAAGCATCCCGCCATGCCAGTCAACTACCCGTGCCAGGCATGAAGCAACGAGGAGCTCCGCGATATTTCCTGCAGGGTGAAGCACTATTTGCAACGTGTGAGTCACGCAACATCCCGACCAACCAGACACGGTGACTGACCTGTCCCAATGAAGATGGATGCGGGCGGAGGCGGGGTAGCACTGGCAGCTATCTGGAAGGGCGTGGCGGCCGCATTCGGCAATGATAGTATTTGCACGCGTACCGCTCGCTGAAGGAGACGACATTCTGTGAAGAACTTTGCCTATGGCAGGGCGGAACGTCAGTCGGAGCCCGCAAACGGGCACAGCTATGACCTACCTCTTCTGCCCATGGCTCAGACTCGCCTGGCTTACTGGAGACGCGCGCACATTTGACTCCAGCGAGAGCAATGTTCACGAGCTGGTGATCACCTTCAGGCATAAACAATCGGACACGAAGGGTCGAACCATCCTTGACTTGCTCCACGATCGCTGCATTAACGATCAGAGAATGCTTGCCGAGAAGAGTGAGAGCAGAGATTACCATCAAACGAATGACCCTTCCACTCGGAGATGAACTCTTGCGAGTCTGCCGGCATAGCATAGTGAACTGTACGAGCCTGTCGCTCGCGTTAGGTGCGAATAACGCATAGGGTAAGACAACTCACTTTCGGTCCATGAGGATTCCACAATCCTTTTCCGGCTGCCTTCGCCTCGTTCTCCAGGTCCCTCTTCCGCATATCCTCCTCAGTGGGATCATGCTTCAGCTCCTTCAGTCTCACCCAACCGTTCCTGAGCAGCTCGGACGCGAGGTCCTGCCCATTAATTTCAGCGCTGCCAAGATCTCGAGGGACGTCGTCGTTGGGAGGCAACGAGTGGACGGTGGTGAAGGTAACAGGCTTTCCTACAGCAAGAGCGCGCAGGAACTCGCGCGATTCAAACGCCCAGTCCTGCTGTATGCGTGGTCAATCATTATTCCAGCACCGAAGATGAGATATACCTCGTCTGGCCTAGTAGCCGTGCCTAACCGGGGTGCCGAGATGTCCACGAGATGAAGGACTCTACGAGGGAGTCGGCTCAGTATAACTTACAGAGCAGTTGAGATGACACATACCGCTCTTTCCGAGGTTGCCCCTGTGCACCTGGGGGACCGCGTAACACAAGGGAATCGCCAGAGATCACAGCTGGATACTCCACAACGTTCAGGACGGCTTGTACGAAGTAAAATGAATTTCGAATCCATACATTTCACAATCTGGATGTCGCATCGACTTAGCGGTGTCTCCCAAAAACCGAGACAGTACATACTGCTTTCATGGCCATCTTTCGAGTTATTTATGCGAGCTGAGACAAGAGTATGATGGAGGTAATTGCGGTCGTGTGGTATACTTGCGCCTTCATCGTTGCGTTGTACACTTTTTTGGTATCACGTGGCTACCTCTTCACAATCGACACCGACAGGCTGAGCTTACCTGGAGAGCGTCATGCCGTTCTATCAAATGCTGTGTATTTCTTCGCACTATCCGGAATATGTGAGTGTTGAATTCCCCCGTTTATGTTATGCTGACTTCCCGTTCCCTGTCCAGAAACATATCAAGGACCTCGTTCACTTCACTGCTATGCATGTCATGAACCAAGGTGGGGTAGTGCGCAGGCTCAACTCGTGGGGAACCCTCTCGCTACCTCAGCGTATGCGGCGGCATAAAACGTACAATAGCATTGGAGAGTATGTTCATCGTTTTCCACTAAGCCCATACATTCTAACCATACGTTCAGTTATTGGACAATGCACTTCGACGCGTCGCCACGGATACTGAAGAGCCTCAATACGCAGATGCGGCGTGACCCACGCGTGATTCGGTGTACAATGATCAAGCTGGGGCAGAAGGTGGAGGATGTTGTTCATGAAAAGGAGAAAACCATCCAGCGGAGGTGGGCACCGGGCTTGCGATTCTTCATATTGATCTAATGCTACACAACAGAGGAAGCGGCTTCTAGAGGCAGGCATAGTATGTCTAAGAGCCATTCCGTTGCTTCACCCATTCTACAACGTCGAGCAGACTTGGAACTACGTCGACGCCTGCCAGATTTTCACCGTCCTCTTTGGACTCCCACTCTCCCTCTGGGCCAGGACGTCTGAGCAGAAAGGCAGACATTCCACTGTCCTTGGCACCGCGATAGTCGCTTTTGAACATATCTCAGTATATCTAATTTTCCAGGCAGAAATATCGTCGGGCGTACCCTCTCAATTCGTCGCCGACATGCACGGCCTCTTGAGGTTTGACACCGACTCTGGAACATGCCCGAAGGAAAATCTCGCGTGAAGGCTTCTCAATGCCCTCTTCTTCACTAAGCAGAGTGACATCAAGGTATTGGTGTACGCCCAAATCCGCTAATACTCGGTCTACGTAAACGATATCAGCACCGACACTGCATGAAGTGCGGCCTCAACTTACGCATGCGCACATCAGTATTACTGATCAGTCCAGTATGGACGTTGACTTCTTTGAGGCGCTTTACTGTGCAAAATTGTGTCAGCTCTAGAGAGAAGGTCGAAGCTACGACCCACAGGCAAGCATAGAGTCATCAAACAACTTATAGCCTTCGCGTGAACTGAAACAGTGCAACAATCTGGGAACGATCTCTGCTAGTGAACGATCTACAACTAGAGATGCCATCAGGGGATGCAACAACGAACTTCGGTGAAATGTCACGCACCTTGGGGGTCTGCGCCGGCACCCACAGCAGTCCGTCGGATGACCTCTCCCCACCAGCCTGTCGCACCACTTTGATACACAGGCTTCTCTTGCTGGAGCTGCTTCAGTGCTGCATTTTGCTTCAGTATTTGTGAACACGAGTCGGTAGGGAGTCCAAACGTACCTGTCTTGAACGACTTCTTGAGCGCGCCTGGTTCGAGAATGCCCAGATAGGGTTCAAACGTCCGGGAATATTGCACGTAGACAGGAAGCCGCGCGACGAGCAGGGTATGCATCGCATCGAAGGTGACAAGGCGGATAGCCATAGCACACTGCAGGATTTTCAGCGACGAGCAAGACAGAAGCTCAAGCGATAGCTCACAATTCTCTCGCGCTGTAACTTCAATTGATCAACACGTTCAGCTCCTGTTCGCCTTATCCTTGCAGGACCCAGTGGCACTGGGTCTTTCTGGAGCCTTCACGTCAACATAACACACAGCCAACGTCCAGAACTCCGCGGAATAAAGACATGCCCGAGATGAGGGTTAATGAAATGGCGGGAATACTGATAAGATTAGATCGCTGGTGCTGACATAATCCGTGTCGGCGCTTGCCAACATTTTGAAGAGCCTGAGTGTGTGACATCCCTCCTTTCTTTCGTCTTCTGCTACACTTGCAAGGGCGACCACCTGTCGCTCACATTTACCGGGCACTGTTCAGCTATCTATGCCCGAAGTATATTTGTTTCAAACAAGGATTATTTTACTGGTGCTTATATGCTCAAGTTGGCGATGGGCAAGGTTGGTCCATGCAGCTCCTGCGTCCACCCGCCTCGAACGAACCTGCTGAGAACCTGTAAGCGATTCATACCCATTTTACATCGCTCTTGAGTTGTGGCTCATATTTTCCTCCTTTGACGCGTGCTGTTGTTGTACGCAATATATGCCTTCAGTCTTGACAGTCAAACCGCGCTCAAAAATCAGAACATGGCAGTGCTGCTATTCTACCACAGTACTGTCAACTTTGCGCGCTAGAGTTCCCATGATGTCGCGCACTATTGGTCCGGACCCTTCCAGTAGCCTCGGTCTATCTGCAAACGACCACAAGGCCGAACACGCCATGCGTGAGGCCGTCCAGACGTTGAAGACCCCTCACCAGCTGCGCCTCTTCTTTGTACATCTTCTTGTCAATGACTACGTGTACTCTCCTATCACAACTTGGAATTCTTTTCGGGACGCGTTTGCGCAGGACTTCATCCTCGGCAGCGACAACATCAACATTGGCGTAAACCAGGCACTGGAGGAGATTGGTCGCTCGCTGGAGGAGCATGGGAAGTCACTTGCGGTATATGGGCTGCCCGAACCCTCGTTTCACAGCCGTGAGGTGGATCATGAGCTTTCGCGGTGGAGTTGCGACATGGATGTGCTCGCTGCACGTGCAGCTACAGCGGTGTCGAAGCTTAATGCGGAGCAATATTGTGTTTACACGGAGATCCAAGATGCCGTATCGCATGATCGGCCCTTGTGCGCGTTTGTGGACGGCAAGGCAGGGCGGGGCAAGACCTTTCTGGTGAATACGATATGTAACAAACTTCGTTCACAAGGTCGCATCGTCTTGCCCACGGCGACGTCTGGTTTTGCAGCTCAGCTATATCCTGGAGGCAGAACCACACATTCTACGTTTAGGGTGAGGAGCTATTGCGAGAGTTTAGAGCCCTATAATATAGCTTGACATGATCACATACAGGTACCCGTTGAGGAAGACGAGGACAAAGAGCTAGTCTCTCCTGTTGAAGCCCATGATCCCCGCGGGGAGCTGATACGTGAAGCGGCAGTTATCATATGGGACGAGGCGCCCATGGCGAACAGTGCCGTGCTGGCGTGCGTTGAGGAGACATGTCGACGAGTTATGCGAAACGATCTCCCGTTCGGCGGCAAGGTCGTCATTCTCCTGGGTGACTTCCGTCAAACATGTCCCGTAATCAGACACGCTACTCGACGTCAAATCGTAGACGCATCCATCCGATCTTCGCCTATCTGGCGATCGTTTTCCTTGTATCGACTCACGCAGCCTATAAGGAATGCCGAGGATCTCCCCTTTGCAGATTTCGTTGACTCAATCGGCGATGGAGCTGGCCCCAACATCGACCTCAACATGCTTCAGAAGGTCAGAGACCGAAACGAGTTGATAGATTTCGTGTACCCGCAGGCGACTCTGGACGACCCGGTGATGTGTCTCAAGCGCGCGATCCTCTCTCCGACCAACGACCAAGTGGACAAGTACAACAACGAAATTCTCGGCCGCATCAAAGGTTACCAGCGCACTTTTCTCTCTCTTGATTCACTGAAAGACGATTCGCCGATGGAATCTGACTCACTGGATGACATTTCCCCCGAGAGTGTGCTGAAGGATGCAGCGAGACGCTCTCCACCTGGTATCCCTGCGCACGCCCTCACTTTGAAAGTAAACGGTGTATACCGCCTGATGTGCAATTTTTCGCCGGACCGCGGGCTCGTCAAGAACACGCGGGTGGTAGTTGTGGCCATTCATAAACGCATCGTCATTGTCCGTGTACTGCGAGGTGTAGGCGGCGTAAGCGTGCTCGACGCAGAGGACATCATCATTTCACGGATACCCTTCACTACAACGCTCGAGTCTGGATACATGCTCGTCCGCCGACAGTTCCCTCTCTCTCCCGCGTACGCGACCACGTTCAATAGCTGCCAGGGCCTCACTCTTGACGTAGTTGGCGTGGATCTCACACGCCCTGTCTTCTCGCACGGGCAATTGTATACAGCACTGTCACGCATCCGGCATCGCACGCATGCGAAAGTGCGTCTACTACCCGGACGTTCGACCACGAAGAACGTTACCTACCACGAGATTCTGCCCTAGTTTCTCATCCATCGACGCTATGTTAGATGTGACATCATACCATACTCCTTGTTACTCATACCTTACAGCTTGTGCGTACGCTCTCCCGTTTTTATCATCTGCTTCAATTTGAATAACATAGCGTTCCATATTCAAATGAAAACAGCAGGACCTGTCTACCAAACTCTGATGCTTCCCACAACTGCGAAGACCATCGTCTTGAATCGATACAGGCAAGGACCGCCTAGGCTAGCTCGGACTGCCCAATTAATGTACCACACGGTGCAAAGATAGTACTGGCCCACACACCGACCCCCACGTATCCTAGCGATCATGCGAAGCGCTCTCGTTTCATCTTTATCATACCCACGCAGTCGATAGCCGTGTTTTCCAGCGTAATCCCTACGTGCTTGTGCAACGAAGAAGGGGAGCGAGATGCCGAAGTGTTCTCTACCAACTGTCGCATTTCCTCCAGCGTGCATGAGGGCTGACACGAAGAGGGACGAGGACAAGCGGAAACAACCGTAAGTCCTCGGCAATTTTGCCCTCGTGTTCATCGAGGCGGTCGAGTTGAGCTGGGTGCAAGTCAGCGCCGAATCGATGGACGAGGTTCACGCAGCAGAGCGGGAAGTGAGCCGAGGAGATCACCGTGCCGTGAATTGCAAGGACGAAGAGGCTCGGTGCTATATCCTATATTTCATTTTGTACCGGGAGTGTACCCAGCATTTTCTGGACGGGAGAGATTGTTGTAGAGGTAGATGCAGACCAACTGCAGTTGAGTCCTTGGCACAGCGGTATGCAGTAAATATTGCAAAATGAAGACTACTTTCTTCGACGCCGGTGTGTTTAACCATACGCAATGTCGATGCTGCACACGTGTCAAAGTTGGATGGATTCGCTGACCTACGGATATCCCGAGGAACGTAGGTCTTTGAACGCCTTTTACTAGCATCTTAATGTACAGTACTTTCATTTAAGCGCGTGTGCACGCGGAAGGCATCAATCTAATCTAATCTATGAGGTAGTGACGGACCGCTTATCGCAGCGCTCTCACCCGTCCTGCTCTGTTGAGAACGGTCATCATGACCGACGTGTTCACCTTGTTGACGCTGCCGAAGACGTCCAATGCATTCACATCCTTTGCCGCGTCGTCTTCTGCAGTTAGTTCCTCAAGCTCAGAGTCCGGGTCGGCATCTCCGCGCAAGACTCCTCGTCTGGCGGCCGACTCTGACTCCGCCTCTGCCTACAGGTCCCGCAGACATGTGCACAGTGAAGGTCCTGTCGTGGTAAGGGTGCTTGGGCAAGCAGGTGCGTGCGGGAATCTTCAGCTACTTGATCGCCACCCAACCCTCTACCCGCAGTCAAGCCATCTACCCAAAACGGAGACGCAGACTTCGCGCTCGTAACAAGATGTGTGCGCATCCTCTTGAACAAGGGCAATGTTGATCCCCTTCCGGCAACCTACGAGCAAGTCTACTCTGCTTGCCGGTCAACGATCTGCGTGTATGACCGGGGCGAAGGCTTGTTCGAGAATGTGAAGATCGAGCTGGAGAGGTGTGTCGGGAGACTGTCGAAGGAGCTCGTTTATGAGGACTCGAAGGGCGTCGAGTGGCTACTCCCGTTCATCGAGACTTGCGCTTGGTTTGAGAAACAAGTGGTGAGTTGGGATTAGTTGCGGGCACGTCTCGTCTATTGAGCGATCGTAGGCCCTACTACAACCTCTCTTGGCGTTCCTCGACAGGTTGTACCTTACAGAACGCAAGAGTCTCTCCGATCTGCGGTGAGTTGCAGTACGTGAATGCTCTAGTTCCGTGTAATTCATAAGAGTTAGCCGTCTCGCATATGATCTCTTTGCGGAGAGGATCTTAGAAAGCGTAGACGTAGTAGAAAGGCTGCAAGCATGCATAAAATTATGGGTAGAATGGGAGCGACAGAACAGGTGGGCCTGAGTTCTGCTTCGGCTGAACTAACACTTGACTTCTTACAGAGCGAACCATGAATTGCGTCGTCTCATACCTGCGCTCATCAAACATCTACAGAATCACTGCCAATATGAGGGCCAGTTCGAGTCCTACTACATTAACCTCACGCGCGAGTTCTACACGCAGGAGTCAGCCGAGTACGCGAAACGACTCAAGGACAGTGCGCGAGGATTCTTGAAGCACTGCGAGGCGCGGCGTACGGAGGAGTTGAAGCGTGCTCAGGATCTCCTGCCGGAAGAAACCTGGAATCAAGCTGTGGACACCACCGACCGGGCGCTGCTGACGAATAGACTCGATTGGCTAGCGAAAGACGGTATGCTCCCGGCGCCCAATGCTCATGCGTAGTATTGATATTCGTCTTAGCTTTGGGTCCTCTCTTGGATGCAAGGAGCGAAGGGAATCTCGCCAAGATGTATATGCTCTTTGAGCGGGTTGACGGACTCGAGGTCATGTGTGCAGCCTTCAAGACACACGTCCAGGTGAGGTATTTCGAATAGAAATCGTTCGCAGCTACTGAACAGCACGACGTAGCATACCATCCGCAAGATCGTCAATGACGTCGAGCATGACGAAGAGATGATGGACAGACTGCTCGACTTCAAGGTGTTCGCAGACAAGCTCCTGGAGAATGCATTCGTCACTAGGGAAGAACCCTCTGCGGCATCCAAGGCATCCACATCAACTGCAGTACCGGAGAATGGGCGCAATATGGTGTTTTTGTACGCCCTCACCGACGCCTTCGAGACGGGCTTCAAGGCGCGCCGGAACAAGCCTGCAGAGATGATTGCCAAGTATCTCGATAGAGCAATGCGCAAGGGCCAGAAGGGCAAGAAAGACGAGGATTTCCAGGCGGAACTCGACGCCGCTTTGGCGTTGTATCGCTACACAAACGACAAGGACGTGTTCAGGACGTTTTACCACCGGGCTCTGGCCAAGCGACTGCTGCTCGAGCGGTCGGCATCAGATGACTTCGAGAAAGCCATGCTGAAGAAGCTTAAAGAGAGTACGTAATGCCGTGTGTTTCCGTTTTCCTACTACTGATATTGAATGCGCCGTTTATGCAGATTATGATCCCGAATTTGGAATGGGAGACCGTATGTTCAACGACCTCGCGCTTTCGCGAGACAGCATGAGGGAGTACATTGAACACCGCGAGCGACTCGGCGACGACGACGACGCGTCCACACACAAGCTATCAGTTATGGTACTCCAGCGTAGTTCTTGGCCATTCGCAGCACGTACGCACGACATTGATCTTCCTCCTGCCGTACGTACTCCCACACGCTGCACCGTGACAGCTGCTGATGTATGATGATCCGGACACATCTATGAGCAGATGCAAGCCGATTTGACCAAGTATGTTACCTTTTACAAGAGTAAGCATCAGGGGCATAAGCTTGAGTGGGATCACGCGCTGGGAACTGCTACCTTGAGAGCGAGTTTCAACACCGGGGAGAAGGAGCTCACAGTCAGTTTGTACCAGGCTGTGGTTCTTTTGCTGTTCAATGAGGCTGCGGAGCTGTCATTTGCGGAGATCAAAGAGCAGACGCGTATGGGTGCGTCTCTTCCCACCTCTCACACCTATCTGAATGGTGTAACGTTAACTTGCACAGAGGACGCGGAACTTCGCAGGACATTACAGAGCCTGGCGTGCGGGAAAAAGCGTGTGCTGAGGAAGGTACCGCATGGCAAGGACGTTGACGACACAGATAACTTCCATTTCAACGCTGACTTCAATGATCCGAGGTATCAAGTGCACATCAACTCCATCCAAGCCAAGGAAACGGTAAGTTCCAAGTTGGGCGGGCAGCCGTGCGAAACTTATCTCTGCGCAACAGGCCGAAGAGTCGAAGCGCACGCAGAACTCCATTGAGGGAGACAGGAAGCATGCATTGGACGCGGCTATCGTCCGTGTGATGAAGGCGCGCAAGGAGCTGCACTACGAGCAGTTGAAGGCAGCCACCATTGACGCGGTGAAGAACCACTTCGTACCAGAGGTGAGCAGCATCAAGCAGAGGATCCAGGGGCTGGTGGAACAGGAGTATTTGAGGAGAGACGAGGACGACATGAACCTCTATATTTATGTCGCATGATGGTGCGTAGGGGCGTTCCTGTTGTGCTTCTTCGGCGGCCTGTCTCGCGATTTGTATCACGTTTTGTGATTGTACCATTAATTCCAAGCTGCCATTTTTCTGTCTTTTGACATACTGGCAAATGTACGTTCTAAAACCCGACGGCACCGAGAGGAGAGAGTTGCCGGCGGCTTGGGAGGAGGTCAAGAGACTTGGTCAGGAGGCGTCTGGAGCAGGTACAGCTGATCGTTGCGGGTTTACCAGAAAAGGCAACTTTTGTCAAATGCGCATCGAGCCCAGAAGGCTCCCTCCTCAGTGGATCTTGCTTCCCGACTTCCCCCCGTCATATATGTATCCCTGATGTTGCGTCTTTTCTCCCCACCTTCATCATGTCCTCTCCACCGTCCTCGTTGTCTTCGTCGTTGTCCCCGTCGAGCCCCTTGACCTCGCTCTCCGTTGGCTCCTACCCAGGTGCCTTGCCCGAACTTCGAGTCCGGTTTGACGAAGAATGCGTCCTCATTCCGGAACCAATTTCACCATCCAGGATGCCTCGTCTTGTCCGGAAATCTTACTCCTTGCCATTGTGGAAGAGAAAGTCGCCGGATTCTGTCTTGTCGTCAAGCCCTGAGATGGAGGATGAGCATGTTGTCTTCACAGTCTCAGTTCCAAGGTGAAGCGCTTGCCCGATCTCTAATAACCGTCGGCTCACAATATTCGTGAACATCATATAAGCTTCACCACGAAGTCACGCTCACCAACGCGTTCTGAAGCTCTTCTCCAGCCGCTGGTGCCCTGCATAGTGGATCACGCCTCCCCCAAATCTCCCGAGTTGCGCGGGCGCCACGCCCGAAATCCATCCTCTCCCCCTCTTTCGCCGCGCGCTGATATTGAAACGGTTCCCTTACTGCCGTGCTGTCATGAGTGTTTCCACATTACCGACGAATGTTTGAAGGAAGGCGAACAATGGGAGGAAAAGTTCACTCGGGGCGCTCGGCGATTACACAACTCGAGCGTAGATGCCTGCCCTGCCTCGCACTCTCACCATCGTGTTGCGGAGGCTATGCCAGGCTTTGATGACATCGTTGCTGTCGACGAAGTGGACAAGAAGCGCTTGTCTCACGACCTCGAGTCGCATCCCGCTCTCACGAAGGTAGATTCGTTGGACCTGCATCGAAACGACCAGTTGCGGTTACTTCCCTCATTGTCGCGAGAGAAGAGCCCGCCGCAGATAGTTGGTCGGTCCGACATGATCCCGACACCCTTGCAAAAGGTCGCTGAAGAGGACTCGGATCCTTTACCTCTATCTAAACCCACCATTTCTACGCCCTCCGTCAGTTCCCAGACATGCATTGTTACTCCCCATACTACGGATATCGGGGCACTGTATGACACTATGGTTGCAGACTCGACCTCACCACATACCGAACCGTCCACACCATCGACATCATCCGCTACCCCATCTGTATCCCATTCTGCACCACTGACTACACCCGACCTACATTTATCATTGATACCCTCGGCTCCGATTCCAATACCCACGTCGCACCATGCGCATCCGCACCCACACCAACGGCTGTCGCCACACTCCCCCTCGCTAAGCCGAGGTTCCCTCCCCCATTCTGCCGATCTCCCGGTGCCGCATTCCCTCGAGTACTTTGCGTCGCCGCACACACCGCACACGCCGCGCACGCCCAAGAGGAAGCGGTCGCTCACACACGTACTTGGGCCTTCGTCTCTTCTTCGGGTATCTGCTGAGCTGCTCAAGGGCGTGAACGCCGTGAGCGGCTCGCCACCGCTGCCGGTCTGATTCGGACACGACGCAGCCACGCGCTATGATGTATCTATATCTTGCTGTCTTTTGCACATCCATTCTTGCACTGCCTTCCATCTTTCTCGACCATGTTAGCCTGATTGTGCGGGGGATATATCGTATTGTACAGTATATTGTATGTAGTGCGCGAAAGACTTGTGGGACAGGAATCGTTCAAGTCCAGTCCATGCACATCTCCATGTGCCGTGGTGTTGCTTGGCACTCGAGGCTGAACCCGCGCGCGATAGAATCAGAATTGTCGGCCGCATCTGGATCGCGTAGCTTGATTCTCAGCAACAGAAGAGCCAAGCGAATGGACGACGGTGTCTTGGGCAACCACATGAGCAGCCCCAGATGCGGAACTACAAACCGAGCTCACGGAGGGTTGATGCTTCCCTCGGAACCCCCGCCCTCCAATTGGTGGTCGCAAGTAATGCGGCAGACGAGGAAGCCATGAAGGACGGGCATCTTGTCATCGTGGCGAGGGCTTTCGTGGATTTTTGGCGACCCCATAAATGACTCGGAAATCGGTGATAGAAGCATATAGTACAGCGAGGAGCGCAAATGCTTTGCATGTGGCAATATATGCATATGATGAAGTGACTTCAGACCTGTTCGGCCCGCAATAGGTCAGGGACAGCCCATTTGAAAAGTAACCTAAGTGAACATTGTGGGTAAGCAAGCCGCGTAACGAATAATTATGAGCGCACACTCACAAGTGTTCATTCTTCTTCCAAAATTGAAACATCGGGAATCACTACACCGTCGGGTTCGCTGTCGTACAGCGTAATTGCAGTGGCTCGCCTGAACGGCGTGTCCTTGATGACCGTGGAAGTGTGGTAAATGTCCGCACGAACTATTCGAAGCCGACACCGCTCCGTCTGCAAATCCTGCAAGCGCTGTTGGAGTAAGTCCGCCATGCCTTGGATGACGGTCTGCGACTTCGGTTCCATGATCGTTCCGGCATCGAGATAGAAGGTGACCACCACGGGGGACTGGTCCTTGAATAGACGGGCGATGCGGCTAAGTTGCTGGTCGACAGGCGCCCAGTAGAGGATATCGGTTAAGGACGAATATCCGACACAGAGGTGGATGTAAATGCGTTCGATACTGTGCGTGTCGTCTACTCGAGACAGGAAGCTGGGAAGGCCGGAAAAAAATAAGTCTGTGCTGAGGTGCACAAGTAGTGAGCTGAGACGAGTGTTGCCTAAAAGGTTCAGCTGCTCGAGGGTGGTACACGGGGGGACAACGAATGATGTGAGGGACACGATCAGGTGTCGCAGAGCAGAGCCGGCAGTACTAAGGAATGCTTGTGTCTCGGTGAGATCGGAGATGATGCAGAACTTCATCCAGGAGATGCGCAGGTCGAAGGGGCCTTTAAGAAGACACTGGGAGCTGAGAGGGGGAAACTTCGTACTGCACATGTGATTAAGGCGCAGGATCCGCAGCGCTGTCTCTGTTTTGGGATACATTTGGGTGAGGTCGAGAGAGAGAGGCATGTTTCTGTATACTGCGGTGCCCTCGATAGCAATGGTCGACAGCTGCGGGCAACCTCCGACGATCAAGAAGAAGTCTGAGGGCTCGAAGTAGCAGTGCTGGAAATGAATCAACTTGACCATCGAGAACAAAGTTGGTATCTGCTCTCTGAGCTCCTCTGACACATGCGCAGAGCGCCACCCCGACAAAAAGAGGCATTGAACTTGGTTCGGCCTCTGCCAAATAGACAATAGTAAGCCGAGACCGAGCATGTAAACCGCGGGGTCGCAGGGACCTATCCATCTGCCTGTGGGATTTTGGACAAGTATGAGATTGCGGACATATCGTGTGATGTGAGGCGACTCTGTCAGGCGAGTCTGCCACAGCTCGCAGCAATGCCAGCTGATTGTGATGGTAAGGAAGATGTATAGCTGAGCCCTCTGCAGCCAAGCACGACAGGTGCGACTGCAAGCTTTGAGACTAGGGGTATCATCCCAAAGGTACTCCATGATGTATTCCCATATTTCGAGAGGGAAGGTTGAAACTGTGGAACTTGAAAGCCCCTCCGAGTCGTCAGGATGTTCGTCCCAAAGGACGTCTAGCTCGTCATCATACAACTCTACTGAATCTGACTCCGTCATGTAAGCAGTGAGACGCGACAAGCTACAGCGGTTGATGTTCTGGGTGCAGAGTTTGTGGCTCAGACACCTCAACAATAGAGACGACAGATGGATTTGTGCAAGACTTCAGGGCGACGGCATCGTGAACGACTTCTACAAGTGAAGTTAATGGTTACATCGTCAACATATCGCAGATGACAAACACTTACTATCACGTTGCTCGTACAATCTCAACAAACATGTTCACTTTGAAGATATAACCGACGACATATTCTACTCAACACCGCCACGTGGCCTCAGGCCTTTTGGGACACGGAAATGTTGATTCACTTGTCATTTACCTACAGCCAGCTTATATGCAGTGCTGTTATCCTACCACTGTCCAGTATTACTCGCTCTACTCAGGTCGATCAAAGCGAACTAAGAAAACATAAGGGACATAATTTCTCGAAGCCAATACGATCCGATTTACCGGCAACATCCGTCGCAAAGGCTTCCCTTGACCTCGCAATCATCAATACTGCCAGTGAAGTCACTTTTAGAGTGAGCATATCTGGTAGACTACTTTGACAACAATATTGTTTTAAATGCAACAACTAGAAACAGACTATGGGCAACGAGACGGAGGATGCCAGCTCGGCTTGGAGCGTCGAGTCGCGGTTGCGGCGCACGCCGATGGGCCGGGACAGTTGACCCACTGCAGGCTATGGGTTCTAAGTATTAGGTGAGTCGAATACCGTTGCCAGAAAATATCGCACTAGCCTTTGTAAATCAGTTCTAGGCTTGTAACACCCGATGACAGAGGCTTGCCGCCTATTTTCTGAGCTTCGGCCGGAGAGAAAGAATAATGCATATCATTATAACTAGCTTCCAAGTCAGTACTTCAGTCCTTGTCTTTGGACGACATTTTTTAGAAGCTATGACACTGAAACAATTGACGATCTGTCTATCCCACAGACCCTGCTTAAAGTGGCAAACACGGTGCAGCGGGTGCTAGGCCTTGCAGTAAGGTGGGACTGTTCGGCGTCAAGACTGCAGCAAATTCAATATCTTCATGACAGCTCGACGTCAACTCATTACTGGTGGTATTAAACGGTAGGGGGCCCAGATTCATAAAACCCAGGTCCTCTTTCTCTCCGAACCTCATCCGGGTCTAGGTACTGGCTGGTATGCTATTCGTTACCTCCCCAGGGTTTGTAATTGACGATCACTAACGCGAGTTTATCCAGCCTGACAACTTTGCATGTCCTTTACGACTGAATATTTCTCATGTGCTCCTCTGTTTCATTCATTTCGGGTGGTTTCTTGCAATTGCGGCACCTGCAATCCGTGTTCCGTGGGTGTAGTTCATGCGACGCCTTGAGAATGCGATGGCCTATCTCACGGGGAGTTCAACATGTTCTCTACCCGACCACTGCCGTCGCCCCCGCAGAAGCAAGGTTTTTCTCAAGGACGTGGAGCAGTTCTTCGAAGGTATCTTGAGGCACGGGCTCCTCGAGAGCGCCGCATCTGAGCCAGGAGCGCGGTCGTTCCTGAAGATGCAGGTCAATTCCTCGAGGGTGTCTTCCGTCGGGAGATGCTAGAACAATCCATGTCCGAGCATGAAGCAAGGTCATTCCTGAAAGAAGCAGGACAATTCTTCGAGGGCCTGTTCAGGCGGGAAATACTCAGAGTCTGAGCCCCGAGATCATTTCTAAGGGATGCAGGTGAGTTCCTCGAGAGTCTTCAGGCGCGAAATGCTCGAGCATTCTACGTGCGAGCTTGAAGCAAGATCATTCCTGAAGGACGCCGGCTAACTTGTCAAGGGTGCATTCAAACGCGAGCTCCTCGAGCGCGCTGCGTTCGAACGTGAAGCGAGGTCTTCCTGAAAGATGCAGGTCAATTTTTGAACGTGTCGTCAGACGCGAGTGAGTTTTCACTCCCACTCATCTTCCTGTACTGCGTGAACTGAATCTTACTCATGGTGACTACGCAAGGAGCTTGGATGAGCTGGACTGAATGAAGACACCATGAGGTGATGGCAATCGTTCCTGTAGTGTGTTCTTTGTCGTAGTCGTCCCGTCGTTTAGTATTAGTGAAATGCAGAGGTTTTATTGAGGACTCAGTATTGTTGTTTTCTGCGAATATCAGTCTCACCGGAGAGGATTCTGCTCATTTATTTGAGCCACAAGTTGAGTTGGTCTCTAACAGCTGCTGATCGTGTGCACAACTACTGAACCTTGACCGCTGATTAGTTGACGACTTCGCGTACTAGCAATCAGCTGAGCTGGCGTTACGGCTTGAATACGACAAGAGTACTCGCACCTAAAATTCGCATCTGGAGTACACGCACGTCGTCACGTCCGATGCCTTTGTGCCTGCTGGCAGTACTCGCTGAAACTTAGCTGCAACTAGTTCCCTAATCCCATGTGCTTCAGGAAGTTTCGAATTTGTCTCAGACGCGGAGATCAGCGGCTGTCCATTCCTACGTACGATTCTATCAGTGGTCGTCAAGTCATTGTGTTTACGCCGGATGCGATATGAGCCTAACGCACAGCATCCCAGAGAGACCAGGCATCACTACCATCATTTGGCGTTCACGGAACTGATGAGGAGCACAACGATCGACCGCAAGGAACTTACGCTCTGGAAGTACGCGTTATGTAGGGCACGACTTTTTGCTAGCTTCTGTGGAGAGTCAGAGAAGCAATCATAATTGCATGTTTTACTACGAACACTGAAAGTTTCATCATGTGACTATCTCAGTCTCAGGGATCTGGGGAAACGCACTGGAACGATGTCCCTCGTTAACCACCTCGATGATATGCGCGGAGCCCATCACCGATCGTCGGAAGCCTCATGCGAGTTGAAACGGTCGTAACACTCCGACGAAGGTGTTGTTCTTCGCTTGGCAACTGCGGGATGCTTGAGATGCTTGAGATATGCTCATCGCTGCCCGTGACACTGCTTCGACTGGTGTGTAGAACGTTTTGGCATCCTGCATCCTGGAGGCTGAGCGCTGAGGGTTGACTTATGTTTTTTACTCCCTTGCATGCGAGGAACAGGAAATGAGTAATTCCTCAAGGCACATCAGACACATGCATTGATAAGAGCGGGCTGGCGCAAGGCCTCTGCCGAGTGTGATCCACGCATCTCTGCCTACCGCCGATCGTTCATGATATATCCGAGTAAAGTTGCTGCTAAGGATGGTACTTACTGAGCGCATCAGCTTGTCCTAGGCCTCTGGCCATCACGAGCGCCGGTGCCACGGCGCCGAGGCGATACGAGCAACTCTTGGCCTACACAACGTCCACGTATAAGTACACCCCAGTCTATCTGTATGTCTCCAGCTCTCTCCCCTGCGCCCTCTGAGCCAAAGATTTACAAGTAGGTACTGGATAGTGAGTCTTTTCCTCATTGTGTCGCAGATAGCGTGCTAACGAACTTCCGCCAGCCTCACTTGTTATTCGTTCATTCCTGCATTTTATTTTACGACTTTGTTCGACTTGACACGCTTTAACGACACCACTCCATCCATCCAATCCCGCCCGTCTATTCTTAATATCATCAAACACGATGCGTTCAACCACCGCTGTCTCTGCTCTTCTCGTCGCCGCTTCCGCTACTCATGTTCTTGCCTTCCCTATCGCTCCCGCGAGGTTCGTGTCTCCCATCAATCGTGCGGTGTTCTGACATGGATTGAAATCTGATAGTGGTAGCGGGGCGATCAACTGGAAGAAGGCCGGACACTATACGGGCGAAGTTGCAAGTCTCCTTATGAAAGTCATTCGTGAGGACCCGATTATGGCTCGCGCCTTCGAGGACGAGCTCAGGGCGCGCGAAGCGCCTGCAGGCAGCGAGGCCCTTCATATCAACTGGAAGAAGGTCGGAAAGAAGATCGGAAGCGTGGCCAGCAAGGTCGGAGGTGTCTTGGCGCACTTCCTGCGTGAGGAGGACCCGATCATGGCTCGCGCTTTTGACGACGAGCTGTTGGCTCGAGCGTTCGACGACGAGCTGTTGGCTCGCGCCTTCGACGACCAGCTGTTGGCTCGCGCCTTCGACAAGCAGCTGTTGGCTCGCGCCTTCGACGACGAGCTGTTGGCTCGCAATGAGCCTGAAGAGGGTAGCGAGGCTCTCCATATCAACTGGCACAGCATTGGCAAGGATTTAAAGCAGTTCGGTGAAGGTGTGGTCGGTATGAGGGAGGATGCGTTTGAAGCACGCGACTACGTGCTGAGCGAACTGGACTGAGCGAACTCGGGTGAGGATCTTGTATAATTTGTCATCGTACGGGAAGGTGGATGGGTGGTTCGTTTATACCATGCGTAGTTGAACATCTTGAAATGCAACAATCTTTGGCCGAGGGCTTGAGCTCTAGATTTTCGTCCACTGTGACCACGGGCTAGAAAAGAATGTGAAGGATCCCATTTTCTTCGGAGTCCGGATTGTCGCATATTGCGCACGTTTCGGATCCTTGCAGTTCGTCCATTTCATACCACTCGACCATGCATACCACATGGCTGCGTCGTTCCGGAGGTCTAGACATGTACATGAAGCGAGCACAATTGATCGCTGCGGCCAAGCTAAAGGCAGTCCATGCGTATACATAGAGTCGTGTCACGCGAAGCATCTAGAGAGGAGTGAATCACAGTCAAGTAGATGTTTATCGCGCATACCAAATCCCATCGCAAGGCGTTCGAGATTCGACCCCAAGTCTTTCAAGATGCAAGCGACAGGCAGGGCCTCCCCAAAGCTTCGAATATAACCAAAGTCAACGGACTGAATTGTAGTGGAGCGCAGTGGAATAGTTGATTAAATTGTCGTGGCACTCTGTAGCACGCTCCAAAGCAAATACAGGAATGATATCCTCTGCGTCGGAGGCATTGACGGTGATGTGGGAGGTTCCAAGTGAGGGCCAATGCGGATCGGGCAAGGCAGATGAAGGAAGACCACTGCCACTGAATCGAGGAGCAGGTGAGAGAGCGAACGGAAACCCAGCACCAGAGTTTCGAATCCTCCAAATTTGATGAATTTGCAACAGAGCCCTTCACGCCCGTGAACTACCGAACTGAGAATTGCAAACGCTGATCCACGATGAGCAACTTGAAGTCGAAGAATTTGAATCGCACCTTGAGGGAATTACATTTCCCTGTGACGAGTCTGCTCTCGAGCTCGGGAAATGCGGATAGGACCCACTGAAGACGCCCTGAGTGATGCTTTACGCAAAACGCGTCAGCCTTCTGCTCGAGATTGTGTTCACTGGATCTCGATAGCACCGATAGGAGCTCGCCGAGGTTACATTTTCGCTTTATCGTCACGGATCTGAAGAGATGGCCGTCACGTCCTGTGGACTTTACGGAACGTCAGCATCGATCGGTCCGAGTGGTGATGATCAATGTGGTCGATAAGTTCGTGTGGCAGCATAGGTCTACCGAAAGGAGGAGCTGCGGCCCGCGCCTGCGCAAAAAGGAAGGTTAGAGTCATCGAACTGGACGCGCAGAAAGAAACGTCTCATACTGCATTGGACTGGTACGTGCGTCCATCACTCGGGGGCGGTGGACAGACAATGACATGCGAGAACAAGAGTCGCTGTTCGGTCAGATAGGTGGATGAACGATGCTATCTGGGGTATGGCAGAGCAACTTCGCCTATGTGGTCGGTCGTAAGTGCGTCCTGTGACACACAAGATGAATGAACGCAAACGGGGGGATGGGCGGGTCCAAGCGCTCGCCAAGGTAATAATAATATGTACAAGACGATAAACACAAGACCTAAGCGATCTGAAGATGCTCTCTCATCAATGCTTACCAGCGGTTTCATAATCTGCGCTAAAGCACTGAGTGAGGGATGGCCGTCGGCTGGGCTCTCTCTAGTGCGAACGCCGTTCGCAAGAGGGCCCAGCCGGAGAATTCCGAGACCGGAGGTTAGGGAGGGAGGGGGTTCCCAGCGGTCCTTAAATGAGTTTGTGTATCCACCATAAATTGACCTTTCTGAGAGCTTTTCTAATTTCAGAGACAAATTTTCTGGTCATGAGTGGACCTGGGATTTTGCAATGTTATTTTCTGACACTGGAATTTAGCAGACCTTGATGAACAGTCTGACACGGGCAAGTCATGCATTAATTACTGGTGCTATAGTCCTTCCCAAGAAGTTCTGTAGTCAGTCAAAAGACATGCAACTACTAGATCTGTGATCTTTCAGATGCATCCCCTTCCTCTCTGGATAGGCCACAGGATTTGAGAAACATCGCTGTAAGCCACCGGACTACACCTTTTGGGTGCCTCACCTTCCTAATTAGGCCGGCACTTCCGGATATGGAAGGAGGGAGGGAGGGAGGGTACCCCGTGGACTCTTATTTCGGTTTTTCGACCTGCAGTAAGGAATTTTATTCCCGGAGCCCTCTAGGCCATTCGTACCAAGTCTTGATAGAGCCATCATAGAGATACCAATATTCCCTAGGCCAACCTTTTCTCGTTGTCTCTAATAATAACCACGATGCCCGACAAGCAGCGTCAGGAAGGCGCGGTGCTCGCCGTCAGTTGTTGACGCCATGGTTGGGGCTCATTGACATTTCTTTGACGGCACTTTTTCTCTTTAGCAGAGATGGTTTTCCGGAGGCGGTAGAAAGCTCAGCGCTCAGCACTAATGCTCATCGGCCACATTTCAACTGAAGTGCGTGAGAAATCTGCCAAAGGCACTCATGGTTACAGTAAGTACTACGGGAGATCTTCCTTCAAGCTTTAGTGGTCATGGTGGCGCTGTGGAGGGGAAATCCAGCCTGAACGTCGGCGTGCAGTGATTCGAGAGGTCGACAACGAAACGAGTTGGCGCTGGCGTGGGAGGACAAGTGTGGGAAAGTGAAAAATGGCTGGCCGCCAATATACTACGATAATACTTTTGAAGGAAGAATATACTTGCGCGTCGCTCTTATTCGCATCGCGAAACCCTTGGTAACTTGAGAGAACTATCTCGTGAGGGACTTAAGGGAGATAGAGAAAAGCGGGGAAAAATCTGCTATTCGAAGGAGAGCCGTGCTCCTTTTATACAGTTCAGCCTGCCCCAACACTTTCTTAGCTTGGAGCCTCCTCGGGCTATGATTCGTTCGTTCGAGACGGTAGGTAGTAGGAGAAATGAGTCGATGACGGCGATGACGCAATGGCTAAAAGGGTTCCGGAATGGGAAGGTATGCTACTAAGAAAGGTAATAAGTCTGGGGCCTTGTCCGCGGCATACTCACATTTTGGCGCAACTTCAGGATTCTTCTCTTCTGCGGGAACAGCCAGGCAACAATGCGGGAGTCGTCCCTATTTGCGAGTCACGTTCCGGGCCCCCAACGGAAGTGAGGAGCTCGACCTGCCGTTGCGCCATGACTGCCTTCCGCGTCGGATCGAACCATCGGTCTGGCCTCCACATGAGGTAGAGTCGAGTCAAAAGGGAATATTACATGTTAAGTGAGTGTCGTCATGAAGATTGTGGGTTCCACAAGAACGTAAGAAGATAAACTGCATATCCAGCCCTGCTCCGTGACCGAATTCTTGCGCGAGAGTTTGAAAGTGAACATCAAGACCTATACTCGAAGTGGAAATGTTAGTTTAGAATGCGCGAGAATTCTCTCCACCACAAGTGGGGGGTACTTTAAATCTCGTCCTCGAGATCGCCAAGAAAATGGAACAAAGAGGAAACTCAATGTAATTACCACCATGGTTTGACTGCACCGACGAGACCAAGGAGCTCGACTATGTTGGTATCGAATTCGGTGTCTTGAATTGGGTGTGCGTACTCCATGCTGACCCAGCACCCGTGTTCCTCTAGCATGTGCTTGATGGTGTTGTACCGGATGATCCCACAGTGCGTGAATACGTCCGGGCACAACGTGACTTCAAGGGCCTGAGTTTTGAAGGTAAAATGGTAAGCTTGATTCTCGCCACGATAGAAGAAAAGTTTGAGATGACTGGCTGGTACGTGTTCCTTCAGGAATGTACTGTCGAGTTCACGGATCGCGTACGATCCACTCGGGAATCGCATGTGTATCATGTATGGTCCAGCCCAATGGAGCGCTCCTTTGTTTCCGTGCTGGTTGTCGAGCCAAGTCTTGTGTATAAGAACCCACGTCCCGGTCATGAAGTCTCCATCATGGATACGGTCCATGTGTTTATGCATGTAGTTGTCAACTGAATGCTGGCGACTGTCGATAAGGTTTTGTCACGCTTTCGAAATGATCTCACCTTTACGCGTGATTTGTTGAAGTCGTGTCGCGATGAGATCTACAGTGGAATGGACTGTGTGTCAATCTAACATAAACCAGGTGCGATCAGTAAGGTCCCACGGGTACAAACAGTTAACACTATATAATAAGAAATAAGGCGTATAGCCTGTGGCGCGTGACGTGGTCGTGCGCACTGCCATAAGTCCTGAGTGAATGTAATTCGGCCAATGTCCAGGCTTGTCACCGCACGATCACATGATGGCTTGGGAGAGTGTTTGACCATCGCGTTCCACAATACCGTTTCCTTGAGGGTGATAAGGAGTTGAGATAATGACTGCTATACCGTATTTGTCGAATATAGTGCGCGCCGCATCTTTGAACTCGGTGCCGCCATCGCAGACACAGATAGGAATACATCTGAAGCGACAGATGATGTCTTCAAAAATGAAATGCACCCAAGTCTTCGAGTTATTGTGCTTCACGGCACATGCCTCTGGCCATCTAGACACATCATCAGAACCGTGTATGAAAAACTTCTCACCATGTATCCCGGTGGGCATGTTTATTGTGTCGAAGACAAAGTACCGCAAAATGGAGGGAGAAATCGTAATACGTAGGGGCACGATGGGATGTGACTTCACCTGGTACTGACAAGCATTGCATGACCTGATGAACCAGGCTACGTTGTCATAGAGGTTCGGCCAGTAATAACGGTCGGCCAGCTTCTTGTATGTCGGATCGCATCCACGATGTCCGCAGAGGTTGTGAGCCTGTTCTACTATCTCAGTGCGATGTTTCTTGTCAGTAATCACGAGCCGTGGTTGCTCCTTGATGCTCAAGTGCCACAGACGTGCATCATGCCACATATAGCATTGCGCGCACAAAAGAAATGATCAACGCGCCTCCGAGCCAGGTGTGCAACGAGCGGGCAGCTGTCCGTCAGACAGATATAGCCTGAGCTCTTCAAAGTAAGTATCTCCATCATCATTGTGCACTTTCCCTACATGCGCGATACACAACACTTCTTTGCATTCACGTGGAAGAGGAATGTCAAGATACATGAGATGATTAGGTTCCCATACTGTAGCGCGTGAGTCTCCCGGCTTGATATGAGTCAACTTGTAGGTGATCTTAGAAATATTGCATCGGAAATTGATGCTGATTTCCGAGTCGCGCTGGTTCGTGAGGAATGCACACCGGTATTCGACAATCTCGAATTCTACCTGTTCTCCCGCAAATTCGTAAGTAGCAATGTTGTACTGTGCAATTTTCCGGTGCATGAACTCGAGGCCAATGTACGAGATGTCATCTTCATTATGAAGCAAGGCGGGATGAAAAGGTCCAGGGTCAATTTGTAATCGCTCTGGCGTAGCGAAGATACGTTCTTGCTGATCAGGATCTTTGCGCCAAGCATGTATACCGTCGAGGATGTTGTGATCCCAAATACGAGTGTGAGGTTCTGGGTCCGGGTACTTATCACGGTGCCCACGGATCGCATCTGCTTTGCAAGAGTCGAATTCAGCAGTAAAAGGAATAGCAAGAGCGCGGTAAAAGTCGTGCCGCTCGGAAGTCACGAACTGGATACCGAGAGACTGAGATGCTGCCATGATGTCGTGCAGTATAGTGGGGTGATTGAGTTGTCACCCCGCCTGTACTATATATGCGTCACTGTCGTACATCGCGGCTAACCCCAGGACCTGTTCAACGTGTTCTTCTCCATCTGATTCGTCTGAATCGTTTTCAGAGGGACATCGTCGTGACAGGCCATCTTGTGCAACACCTTTCTCTGCAGGAACATGAATTAGTTCAAAGTCAAAAAGTTGAATGTAACAGATCCAGCGCATTATCGGCGCATTTGAAAGGTCAGGCTTGCGAATCATCTCTTTCAAATACTTCGCATCGACTTCGAGACGGAAATGAATACCCCAAATCTGGTGACGCATCTCCTTCATTGCTCGGAAGACGCCGTAGAGTTCTACTTTGGGTTGAGAATAAGCCGATTCGGTCTGATTAAAAGTGCAAGAACCGAAGACGACGGGGTGCTTGTCAGTTTCGAAGTACTGAAAGATGATCCAACTGGCTCCGTAAATTGAGGAGTCGACAGCGAGTACAACTAGCCCATCTTCTGAATCGCGCACTTGGGAACGATACGCCTTGCTTTTTCGTAGTCAATTACCTTGAGTACCGGCGCACTGGTAACTAGGGCCTTCAAATGATCCACTGCGTCTCGCTGTGCTTGACCGAATTCAAACGGGTCATCAGTCTTATGTAAGAGGGAAGTGAGTGGCTTAGCAATTATAGAGAAGTTCTTGATCCATTTCCGTCCAACGCCCGTGGTACCTAGGAAGCCGCGTACTTCGGAGACGGACTCTGGATAAGGCCATTTGATGACTTTAGCGATAACATCGTGTGCAAGCTGTCATCCTTCCTTGGATGCGATAGATCCTAAAAGTAACACCTTTCTGATGGCAACATAAAGCTTTGTCCCCGAAGCCGTAAGACCAGTTTCAATGTAGAGCGCAAAAACGTGATCAACTGTACCACAGAATTCCCAGACAAATTGTCGTATGTGCGGGTTTTCAGGGATCGGCTTGTTGTCATAGTCATCGGAAGGACCTTTAACACTACTGTCATCGATGTAAACACCGGCTTTCTGTGGTATGACGCTCTGCAGCGTATGTTCGGTGCATCATTGAAATTCTTGCATCGAGTTAGTGTAGCCCTGTGGAAGAACAGTCAATCACATCGGTCCAGCTGGGGAGTGGAATGTTGTCAAATTGCGTGACTCTGTAGCGAGGATGCGAGCATTGAACCCTGAGAACAGATCAGCCATCATATATATATGTCGTCCAACAAAACTGTCAACGAGCTCATCAATGTTTGGAGGGAGTGCAGAATCACGAATTGTGACAGCATTGAGGTCTTCGAGGTTATGGACCAGACGAATGGCGCCTGACTTCTTGAGTACTGCCATGAGTTGTGATCGATATGATGCTGAGGAATATTCATATTTGCCAAGATCGCGGTACTTCAGGACCGTGTCGCGAACGTCAGTCTTGATGGCTTCTGGAATTTTGAACGGAGGGCAGATCCAAGGTGTGTGTTCTATAACTGGCATACGGTAAGGGGGAAAGTATTTCAGGTTAAACGTACCCCGTTCTTCGTCCGTCCATGCAATGGCATTCTGACGACGAACAAGGACAAAGGCGATAAGATCGAGTTCTTGTTCTGAGAGGAATCCTGGCTCAATCTTGGCCATAATGGTGTCTAGTCGTTCTTGAGTCATTCGTTCAGTGGGAGTAAATTCTGAACATGGCGGGGGGTGCGTCGGAAGTGGTACGAAAGGTGGAATATCCACTGGATTGAATTTCTGCGCAGACGGGTCAGGCATAAACGTTGGGACAGGACGCACTTTGCGATGAACCGGCTTGTAACGATTGACGGCGTAAACTCGCGAGGCGTGCTCGTTCAAGGCACGTGTTGTCCAAGGCGAAGGTAGCGGCACACTAGAAGAGGGGAGCGTGTGATGTACGTGATGTAGCATATGGTCAAAAGTTTCAGGAGGATTGAGAGAAATAGCATTTAGCGCATCGAGAGGATCAGAATAATTTACGTCACCCAATAAACAGTGAAGAGTCTTGCCGAGCCTTGGGATATAGGCGGACGTGCTCCCTTCAGTCAGGGAAGGCTCGGACAGCACGTCCGGCCTCAAAAACACGGTCCAGCTTCAGATTCCGAGTCAGGAACATCGGCGATGGTCGCGCACACAAGTCTGTCTGCGTTTTGTTGATGATCGGGTCCCACAACTATGATCTTGACGGATTCATCGGATTTGCAACCTGACGGGAAGGCCTGAAGTGTCATGGAACCAGCGCGTTCATAGTCTATACGTGCCACAAACCACTGTAACCAGGGTTGACCGAGGATACCGTCATGATTTCCGGTTTCCGAACGACTGACGAAGAAGTGATGGTCAAAACGTTTGCCGTGGATCTCGATGTGCGCATCCCTACAACAACCAAGAAGAGGGACCGGATCACCATAGATGCCACGCAAAGACCAGCGAGCTCCATCTTCATCAATGTCGACTCCTGATTGATCGAAAATGTGTCTCAAGATGAGGTTGAGCTCCAAACCCGAATCTACAAGAAAAGTAACATCTTTAGTGCCGAACTTAGCCTGTACCACTCCACAAGCCATGGCAAAGAACCACTTGGCACCAAGCGATACAGCGCCTGCATACCATTCGAGGATATGCATCAAATCATCCTTGGTTGAAAACATCAGTAACGCTTGTGCGGTCTGTTCTTTACCTGATTGTGGCATGTCCGCAGATGTGTTGTCCTCATCCACTTCGTCACAGTCATAGATCGAGGCTTTCGCGCCAAATTCTTTGCACGTTTTCGTGAGTGATGCAAACCGCTTCTGGAGTTCTGACAAAGCGCTGAGAATGTCGTGCAATGGAAGGGTAACTTTGGTGTCGAGCAGCTGTTCCTGCACCTGATCAATAGAAACATTCTCCTGGATATTCGACGTGAAATGATAATTAGTAGGTTTGAACGGTCTAGAAGCGGGACTAGTCTGCTCATCCTGAGGCTGTGAACGCTTTTCACGTTTGCGACGTTCACGCTCACGCCATCCATCTTCCGTGTTGACCTTAGGTGGGAAAGGCGTTGCATCAGGTTTCTCTGGTGATATCATCGGGGTCGACGGCGAGTCTTTCTTGGTGAATCGCGTTGGTTCTGCCAGTTGATGAACCGTGACCGGAGGTGTAGTAGTGGGAGTCTGTTTGTTGTACTGATCGTCCGAATGTTTGAAGTCTAAACGGACGCTCATTTGAGGCTGGTCACCACCAGAACTGTGTTCTGGACCATTGTGCTTCTTAGATCTAGTAGTCACAGGAAATGAGTAAGTAGGTTTGGAAGAGACTGCAAAGACGTCACCACTGATTAGTTGTTCATTGTTCATATACAGCCCCATAGAGTTGCAGTGCAGCGGGCGATCCCGCTCGTGTTCCTTGGACTTGCTCGTTGTATGCTTGCGCTCTTCACGAAGTATAGCCACGATCCCGCCTTGTCCTGGTGCTGCTCATGGAAGGGGTGAACTGTCCGCACATTGCAGACGACCACACGGAGACCAGCATGCGAGCCCTTCTTCAACCAGCTTCAGGGCCTCACCACAGTTGTGTAGTCCTAACTTGTGCATGAGATCGCATCCTTCGACTCCGTCGCATAGCCAACATCGTCGCGGTAAGTCGCCGGTAGTCCGTGTCAGTTCTGGATGACTAGCGGAAACTTGAGGCTGTGCCTGTGTTGCGTTCACGAGATGCATGGTGAGCTTGTCTATTTTGTCTTGTAACTGCGAGATTTTCTTGTTATCAGCGTCCATCGACTCTGCCTTACCCTTCATCTTCTTCTTCTTCGATTTCTTCTTCTTCTTCCGTGGCTTCTCGCCGTCGCTCTCTGCATCACTGGAAGAGTCAGTATCGCTATCACTGTCACTGCTATCACCTGATCCTGTCTCTGAGTCCGAACTAGAGCTTGAGCTCGAATCTGAATCGTAGTCGATGTTATCCTCTTTAAAATAGTCGCGTGCAACCTGAACGACTTGTCCTACCGTCGGTGGTCGGTGACTTGTCAACTTGTGTCCTGCAGCGGTCTCAATGCTAGCCTTCAGCTTCTTGCGTAAGCGTTTCGGGACCCCTTTGTAGAACGCGAGATTCCGGTCCATGTCGGAGAGTCGTCCTTTCGTGACCATGTCGCCGACCTTACTCGCGAATATATGTACGTAGTTGTCAAAGTCGTGCAGATCTCGGACGCGTTCCTTTTTCGCCTTCTTGATATTGTGAGGTTGATCACTACTACTCACTCGGCTGTTAGGCCATGGGTCACAAGCGCATGAGGGGCTCATGCGGTTGGGGCCATATATTTATACTACACAGTAATTCTAGGAGATTCCAGTATGTTCTCCGACATACCTATGTGCTGACTAATATATGTTTCCTGATTGGGAAACCACCAGCCCTAACACTTGACAAACGCGTGTAGCCGCCGGGGCGGCACTTTGGGTTTGTGATCCGAGGACTCATAATAGTAAGTTAACTGAGCCCGGGCATCTGCCCAGACTGTACCTGCGAAAGCAGCATCGTTCTCAATGATGCGGTGTACCTTCGAATCGCAGTACCGTAACACCAACTTTGGCCATTCAGTGTTAGCGATTCCGGCTGCTTTAGCTGCACTCTCGAAGTCGGAAATAAAATCTTGTACGTGTTTCCCGTTGAAGGACGGCGTGCCTTTACCTCCCGGGCGCGGCATGGAGATGGGGATGAACGTGGAGGAGGTGTTGGGTGTCTGATTCATGATCAACAAGACCTGTGCTGCTACATTGTTAGCTAATTGAGCAGCTGGGGAACTCACGGGACTTGTCGCGGCTGCAGCTTGCACTGTCGCGTTGGTTGGGATTCTGGTACGTGTCGTGTCTTTTGAAGGACTTCTGGAGATGGTACCCTTTGGCACGGTCATGGAACGCATGATGCGTGAAACCGGTATCTTGGACTTGATCATCTTGAGGGGAGCCAGCGAGAGTGTGTCGGAATACCTCGAAACAACCCCCTGTGGTGGTCACCACATGTGGAGGGGAAATCTGGCCTGAACGTCGGCGTGCAGTGATTCGAGAGGTCGACAACGAAACGAGTTGGCGCTGGCGTGGGAGGACAAGTGTGGGAAAGTGAAAAATGGCTGGCCGCCAATATACTACGATAATACTTTTGAAGGAAGAATATACTTGCGCGTCGCTCTTATTCGCGTCGCGAAACCCTTGGTAACTTGAGAGAACTATCTCGTGAGGGACTTAAGGGAGATAGAGAAAAGCGGGGAAAAATCTGCTATTCGAAGGAGAGCCGTGCTCCTTTTATACAGTTCAGCCTGCCCCAACACTTTCTCAGCTTGGGGCCTCCTCGGGCTATGATTCGTTCGTTCGAGAAGGTAGGTAGTAGGAGAAATGAGTCGATGACGGCGATGACGCAATGGCTAAAAGGGTTCCGGAATGGGAAGGTATGCTACTAAGAAAGGTAATAAGTCTGGGGCCTTGTCCGCGGCATACTCACATTTTGGCGCAACTTCAGGATTCTTCTCTTCTGCGGGAACAGCCAGGCAACAATGCGGGAGTCGTCCCTATTTGCGAGTCATGTTCCGGGCCCCCAACGGAAGTGAGGAGCTCGACCTGCCGTTGCGCCATGACTGCCTTCCGCGTCGGATCGAACCATCGGTCTGGCCTCCACATGAGGTAGAGTCGAGTCGAAAGGGAATATTACATGTTAAGTGAGTGTCGTCGTGAAGATTGTGGGTTCCACAAGAACGTAAGAAGATAAACTGCGTATCCAGCCCTGCTCCGTGACCGAATTCTTGCGCGAGAGTTTGAAAGTGAACATCAAGACCTATACTCGAAGTGGAAATGTTAGTTTAGAACGCGTGGGAATTCTCTCCACCACAGCGCCAATGGTACGCACGCTCTGCGAGTGAGCTACACGCACAGGGTGTCAAGGGCATCCAAGTCAAGCTGGGTGGTACGGATAATCCTGGTAGCCACTTTAATGTTTTGTCCATGTCCGCAGGATTACTGTACCATTTCGATCTATTCGACATGTCACATGTCACAGGCACTTCTGTTGTGTCGAAATTCGGCTGCTGTCACACATCACCAGTGACAGTGTCGGAAGGTCTTTGCATGTCACCGCCCAGAAGGGCCACGAAAATGGCCAAAATAGCCTTTAAAAGGCTGGAAAATGTCGAAATTTTCGGCCGGTCACACCTGGCCGGCCGAGTTGTCTAACTGTCGAATTGGTACCAGGCTGTCACGCGTCACACCGGTTGTCGAATAGATCGAAATGGTACAGTAATTGGAGTCGGAAGCAAGGAGACTTGTCAGTGGCTCGGGCCGGCGGGCGAGATGATCGATACTTACAGTATCTGCCTAATTTGGAAGGTAAGTTAGATTAGTGGCTTTTGTCCTCGGGCACACTGGAATCCTCGCCGCTTGGTTTGCTGATATACCTAGAGCGTACACTAACGCCAACTATATTTCGTAGCTAGCAGGCTTGTGATCGCCTTCATACAGTGCCAAGTATTTGGCGTCGCAAACAAGTACCGTCACAGGTTTTCGCATGCAGTGGCACACCCGAAGAAAACGCGCAGAACACGTTCTGTAGGCCACATGACAACATGGCCGTTATCATGTCGACTTCATGGAACTTGCAACGATTGGTAGTCTAGATGTCGCCAGGGACAGGTACGGAATCTGCATAGAGTTATTTGCTACCATGCTTCTTCAACATTTGCATTCGAGGCAGTAGTGACTTATCGACCCCAGCACAACGCCTTCATCAAGCTCCAAGTGGGCCATGAGCACAATAAATGGTACAGGTGCATACTGAGGTACGCGCTCGAACGTCTAGACAGATCTTTGGAGACACATCATCACTCCTCGGAACTACCTATTCAGTTCCTGGGCCTCTTGTACGACACGCTGCACTTCTGCTGTGTCTCCACCAAAACTTTACAATTCACAGCCCCTCTGCACAACTGCCAGCTATGCGGTTCGCTACTACCCTTACTATCATAATGCTTGGACTCCCAGTCCTCGCCGTCGGTGGTGTCCTTGCCGCTCCGTCTGCTATCAAGGCTATGCCATGAAGCAGACCGCAGGCACGCAACACCGCTCTCTCACGATCATACGACCTACGCCAGATTAACGCGAATGAGTCGGTGCAGATCTGTACCCTCGACTCGTGCGAGGACTGCGAAATTTACTTCTTGGCAGATCTCGAGGTCGGCGTGTGCTACTCCACCGAGAGTTACGTGGTGATCATGGCTTGAAATCCTGAAGGACCGAGTTGGCCTTTCTATCTCTGGACCTCGATAGATGATTGCGCCAGTGGCGTGGAGCTCACCGCAAATGTTGACAAGTGTAACTACATTGTCAGTCCGGGAGTTGAATGGAACAGCTTCAAGTATCTGACCAACTGCCACTCGGAGCAATATCTGCCTTGTGGTATCGATTACTTACTGGCGTGTACTGTCTCAGCGCTTGGTCCGTAGCACGAGCGAAAAATGGTGTCCGCAGCACAAGTGGAAAACACTGTGAAGGAAATAAGAAGGTACATATAGGCCAACGTTGACTAACTGGCCCGTGCATGTTTCTGATCGAACTCTAGTTGGAAACGGATGTACAAACTTTGCTAGCGACAGTGGGGTGCTTTTATTTATTGACTCTAGATCTCTGTGAGCGCCATTTCGTAGCGCAGGGATGGTCGGACCGAATAAAGCAGATATATACCGATGACTACGCCAGACCTGAACTAGCTTTTGTATGATAGACGACAGAAGAAATTAATGTCCTAAGAAGTCCATGAGATACGATAGTCACTGAATGGAGGTAACAAGTAGCGAGGGAAAACGAAACAAAATCCAGACATCGTGACAAAACATTCATTGGTATGATTTGCGCTTCTCGGTCCGATTGTCCCGTTCCACGAGACAGTCCAACCAGTATTTGCAGAAAACTAGAGAAGCTGCTTCCAGCCAGCATCGCGACACTTCTTTACGAGGCGCTTCACTTCTTGTGAACGGGCGCGAGTAGTGACGAGGAGGGTATCGGGCATATCGACAATGACGAGGTCGTCTACTCCGAGAAGGGAGACCAGCCTCCCTGAGCCGGGTACGACGATACCACCCGCAGCTTGTTCGGTGAGCACTGTCAACGAACAAAAGTCAGAACTCAGTGGTTGGCACTGAGAAGAAAACATACCGAGACCGCTATCCCCGAGTACACGGGGCTGATTTGCCTCCGCCGGGATAAGACCAGCAAGAGACGAGAAATCACCGACATCATCCCAACCTGCGTGAAAACACATGATTCAGTAAGGAACAACACACCGTGATCGCCGAACTTACCGAATGTTGCAGGAACGACCGCCACCCTGCGGTCCATCGCCGCAGGCTCCGCAACAGCGTTGTCAATCGCAATCTTCTCAAGCCCCGGCCAGACTTCATCCAATACTCCTTGCCTGAGCTTCTCGTCGTCCCAGCTGGCCGCGATCTTTTCCAGCCCATCGTGCAGCTCTGGCTTGTACTCCTTGAGCAGCTGCATGAGGAACGTCGCCTTCGTGACGAACATGCCTGCGTTCCAGCGGTAGATACCGGTCTTGATGTACGCCGCGGCGGTGCGCGCGTCGGGTTTCTCCTTGAAACTCGATACGAGACGCGCGTTGGGCGCGCCGTCCATGCCGAGCTTGTCTCCCAGACGGATGTATCCGAACCCAGTCGACGGGTGGGACGGCGCGATGCCAATTGTGACGAGGTAGTCTTTCTTTGCGACCTCAACTGCCTCCGCGACCGCGGCCAAGAACGCGTCGTCGCCAGAAATCATGTGGTCCGCAGCGAAGGAGCCAATAATGGCATCCGGGTCACGCTGCGCAAGCACTGCTGCGGCTAGCCCGATGGCGGCCATTGAGTCCTTGGCGCTGGGCTCACACAATATATTATGTGCAAGAAGGTCCGGCAGCTGTTCCATGATGCTCTTCACATGGGCAGGACCTGCAACAATCGTTGTGCGTGCTGCCGAAGACAGGGGTAGCAGACGATCCCAAGTTGCTTGAATGAGCGAACGCCCCTTGAGAGTAAGGTCGAGCAGGAATTTAGGGTGTTCTTCCCGAGAGAGCGGCCAAAGGCGAGTCCCTGCGCCACCAGCGGGGATGACGACGTAGAACCCGGGAATTTCGCGAACGCCGAAAGGGAACGCGGTTAGAGCGTTGTCGCCCAGGGGTGACGAAATATATAGGCTTGATGTGCAAGACAATGAAGGAAGGGGTGGGCTGAGGAACGGTGACCTCGAGCTGCGGAGCAGGGGGCTGGCAGGAGCAGAAGGTTGGAAGCCAACCTTGGTACCAATGTGGCCGTTCTATCGGAATGGTGAATACCGGGAGAACGAAGGTGACACGAACGTGTCGTAAGAACGATGTCAAAGAGCTGGCACAAACTGCGCACGCGTTGGGAGGCGTTCACCACAACGGCTTGGACATGCTGATGTCCCGAACCCAGCGAAACGAATGTGTTTTCGATGCAGCATAACCGGTGCACTCGTGCTCACCTGCATTCCCTCTCGCACCAGACGTTCAAGATTGGCGTTCGCCTGCCTGAGCTCATGACACTCGCACCGAATTTCTGCAATCTCGATATTCTGTCAATACCAGTCCCCGACGCCACTGGAGGTCAGTTCAAGACATCACCGACACGACTCTGGCAGACCCACAGATTTCTGCACAGCGTCCAAAATCTGCTTGAACATGAATTCAACCTGAGGGTTGTTGCCCGTGCTCTGCATGGGAGACTTCGTTGTGATAGTGCTGAAGAAGGACATAGCTGCGGATGCGGAACAAAGGGGTCAGCTAGGGAGTAGAGGAGTGACAGTGAAGGAAAGGAGGAGATAATTTATGTACGGACACCGGCGCCCTGAACATGTCACAGTCTGGCAAGTTCCGCCCAGTGAATATGGCAACCCGCTCAATTCCCGGCACGTTCGCGGGCACATGCAGTCTCCTCTTACGCAGATGAAGTTCCAGAGTTCAAACCGCTGTCGAGACCAATGTATTTCAACTTTATATAGTTTATGCGGATAGCTATCTACAGAACGAAACAACAGAGGTATCCTCGCAATAGAACTAAGCATGACAATGGGTCCATCCAGTCGCCCCCTCGCTGTGGCGACAGGTCACCATTTCGAGAACAACATGTCCGCGAAGGTTTGCACACGTGAACCCTCTCGTCACCGCCTTATGTGCATCCTTCAGTCCAGGAAGCGACACGCAGGAATACCGGACAGATCCATGATGCCATGCCAGTGCGCGGGGTAGGCAACGTCCATGGACCGACGTCAATCCTCGTCGCTTCCAAACTCTAACGCCTGATACTTGCGGCGCTTCCTCGACGGGTTTGCCAGCGACGCACCCTTCGGCGGTACCGCCGCGGCGCGGCCCCGTGCGCCTTCTATGAAACGGAGATAGAGCGCGGACATCAGAACCGGCTGGTAACCACTAGCGCAGCGGAACACGCACTCGCAATCGAGACCAGCTTCGATGTATCCGGCATAGACTGTTCTGACTCCGTCCGGGCTAGCTGCGCCTTCAATTTATTGATCTCCTTCTCTGCCGCCGGCGAGTGTGGCCGTTTCACCGCCTTCTTCGTGCCCGTGCTCGTGCTTGCAGGCGGCGTGCGGCTCCGGCGAGCGTCAGCGAGTTCAGCCTTCAGTTGCTTGATCTCCGCTTCTGCCTTCGACAATTCCACCGTCGACTTCGAGGATGAAGCTTGTGTGGACTTCGAGGCTGGAGGCGCTGGAGGATCGTAGGATGATGGGTGCAGTCGGCATTTCCTGGACTGGGCTTGCCGGGCGATCTGCAAGGCTAAACGATCGACGAAGACCTGACGTACGACATGGCACATACATCTGTGAAGACCTTTGTTGCGAATGACGCAGCGTCTCCCGGAGATAGTTCTGCTAATGGTATATGAATTGGAGTTTTGGCATTGGGGCCGATGGTGAGCTGTCACAGATAGTCAACCCTCGAAATTTTAGGAGTGAGGATACAGAAAGCGGCGCGTGGTCGTTTGTCTTTGAGATCACCTAGTAGATGTCCACACTCCTGTGCCCCCTTCAAACTGACATTGGGGGCTGTCGAGGAAATATTTTACTCAAGGTTTAGAATACGGGTACTCCAGCTACTCACGAAAGTGCCCCGCTCTCTCGATGCTTGTCCACGCGATGTACAGGGAATCCACCAAGAAACACACTGAACATGATGAGAAGACGTACATTGATTTCAGCGCCCTTCTCGAAGCTCCAGTTTCCTATGTATAGCTCTCCTTGGATGAACTTGTCCGTGAGATGTTCTGTAAACGTCTCAAGTAGCTTCGATGACGATCTGGTGCCCTAACAAAGACCGAGAATCCTCAACATTCAAGGAAACTTGAAAGCTTGACACCCAGAAAGTTCGCTTCAATAAGCGTGACGATATACATACCACTGTCTTGTGGACGTCCTTCTCCGTCCAGCGTCCGCTCCACCAGCGGCCTTCCGGGCCACTCAACCCAACATAAACCGTCCAACCCACTTCATTCACAGAAGACAGGACAACAAAACGCGAGGGTCCCTGGTATATCACTTGGATGAGCTCATCGAGAGGCAGAAAATGTGAGAGGACGTCAAAGTCTGAAGCCATAGTTGCCAGCGAAGTTGAATTCAACGTCGGGCAATTGAGCGCCCGTTGGGAACTTTGAAGGTTATCTTATCTTAAATATCTCTCCAACAGGATCTCTTCCACCGATCTCATCGCGATGTGTGTATAAATGACTGGTTTTCTCTACGACGTAGCTGACAGCGAAGCTCGTCAGCAGGTTTCTGTATTTCTAGGTGTGGCACAAGAGCATCGAATTGTGTACAGGTGAGCCTCTGCTGGTGCAGACGATCGAGTTCTTTGCGGTCGCATGATCTTGACGTGAGCCTGGACCTGCAGTGAAGTGTAATATGAAGAAGCGGGTAATCTTCGTCGGTATCGGGTGAGTAGACTTCAGTTTGTTCTCCTTGCAATTACATTGACTTGACACAGGGGAGCGACGTGTTCTGGCAAGACGACGCTCGCGAAGCATCTGTGTAGGATATTGCCCGGGAGCGTGATCCTTCACCAAGATGTACGTCCCCTCGCCGACATAGTATTGTTACTCGACACTGACATGCGTGCTACAGGACTTTGCCCCCGTGAGTTTATGCAGAGTCTCGCGAGCTCTCCGTGCAGTCACCATCTTACATTTCCGTGTTCGTAGCCTCAAGAATTAGTCCCGATTCACCCGGAGTACAACGTTCAAGATTGGGACAAAGCTGAGGGTGCTATTGATTGGCCGAGGATGGTCAAATCCCTTGCTGAGGTAAGGCGGCAGAGGTGCTCGTGCGACGACCTACCCCCGCTGCGATCTTCTTGGCCGAGTGACTCACGATCCTGCTATTGTCAGGTCAAGCGCTCTGGCGAGATACCGCCAGAACATTACTCACACGACCACCTGAACGAGCAGAAAGATGTACCAATTGACGATGCTACGTTCCAACATTGGCGGGACGTGTTCACTAAGATAGACGCGGTGCACAAGAAGGCGGGTGAGCAGCTCGTGTGGGTGCTCGTAGATGGCTTCCTACTATATTGGCATCCAGTAAGTTGTGGCATTCACGCGTTTTCTGGATCCTTCGCTCAACAACTCGCAGGAAGTAGTCAATCAATTAGATATCAGGGTATTGCTGAGAGTTCCTCACGACGTGCTCAGGCAGAGACGGCACGAGAGGCATGGATATCACACAGCAGGTAGGACACTTGATTTATCCCGCATTCAACGGCAAGCTGACACTCCTCCCTCACACGTTTACCCATGCATTCCCGACCGTTCGTCTGGCGCGCCTCATCTGCGACTTCGCCTTCTGGAGTGCAATCTGATCCAGAGGGCACGCTCTGGAAAGACCCTCCGAACTACTGGGAGCAAATTGTCTGGCCGGCATACGTCGATGCACACTCGCGCATTGTAGAGAACGGTGATGTCGAGCATGGACAGCCGAACGGCGCGGTTCCAGGTCTCATATTAATAGACGGGCTGGAGATGAAGATGGGGGACATGGTGGAGCGGGTGTGCGTTCGGCTGGCGGAGATGGTGGACGGGGAGGCGATGAGGCAGCGAGACGGAGTAGACGGGATAGTTGCACTCGATCATAACTAGAGTGTATTTGCAGAGATAATTATTGGGCCCATCGTAGAAATTCCCTAGGCCTCATAGGACTGGGCTCGGACTTTCGGCTTTCACTGCTCCGTGCATATGAGAATGATTCTCGCTGCAAATACACTGGGTGGAACATATCAGATGTCGAAGAGGCAGTGGATTATGGACACGCGGGGTCCGGGGTCCGAAAAGTCCGCAGTGTTCGGAGACCGAGCGGACTCGCGATTTCACATGACTTGGCCGAGTGGGAGCTCTCGTGACGGCGCTCGATTCCGCTTATAGCCTGTCCTCTCTGCATCCTCTTCCCATCTCTCCTCCTCCTTTATTTCTCCAACAATAATGGCCCAAGTTATCGTCGTCGGTGGTGGTCTCGCAGGTCTTTCGGCCGCTCACACTCTTCTCGAGCGCGGTGCAAACGTTCTGTTACTTGACAAGCAGGGGTGAGTAGTGGTCTGATTACATTCATGTCGTCGGCACATCGGAGAGGGGTTCAGTCGGTGTGGGAGCAGGTGATGCTACGTCCAGAGGCGCATGCGGAGCGCGTATACGCGGACGCTTGAGCGTGAAGTGGAACGATAGGCTCGATTCCGCGTCTTCTGCGCGTACGGGTCTCCGTCTACTTCTGCCGGCGCCCGTTCTACTTCCCGTCGGAATACTCTGCCGTCGTGAACATTGTGAGAAGCATAAGGGTTTTACAATGACTTACCATGTCGATCTACAGGTTCATGGGCGGCAATTCCACCAAGGCAACTTCCGGTATCAACGGTGCAGGTACCAGATCCCAGCAGGAGCTCGGCATTCTGGATAACGCTAAGATATTCTTCGACGACACCAAGGATTCAGTACGTCGCACCCACTGCTCGTGCACCATTACCGTGCTCATCGGTACTATAGGCTCGCGAACTCGCTCGTGATGACCTCATCAGAGTACTCACCGGGCGTTCCGGGGACGCGGTCAACTGGCTGCAGGACAAGTTTGGTTTGGATCTCTCCAAGGTTGCTCGTCTGGGTGGTCACTCTCAACCTCGCACGCACAGAGGAAGCGCTCAGTTCCCTGGCATGGTACCCATCTTTGGTTCTATCCACGTCTTCTCCGTGTTCACACCCAAATACAGGTCATGACATACGCCCAGATGGAGCGCTTGGAGGACCTGTCTGTGAGCACTCCCGACCGTGTCAAGATTAAGAAGAAGGCTCGCGTGACCAAGCTCGTCAAGGACGACTCCGGTGCCGTTATCGGTGTCGAGTACGAGCACAACAAGAAGACCGAGACTGCTTACGGCCCTGTCATTCTTGCGACTGGTGGTTACGCAGCGGACTTCACTTCAAATTCGCTGCTGAGGAAGTACCGTCCAGAGTTCTTCGACCTCCCCACAACGAACGGTGATCACTGTACCGGCGATGGTCAGAAGATGGCTATGGCAATTGGCGCACACGCGATCGACCTTGAGAAGGTGCAAGTGCATCCAACCGGCTTGGTAGATCCCAAGGACCCAGAAGCGAAGGTTAAGTTCTTGGCTGCTGAGGCGTTGCGTGGTGTTGGTGGTCTACTCCTGGATAATCAAGGTCAGCGGTTTGTCGACGAGTTGCAGCATCGTGACTATGTCACTGGAAAAATGTGGGAGAACGGCAAGGCACGTGAAGCAGTTCCATTTCGCTGTCAGGGTGTTTACTGATCCTCCACTTACAGTTCCCCATCCGTCTCGTCCTGAACGGTCAAGCATCTGCCGATATTGAGTGGCACTGCAAGCACTATGTTGGCCGTGGACTTATGAGGCGCTTCGAGAGCGGTGAGGAATTGGCGAAGGAGATGGGCCTTAAGCCTGAGGTCCTCAAGAAGACCTTCGACGAATACAACAAGGTCGTCCGGTCAAAGAAGGATCCCTTCGGCAAAAAGGTTCGCAAGGTATCGTCGTTGATACAGTACGTGCATTAACCCATCTCGCCTTAGTTTTTCGCGTCAGGCGAGTGGAGCATGAACGATATATTCAACGTCGCGATCATGACCCCTGTCCTGCACTACACCATGGGTGGTCTCGAGATCGATTCCGAATCGCGCGTGGTGGATACCAACGAAAAGCCGATTCCGGGTCTCTTTGCAGCGGGAGAGGTCGCTGGTGGCGTGCATGGCGCGAACCGTCTAGGAGGCAGCTCGTTACTCGGCTGCGTCGTCTTTGGGCGTGTTAGCGGCGACTCGGCTGCATCATACCTTCTGCAGGTTCTTGGCCCTCTCGCCGGGAAGGCTGCTGGCCGATTGGGTGCCGTCGCTGGCCACCTTGGCGCGCCATCCAGCTCGAACGCCGCCGAGCCTGCGGCTCAGAAGGCGCCTGAGGCTGAGGGTACTCACTCCGCGGGCGGCAAGGCCTTCAGCGCAACGGAGGTTGCCAAACACAACAAGAAAGACGATGTGTGGGTCATCATCGACAACCAGGTGCTCGACGTTACGAACTTCCTGTCCGACCACCCCGGAGGAGAGAAGGCGATTCTGCTGTACGCAGGTCGTGATGCGACGGAGGAGTTTAACATGCTGCACGACCCGAAGGTACGCGCGTCGTCTCTTCTCGTGAATCCCGTGTGCTCATGATGCCTCTCAGGTCATCCCGCGGTATGCGCCTGATGCGGTGATAGGCACGCTGAAGAAGTAGATTGTTGTTCCTTTGCTGTACCGCACTTTAGTGTTGTACGGGGAATTTTGCTACGCATCTTCAGTATGATTATACCGCACTCGTATCTGTCGCTTAGGTTGTTTTCGCATGTAATATATATCAGTACGACTCATCGTTCCATCCTCTCGTTTGACGGCGCATGTTGCGCATACATCGCTACGCCGATATGACATGTGAATGTACTCAGAAGAATATTGCAGGTAGAAGCCTGGCAACTTGAAAAGGTATTTCTGCTATGCCCAGGATGCACCTAAAACCACCCCTCGCTACAGTGTTCCCACTCCTTTATCCTACGAGAATGTTTTGAGGGATCGTGTGACATATGTTTTATGAGACGTACCATTTTGAGCGAGATTTGTGGTCAACGTTTCAACGTCAACAGTCGTCAACAGTACTACTCAGTCATCCTCGGAGATTTCTAACGGGCGTTAGAACGGTCGCGCAATGCTCACGGCTCATGACAACATTTCCCGACAATTCATTTCCCATGCTTCCCAGCTTTGTCATTCTCTGCACACTGGTGCCTGCGTTCTCGTTGCACTGCAGTGCTGTTTGGGATCGCAGCAATACCGGTATTTCACATCGTCAAACGACATTCCACCGGTATTGTGCTGGTGGGTTGTAAGTTCATGGCATCAGCATCATCGCCTCCTCTTTCAGACTCAGAATCTTCCCTGGGGCGAAAATATGGCGCAACGTCCTCTACTGTTGAATCCGGGCGGATTGCAGTTGCAGAAGAACTTCCGATCGGTGCTCTCCCTCCAGTAGATAAAATCCATGGAGGGCTCCATCGTGGCTTGTCTGCACGACAAGTTTCAATGATCGCCATAGCTGGGACCATAGGTACAGGATTATTTCTGGGGACTGGGAGATCGCTAGCGCAAGGTGGACCGGCGAGCATGGTCATATGCTATGGAATTGTCGGGGCTGTTGTTTATGTTACGCTACTGTTACTTGGGGAGATGGCTACCCAGTATCCTGTCGCTGGTAAGCATTAGATTTCTCGCATGCAACCATACTATGAACTGATAATACCTGGTTCTAGGTTCTTTCAACGCGTATGCTACGCGTTTCTTTTCTCCTGCCTATGGTTTTGCCCTTTCGTGGAACTACTGGTTCAATGACGCCGTATCTGTCGCGTCGGATTTGACTGCTGCACAGCTTGTTCTCCAGTTCTGGACGACCTGGAATCCGTGGATGATCAGTCTAGTGTTCTGGGTTTTCCTGGTTGGCGTGAACGCAGCGCATGTGAAGGTGTACGGAGAGTTGGGTATGTACCAGAACCACCAGGACACTTCTCACATACTGATTCTCATCCTACGATGTACAGAATACTGGCTCTCTTCACTCAAGATCACTGCTGTAGTGGTTTTCATAATCGTTGGAATATTTGTCAACGTCGGCTTCAATCGCGATCACGAGTTTATTGGCACTAAGTACTGGAACACGGCCGGAGGTCCATTTGTGGGCGGATTTGCCGGATTCGCGCGCGTGTTCGTGACGGCGAGCTTCGCTTGTAAGCAACTGCATTCATGTTATGGACAACTTATCGATCGCTCTTGATTGTCTTCCAGATGGCGGAACAGAGAGCCTGGGCATCACCGCGGGTGAGACAAAGAATCCATCACGGAACATGCCACGTGTTGTTAAATTCGTCTTCTGGAGGTATTGAACCATAGCACTATCGTCGTGCATTGACATGCTGATATCGATACAGGATTTTGTTGTTCTACATTCTGAGTATCGCCTTGATTGGGCTGAACAGTGAGCATCGTGGAATGTTTACAGTTCTTCCTCCTGACAAGACTTCAATCCGAGTCAGTTCCATGGAACTATCCGGGGCTGTCCAACACGACTACTACAACGTCACCCTTTACCATCGTGTTCAGGGAGGCCGGCTCTAGTACGCTTTCTGTGCAGCTGTTAATGTTTCAAGTCTTACGAGAAACCTGTTCTAGATGTTGCCGCGTCTTTCATGAATACTGTCATCCTTACATCAGTCCTGTCCGCTGGCAACCACGCGCTTTTCGCTGGTTCCCGTGTTCTTTATGGTCTCTCGGTCATCAGTCCGGCAGCGCAAGCTCCGCGGATATTCTCGTGGACGACAGAGGCAGGTGTTCCTTTACCTGCGCTCCTAGCCACTAGCAGCGTGAGCGTCTTGTGCTTCGGCACTAGCTTCATCGGCAGTGGGCAACTATGGGGTTGGTTGCAAAATATCGTTGGCGTTTCGAATCAGGTGGGCTGGACTCATTGTGCTACGACAGGTTACTGAATGGCTCGTGAGTAGATAGCATGGTTATCGATAGGACTGGCAAGCTGGAGATTTAGACAAGCGTGGATTCAGCAGGGTCGCTCGTTGGAGGAACTGAAGTTCAGGGCCTCGTGGACATGGCCTTGGGGGCCGCCGTTCGTGGTAATGATCTTTCACAACTCAGCGTAGATGATGATTAACGTCAATGCAATTTTTTTTGGTTATGTGTACAGGTGGTGACTGTTACAGCTTTGATTCTCAGTAAGTGTCCGATCTCCCTCGTTTCCTGGCGGCAACTCATGCCCTTGTCTCATGTAGTCCAAGGCTGGTCCTCCGTGATACCCCATTTTTCTGCGGTCGACTTTGTCTCTTTCTACGTGGAGTTGCCCGTGATGGTAGCCATGTATGTCGGATGGCTACTCGCAAGTGGGTCCCTCTTCAGGCCACAGGAAGAAGTCTCCTTGTCCCTACCGCCGACAGCTTCAACACCTCTTTTATATCCTTCCAAATTGCGTCAACGATGGCGATACCATGATCTTGTCGATACCCAGACCGTCGACCTGAGAAGGGACGAACATAAGGAAGAGGATGAAGACAGGGCGGACGACGAAGAGCGCGAACATAGGCTCAAGGGACAAGTTGGGCTGCTGTGGAGGCTGTATTACATGGTGTAGCCGTTCTGGAGTGACGGCATGGTATATTAGTGAGTGTTTGAGCGCTCGTTCTCCGTTTCATCTCATCGTTCTGCAGGATCACTTACTTGTACTGAGTGCTAAACGCGTTAATAATGGAGGAGTCTTACTGCTTGTTTGTCTGCAACGGATGCCGTTGTTAGCCGACATAACCGTGTATGGCAATGCCATGCATCTTACGAATCCGTGCACGCCACTGGGCAGCCGCTGACCTTGCACTATAAGTGAGCTGAAGTTTTAGATTCTGATCGTAGCCAAGGTCGACTACAGAAGATATTTTGGAACCCAGTCAAGACGGTGGCGTAATTTCGACACGATGAAATAACTTGGCATTTGGTGAGTCACTCAGGGAATACACCCAGAGCGTCTGAAATGCAATGAAGACTTTGGTCGTCAAGTACATTGCCTGCACTGCTTTAATGTTTCACATAGAAGTACTATGGTCGAGCGTGAAAAGCAGATCTCGTAGGATCACTTTCAGTATCGTGTGGGCTCCACGCACCAATGGCTTTGCGTATTCAAATCAAGCTCGGGCGGTCGCCGACGGTCAGGTAAGTATGTATTCTCGTCATCTGCTGTACTTGATAGGAACGTTCCTCGGGTACCGATACTATCTTCCCCGAGGTCATTCGTTCGGGCGCGTCACATCGCGGTTCTACAATCTTTCGGATATTTTCCCTTCCGCCTGTTCTGCTGTTTTTCCTCTTATTTTCTGTTTTTCGCAACTATCTGATTCGCTTTGTGCATATACTGACGATCTCCTGTCTCAGCAACTTCCGAGCTTGAGGGTGATTGCAATGGCTGGCACGTCTTGCATTCTTCTCAAGAGGTTGCAACACAAGCCAGCCCCGGGCATCATCCCCGATCACGAACCGGATCTCCGACGCATCACCGGACTACAAGTTACAATCGGGCGCACTCTCAACTTGATTGCTTTGTGGGGGCACGTACCGCGAGAAATTTGTGGATGATCGATGTTGTCGTCGCTTCCTCTCTCTGGAAGCGCAGGTCAGGTCGTCCCTTCATGGCTTGTATGTTTGACGGCGAGCTGTAACGCAACACAGCGGCGTTGTTCGATACCAAAAAGTCTCTGTAAGTTGAAAGGCACCGAAGGTTTCTTTGTCGACGGAATTCCCTTGCGCTGTTCGGTGGACACCTGGCCGAGGACATTTCTGAGCGACGAAAGAGTGGTCATGGTACCCGGAACAACTGATTCTGATCGCGAGAACACCAAGTATGCGGTGACCTCCACGTTGAAACATCATACATCATGGATGGCGCTGCAAGTGTCTTGGTCCATGGAAAGGCCTCGGCGTACGAGTAGACGGCATGGTATAAGAGGACCATCCATCCTCAGCGAGTCTCTAGTTCTCACCCCTTCGCTCTCAGAGCCAAAGACTTGCAAGTCGGTACTGGATAGTGAGTCTTACAACTGCTTTGTCTAAAGCTTTTTGAACTGACGAATGCTTGGTAGCCTGACTTGCTTTTTGTTTTTTTGCGCATTTTATTTCACGACTTCATTCACGTTCAACTTCGACGCACTTCAGCGCCTTCACGCTTCACGCTCCCTGATATCTCCCCAAACCTCTTAATTATCTTTATTAGTTCGTCACGATGCGCTCCACCATTGCTGTCTCCGCTCTCCTAGTCGCTGCTTCCGCTGCTCCTTCCCTGGCACTCCCTATCGCTCCTGCAAGGTATGTCTTGACCATTGGATGCGTGTTGATTCGTCTGATTTGATTTTGATTCTACAGCGGTAGCGAGGCTCTTAACTGGTACAAGCTTGGCAATGCTGCGAGTACCGTTGGAAAGACGCTCCTTCACCTGCGCGAGGAGGATGCCCTCGTGGCGCGTGCTGACGCCGGGAGCGAGGCGATCAACTGGTCATCCTTCCACCCCACTCCTTTCGGCCCCGCTGTCGTCCGCGAGGACGCGTTAATTGCCCGAGCTGCGCCCGCAGGCAGCGAGGCTATCAACTGGAAGAAACTCGGCGGTTTCGCGAGTACAGTCGGAAAGACGCTCCTTTCCCTGCGCGAGGACCCAATTGTGGCTCGTGCATTCGAAGATGAGCTGTTGGCCCGCGCTGACGCTGGCTCCGAGGCCATTAACTGGGGGGCAGCCTACCTCTTTCACCCTCTGCGCGAGGTGGATCCCATCCTCGCTCGCGCCCTTGAAGATGAGCTGCTGGCTCGCGCGGGCGGTAGCGAAGCGATCAACTGGCACGACGTTGGTCAGGGTCCGATCCACGATGTGAGGGAGGAGGAACTTCTGGCTCGTACAGAGACGGAGGGTAGCGAGGCGATCAATTGGCACAGTGTTGGTCACAATCTCAAGGAATTTGGTCAGGGTCTGATCCACGACGCGAGGGAGGATGAGCTTATAGCTCGCGGTTTCGTGTGGAGTGAGCTGGATTGAGCGTCGGCTTACCATTTTCACCTTGGGAGTGACTGGTCTCATTGTACTGAGTTGCGTGACGTGAAATACAATGCGCTTGGCTCGGGAGGCTGAGAACTCATTCGAAGCACCGCAAATACACTTCGAGCCTCGATCCTGGAATCCTCGAAAAGCGACCAGTTTGGCGGCCAAAGTGTTAGCGTCATGTTTCCCTCCAGGAAGGCCCGTGGAGAAAAATATGGGTTATCAACTGGCACCATGTCGGCAACGACAACAAGCAATTCGGAAAAGGCTTCGTTAGTCGGGAGGATGGCAGCGAGGCTGTCAACTGGAAGACCGTTGGCACCATTGCCGGTGATGCTGGCCGAGTCGCTGCCCACTTCATCCGCGGCGACGGCAGCCAGGCGATCAACTGGCACCATGTTGGTCACGACGTCGAACAGTTCGGTGAAGGTGTGGTCGGCCGTGCGGATGCGGGTAGCCAGGTTGTTGACTGGAAGTCTGTTGGTACCGTTGTCGGCGACACTGGCCGCGTCGTTGCCCACTTCATCCGCGGTGATGTGCTATTGGCACGCGGCCTTGCGTTGAACGAATTGGATTGAGGGGTGATGTAGTTGTTTCTGGGGGATTTTTACTTAGTCTGTCATTTCGAGTTGTACGCTTGAAATGCGATGCGTTTGGCTCGGGGGGCTTGGGAACTCAGTACTCATCTTTGTCTTGCATCCATGATGCATGATCCCACAGGAAGTAGCGAATCATGTGACCGCGTCTGTGCTACATTTCACAAACACTGGCACATCCTCCAGCTCTGCTCTATTTCCAGGCTATGGCTGGCTTGACGATCAAGTCGTCCGTCCGTCTTTCCTCGGGTGAAAATTATGCTTGGTGATCGACGTGTGACCATGCTGAGCGCAGCTGTCAGGGTACAACATGCCACTACTGGGCTTCGGCGTTTACCAAAACTACACGACGAGGGAGTCTGTTCTCCAGGCATTTGCAGCGGGATACAGGTCATCTGTTACGATGCATGTCGTGCACGTATAGGTTCACTCAGCGCTGTACAGACATGTCGACTCGGCACAGGCGTACCGCAACGAGGCCCATGTCGGGGAAGCAGTACGGGAGAGCGGGTTAGATAGAGGAGATTTATTCATCAGTTAGCTTCTGCTTTCCTGCGCGATTAATCATTTATAGCTCGTGCAGCTACAAAATGTATTAACAAGACGCACGGCTACGAGAGCACACTGCGTGGTGTGGACCTGTCCCTGGAGAAATTTGGATTTGGTACGTTCACCCGATACAGTATGCACCCTTGTTGTCCCGTCATTGATGCGATTAACCGTGTTTGAGCAGATTATGTTGACCTCTTCCTCATCCATGATCCGATGTCTGGAACGGAGAGACGACTGCAGACCTATAAGGCCCTTCAAGAGGCTCGGAAGTCGGGGAAGATCCGCAGTGTCGGGGTGTCTAACTAGTCAGTTGTACTTTTATTTTCCTGTTGCACGACTGATCCTTGCACTACATCTCGCTGGCCAAGTGGTGTTAAGCACCTTGAAGAAATCAGAAAAGCGGGCATGGAGATGCCGTCCGTTAACCAAATAGAAGTTAGTGCTGGCGACTATCAAATGCGCGCATGCCTTACTGACTACATAGACTCGCCTAATCATCAGTTGCACCCCTTCTGCCGACAGAAACCGATTGTCGCCTACTGCAAGGAACACTCCATCGTGGTCCAGGCTTACTGTCCCATCATCCGGGGCAAGATGGACCACCCAACGATACAGAAGCTCGCTGAGAAGGTACGATCGTGAATTGCACGCTCTCGTGTTACAAATGTTGGGTACTGATTTGGACTGCTCAGTACAAACGTGATCCTGCTCAAGTTCTGCTACGCTGGTCTCTGCAGAAGGGGTAAATTCTCTATACATTGACACCGCTCCGCATTTTCATGATGTTTTTCGCAGATTCGTTCCATTGCCGAAGTCAGCAACACCTGCACGAATTCGGTCAAATGCGCAGCTATACGACTTCGCGCTCGATGACGAAGACATCTCAAGTCTCGACGCGCTGGACCGAGGCAAGGAAGGCGCGGTCAGCTGGAATCCTGTTGATGTCGAATGAAGACAGTACTAGTATTACTCAGTTCTCGCTGTTCTACCGTCATATGTCAGAATTGATGTATGCACACCAAGGATTATGCGGTGATCGTGGACTTGCATAAGATACAACACACACAGCGAAAGAACACGAGGGCATCAGTACATACGTTAGTCCTCGTCCATCGTGCTGTCCCCCCGCTCTTTTCTCTTCTGGATCCGCTCTTGCATCATTGTCTTTGCGCCTTCTTTCGCAGCGTCTAAATTACCTGACTTCGCGAGAGCCAAGAGGAGTGCGTGGATGAGTCCAACGTAGTTATGTCTCCGGAGGCTGTTCTCGAACTGTAACATTGACATAAGATGGTTTACACCGCGATGCAGCAGTTGATAATGGGAGACAGGGTACTCACGGCCCAGCGCTCGCGTTTTGAGTTCTCGACTGAGAGCTTGACTATGAGCTCCGCGGCTTCTGACTGCTTGCCTGCGGCATGAAGCTGTGCAAGCTGCGCCTGGAGAGTTGGTAGCGGGTCTTCATGTACCGCAAGCAGACTAAACTCGAGCTGTGGGAATACTCAGCGAACGCTTACTCGACGCCTGACAAAGAGAACTCACTGAACCTGGTGGATATGTCGCTATCCGTGCCTCGATGACCTCTCTGCAAAGCCTTTGGTCAGTCCAACAGCACTTACGAGAATGAATATAACCTGTTACCTCGCCTTCGCTACCCATCCTTCTCCACTCTCTTCATAGGCTCCATGTCGCACCGGGTTGGCCTTAAGTCCGTCCAACTCATACACACAGCCCATAGATGGCAAATAGACAATAAAATGGTACGCTTCTTCAGATGTCTTGGGCAGACCAAGGCCGTCCAGCGAGATTGCAGAGGGAGGGGACAGTGCGTTATGCGCCTCTCTGAGCCAGTCCGAGCTGGTGATGGCCATGCCGCGCGTCTGCGCGTCCATGCCCGTCGTGAATCCAATGAGGTCCGTGAGCTGCGTGCTCATGGGCAGCCCGGGGATGTTCCCGATCGCGTTCATGACGGCAAGCGTGGCGCACGCGTTGTTGACTACCTGGTGAGCGAAGAAACCGGGGAAGTCGGTGTCGAACTGGCCACCTGAGGGCTCTGCTGTCGAAGGGACCCATTTAAATAGAAATATGAGGGCATGAAGAGGTTGCAACTCGGCGAGGGAGGCAGCATCGAGCGAGTATAGGTCGTCTACCACCAGCGGAACTCCCAGCGTCTTCAGAAGCTCGCTGCAATGTTTATGAGCCTACAACAAAAACAAAAACAAAGACGTAATATACGTGAACACGCCTGGGTCTGATTCTGTGAGCTGCCAGCCACTCGAGTCGTCATCTCCAGACATGTTTATGTTGCGAATGTTTTCTAGAAATGTTCAAGTCTACCTTGTTTGAGTGACGCGTCGTGTCACGTTACTCGTACTAAACAACCATCGCCACGTGGATCGCATAGGCTCGATCGTGCCACCATGTCGCAGCCGGAGGACCCGCGAGCAGCTAATCGCGCACGCTTCGAGTTAGAGCTCGAATTTGTACAGTCTCTGGCGAACCCTTTTTATCTGCACTCTCTCGCCCAACAGAACATTCTCAACCAACCTGCCTTTATCAATTATCTGAATTACTTACAATATTGGAAGGACAAGGATTATGCACGGTTCATTTTGTCTGTCACACACCGAGACGAATTGCCTCGGATACCTCCTTCTAACTTGGGGATATCTGCAGGTACCCGCACGCATTGCACCACCTGGATTTGCTGCAGCATGCCCAGTTCAGGGCGGAGATAGGCAAGGACGAATGGAGAGAATACTTGAACCAGAAACAATTTGATCACTGGCGTACGTGGTAAGTATTGATTCTTTTACATAGGTATATGTGCTGATCCCTGCTGCATAGGCGTGAACCGAAACGACCGAGTGCGGTTCAACCTTCGAATTCTCAGCCAAACAGTAACAACATCCGCCTCTCATGAACAAGTTCCCGGGAGTGCAACATGAGGACTCGCAAACGGAGATCTGCATACTTGAGCGCGGCTCTCACCTTTGCAGTCCTCACCTCAACGGCGGTTCGATGTTCATCTCATGGTTATCTTTAGATCCCACTAGCTCGGAGGTCTCACACCTCATAAATATTGTGTACAGTAGAGACACGATGTCTCTGTTTCGTGAATATCTCGAGTGAGAAGTGCATGCGCCGTGAAGCCACTGCCTTGTAACAATGGGAAGTAAAACAACATCGCCGCATGCAATAATGCTGCACCACAGGGCAAGTATAGGCAACCTAAGAAAAGCTACGTTTTGCACAAATGTCACTGTACAGAGCAGCCACCTGGATCGGCTCGCTCACCTCTAGCGAGCAACATTCAGGCGGTGTCGTATACAGTACCTCCACTAGCAATGCAACGTTCTGTTCCTAGCGGCATACATGTCCGGTAGCATATTCCATGGCGTAAGCATGCACGCTCCCATGCTGAATTATGGCAGTGAATGTTGCTCAGGATATGCGACTGGTTCCGGGAGAATTTTTTTGACCGTCCGGGGTCCAACTCGTATACCGTCCAGAAAATACAACAAGTGACTTACCAGACTGGGAATGTTGGGCCATCTCATTGTCGCATGCAACGCAATGCAACGTTCTTTATGGCCTTTTTCAAATTCGCCCGCAATTATTTATTTTGCCAGCATCACTGCCAACTCGAGCGCCTATAGCTATGATCGTATAAGTCGCCGTGAGACTCGGATCGTGCCAAGGATCTCCGTCTCGATAGGTAACGTGATCAGCCACGCACACTTCTGCATGTTCCCTCGAAGTCGATGGCTAACGAACGAATCGCGAACGGGTATACCCTTGTAGACTCGGACCGCGATGTACACGAACATGAGTTCGACCTGGACGTGCACCTCGCCTCGCTCGCGGAGAAGAGACGGCTATGGTGGCGGAACGCACTCATCAATACGTTCTTCATAGCTTCTTGGTACGCGCTTGCTAATTTCATGTCGAAATTGCTTCTTGACTCTCAATTGGGTGATGTGTAGGTTTGTATTTGCCACTGTGCTGTCGGTGTATAACAAATGGATGTTCGCGCCGGAACACTTTGGCTTTCCCTCGCCGCTCTTTGTCACCACACTTCATATGATGGTCCAGTTCCTCCTCGCGACACTCTTGAGGCTTGTGTGGCCGCGACGTTTCCGTCCAGAACTTAGTCCTTCTAAACTAGATTATCTGTGAGTGGTCCGTCTTCTTATGTTCGTTCGCGTTGGGGACTAGTGCGTTGTATGCGCTCAGGTCACGGAGAACTTTCAGCACCTGATCTTGTGTACTGCATGCAGTGCAATCGCAGGGTGCGAAAGACATTTCACCTGCGACCATTCAAAATTTCTCGAAGATTCCTGGGGAGATTAAAATGATGACAGTTCCGTTTATTTTGTCTGCCAATTCGGCGCAAGCTTCGCTGCACAGACCTTCCATCGGTCATAACCTACCAGCTGAATTGGTAGAGCAGTCCGGCCTTTAGTGTCCCGTAGACGCTTTTCTGCAAGGCGGGCTGGTCATTTGTTCATTCGTTGAACAGCTCCTTGCAACCGCAATACCCTCCGCCAGATTTCTTTGGGTCAGCGAAGATGCAGTTTCACATCGTTTGCTGGTTGCCGCAATCCATGGCGATCCATGGCGTGTTCTGTTGTTACCCTTCATTTACATTATTTTTTTACTTGACTCGTTCCACCGGTATAGCGTGCTAAACCATTCTCACAGGCGCAAAGCTGTACCGACAGGCATTACTACATCACTAGATATCGGACTCTCTAATCTCTCTCTGAAAATGATCACGCTCTCCTTCTATAGTGAGTTTACCGTTGTCCTCCACTGATACTTGCTCATGGTCATTTGCCCCGACAAATGATCCGCTTGACTTCCGAGCGATTCAGCCATGTGCAAGTCATCGTCTCTAATATTTGTGCTACTCTTCGCGTTCCTCTTTCGCCTTGAGAGGTTTTCCTTCATCCTCGTCGGCGTCATTGCCCTCATATGCGTCGGCGTGCTACTAATGGTCGCCACCGAGACGCACTTTGTCCTCCCGGGGTTCATCCTGATCATGAGTGCGAGCGCACTGGGTGGGTTCCGCTGGAGCCTCACGCAGCTGCTTTTGCGGAGCAAGAACATGGGTTTTGACAGCCCCGTAGCGACGTTGTTTTGGCTCGCACCGATCATGGCGGTGACACTGGGCTCACTGACGCTCATCGTCGACGGGTGGTCGAAAATATTCAGCAACCACTTTTTCAGCGGCGGATCGGAGACGTTGCGGACGTGCTTCTTCCTGATCTCGCCCGGCGTGGTGGCGTTCTGCATGGTGCTGAGCGAATTCTAGTGCGTGCACTCTTAGCTCTCAGCGAGTGAGCGGGTGCGTGGGTGTGTTAATGCGCGGTCAATAGCATCCTGCAGCGAGCGGGCGTGGTGCCGATGTCGATCGCGGGCATAGCAAAGGAAGTGACGACCATCACGATCTCGGCGTGGGTCTTCGGAGACGAGCTCACACCGCTGAACATCACTGGAGTTGCGGTTACGGCGTGCGGTGAGTCTGAGATACTGGTACGACTGCAGCACCTGAGTGACTCTGTCTGCCGCAGGTATCGCGCTTTATACGTACCACAAGTACCGCAAGTCCATGGACGCGAGCGTCCCGCTCGATGCTCATGGGAACCCGGTCGAGGACGTCGGCGAGGATTGCCGTCGCCCAGGCGAACTGGAGAACGGGCACATCAATCTCGAAGAGACGCTGCGACTCGCGGTGACGGCGGAGTCAAGGGCGAGTCTGAGCGACGATTCGCACCCGGTAAGTGCTCGCGGGACGCCGTGATACGTGCAGGCTTGCTGATTCAGCTCGCCCATCCGCGTCGATAATCGACAGGAACACGCCGCACGGACAAGTGCGCCGGAGCTGCTATTTGACGTCGGGAGCGAGGATGATGAATCCCACAGTCCCGCCGAAAACACCAGCCGCCGTAGTGATCCCTCGCAGCCGCCGTCGTACGTTCCGGACGCTTCCCAGGATATGGAGAACGTGTGGGGCAAGTAGGCGGCGCTCGGGAACATTACTGACCTCGTAGGATTGTATATTGTGGGAGTCGGGTGCCTTTGTGGGACTATGATTCATCGTTGATACCTGTCTATCATGCTCGAGAGCTTAGGGTCGCGACTTGGATCATGCCGACCGTGCAGACCGGCTGCAGCGGTGTCCAAAATTCTGGGCTGTGCTGGAATCCGGAGTGCTATGCATATGGAATGCATAACATTGCTTGGCCTGAGCTCTCGGAGCTCTCGGAAGGTGGTACAATGTGCCGGTACATATGGCGCACACTGCCACTGCCGTGGGTGATGCTAGAATAGGTTCGGCAAGAACAAATATAGCCCTGTACTCATTCAATGATATGACGAGATGAGGGTACGCTGCGCAAGAAGACTATCGGGATTTGGCCGCGTGGGACTCGACTTCCACCCAGTAGTTATCCGTTGACGTTCCGCAGCCAGCGCAAAACCTTCGCAGAGGAGTTCAGGGATATCAGCAGTGGAAGCCGTGCCTCTCTGACGCCTATTGACGCTGAGATGCACATTGCATGAGCTCTTGGCAGTGGATGGGCATCACTTTGAGATTCCAGCTCAAAACCGATCTCATCAAGAAAACAATGAGCAATCCTGGCTTGGCGGTTGACCTGGATCGGAGAACGGAGGAGATGGCGGGCGGCGCGCCCTAGAGCGATTTGAATGTGCATGGCAAGTTCCTGTGACTTTCGGTCCGCGATTATGATAACTCTTTATGCGTCAGCAATCCGACGGGATACCGGTGGTCATCTAGAGGATGGACGATGAGTGGCCATGAGCTCGTGGGTGGCTTTCCGTTACGCGGTTTAGAGACGGCTACTCGGTGGACGCCCGTACCACCTGCCATAGACAGTAATCACAACCGTGACTGAGCGGAGTTCCCTGGATAGCCGAATCTCCGCCCATCTTTGGACAATCTACAGACGGAGCTTTAGCGCTGGTCCCGCTCAGGGCGGGTCTAACGGTCGGATCGTCACATTGTGTCACGTTGGGTCACGCTTTCACGCTCCAGCTGGAACTTGCAAAATCTGGACGTTACGGGAAGTCACCCAGTTGAAGCGCCGGTAAACGCTGAGTGGTGAGAGCGCAAGGTGCTAGTATGGCAAGTGTTCGCAATCACCTTGGTGCTGACGCCGTCTGGCTGGTGAAATGAGCGCCATGTCATGGAAAAAAAACCTTCACCTTTGTCGGGACTTTGTGCCATCGCTGCATGTGATCGCGAGGGTATGACGAGGAGCTGGCAAAAGTGGCGGAGAACACAGTGGTCACCGACAAATAACGACGAGCTACTAGAGGATCGAGCGGGCCACGCGGCCCGCAAGTAATCCGACGTTCAGAGCTGAATTCAAGTAGCTTGTGGTCAGGGATTCCTCGCGCGACGCTGTGTGCGCGCATCCTGCACGTGCGCCAAATGTGGGACTATTGATTGGGAGTGACATGTCGCGGCACAAGGCGGCACAGCATTCGAATAAGCTCGAGCCAAATGCGTTCCCGGGAAGCCCGTCCGAGGTTGTCAGAGGAGCATCACAAATATTTGTAGGATTCTTCCGCGCTTGACTTTGATCCGCCCAGAACCGGAGATTCTGGATTGGGGGTACGACGCGTGCAAAGTATCGCGGTTGGGGCCTGGGATTAGCATCCCAGTTTCATGCCTTGTGCGCGAGAGCCGTGTAGTCTGTGCGGTCGGGAAAGTTTTCGAGGGGAAAAAGGCAACAGGCGGAGAGACCGATTTGGCCGTGGAATCAGTGATTGAAGATCCCCCTGGCGGCAGTGACAGCGCCTTCTGCCAGAACAATCTTGATTCTAGTGGGACGGCACGTGGCTTCTCGATCTGAGATGAAGTTGCAACACGGCGGCACCAAGTGCGGCGTCGCGCGCTGAGATAGTCTCATGGCGAACATTATCCAACCAATAATTTCCCATACATAAGAGCACCAGCCGCCCAGGTGAGCTCCCCACCCTTCCCAATCATCCTGCGTACTGAAATGGCTGGCTTCCAGTTCGTCATCGAGGCTCCTCAGGCAGACCAGACTCGCAGAAAGCGTGCTCGTCTCGTTACCTCCTGCGACCATTGGTAGGTCCGCCACATCACTCTTAAGCGCGTTTTCTGACTTCATCTGTTCACCATTCCATCAGTCGATTCAAAAAGATCAAATGTCTCCAGCCCGCACAGTCGAGTCCCTGTGAGGCATGCTCGACCGCAGGTATCCCGTGTCTCTACCGCGATCGTGAAAAATACTTTGCGGAACGAAACCGCGTCATTTCTCGTGCCTCCTCCAGCTCGCGCAGCTCTTCGTCTGGCAGTCCAGAGCTATCTCCCCAGGTATCGATCTCCATCCTCAATACGCACAGGCGATCGCCGAGCACCGTCTCGACATCACCTTCACCCCCTACCAACTCCGACATCTACCTGCCACCCCCTGCCGACTTCTCGTACCCCCACGCACCTTCTGCGTGGCCGTTTGATGCGCTGAACGACACTCAGCCCCTCGCGCGTTCACATTCGTCGATCTCTCTGCCGCAGTCGTGGTGTGTGCTATCGTGCTGCGCCCAATTTCATCTCTCATTGGTTTCATGCTTCTCAGGGAGGACTACTACACCGTCCCTGAGCAGCCGGGGCTCAGAATCAGCAGTGCCGCGTACGGCACGCCGCAGAAACCTCCACAGGCTATGCAGAGCTCGACATCCACGTTGTTCGACCCGAGCTGGCCGGACCGTCCGAACCCCGCGCTCATGGCACACTTCATTCAGACGTACTTTGACAACTACGGTCATATCTTTCCGTTCCTCTCGTTCAATGACATAGTGCAGCGGTTCCTCAACCAGTCGCTATCTCCTCTTCTCGCCAACTGCATCGCGGCGCTGGCAGCTTGGTGAGCCCCTTTTCGAGCTTAGAAATATTTGATAATTGACGCGTTCGATGTCAGGAACTCGAACGATGCTGAGATTTTGCAAAGGGGAGCATCAAACACTTCCAACGACTACTGTGACCATGCCAAGGTAAGGTCCACCCGATAGATTCACGAGTCATATATCCATGCAGAGTTCTCTCCAGAGGCTGCTTTCGCAGACGGAGCTATTCGACTCCGTCGAAACTCTACACGTTCTTATCCTTCTCGCGTGGGCCGAGTACATCAGAGCGCGCAACCTCGACTTCTGCGCCAACATCCAGGTGCGTCACTCATCATTGACTTCCTCGCTACCCCGTGATTGACGTATTGTTCGTCTGACAGAAAGCGCAGGTAATGGCTCAGCGTCTCGGACTGGCCGACGGCAGTCGCATCCGGATGGTAAGCAGCGAGTACGAGCGCGCGACCCTGCAGTCCACCTGGACAGTCATCTGGCAGCTGAGCCTCACGGTCGAATCCGGCAAACTCTGATCGAACTCCCCTCTCACGTTTCGTTCTCGTCCACCGCTGTATTGCTAGAATGCCTTATACATACTGTATTCCCCGTGAGCCTATTAATATCTCCTGAGGTTATCGTTTCGAATCAGGCTATGTCGCACCAGGTCTACTATGCTACCATGGTCAACGCATATGCATGCAAACCAAATTATATCTGGCCATTCCGAAACGCAACGCGATACCACATAACCACAACACACGACGAGATCACAAGAGTACAACGTAAAAAAACTACATGAACATTATTCCATCACTGGCATCAGCACGAAATGAATTCCAGCCTCCTCAGCCATCACCGCCGGCCTAGTATCGCATAGGATCAACGCTATGTGCTCGGTGGCGGTGCCGTCTTGGCTCTTGGATGACGATTGTCGACCCCGGTTGCATCGGCTGGCCACCGTAAGCCATAGTGGTCCCGGGCATCCCGCCTGGCATCCCGCCATACATCGCGGCACCTGACCCGTACGCGCCTTGGGAAGGCAAGATAGTCACCGGGGCACCCGTGGTGTAAGGAATGCCCCCGCCCAGCCCGCCTGGGGCGTACCCCGCGCCCGGCATGGGATATGCACCGCCTGTGGAATACGCACCGTTCATCCCGCCTGCTCCAAGCGTCCCTGGCATGCCTGCGCTGTACGCACCCATGTACGGACTCCCGGCTGCAGCGATGCCCATGCCCATGCCCATGCCCGGCGAGCCACCATACGGCGACGCGCCCACAGCGGGGACCCGCATGGGGGACGCGCTCACGCTCGCGGGGCCGGCGCCATACGACGAGATGGAGGAGCGCCGTATGCGAGAGCGCGCGGGCATGTCGTATGCGTAGTCGCGCGTGTATGGCCCGCCGGCGCCCATGCCTCCGAGCATGCCCACGCCCATGCCTCCGAGCATGCCCACGCCCATGCCTCCGAGCATGCCCACGCCCATTCCACCGCCCATGCCGCCGCCCATTCCGCCGCCCATTCCGCCGCCCATGCCGCCACCCATGCCGCCCATGCCCACACCCATTCCGCCGGGCATGCCGGGACCCATTCCGCCCATCATCCCGCCGCCGTATCCCATGCCCATTCCTGCACCATTGATCCCAGGCATGCCCCCCATGGCGCTGTTCATCATGACACTCTCCGCGATGCGTGAAGCCGTCACCGCCGCCGATCCGGCTGCCGCCCTGATCCCATACGCGTCGAGCGACCGTCCTGTGAACTGCCATAGACGCGTGGCTGTACCCAGGCCAGGGCGTCAGACTCGATGTACTCATGTTGTATGATCTCAACGCATCAGGACGCACTTTCCGCGATGGCCATGGCGACCAAACCTTCGCGCTGCCTCTCAGGCACGGCGCCGAGCGGCGCGCAGATGTTGTGGTATTTGTACAGTCGATAGGCCTCGTAGGCTGCTGCACTGCCGATGTCCGTCGGGAGGACCTGTGACAGGTTTACCTGGAGATCGCGGCCGGTCAACTTTAGATGAGGTCTGGGGACGCGTGGGGGAACCCACCATCCCACCATAGATGCGTCGATGCCAATATCTCGCCTCGTCGAGGCCGAAAACACCCGTGGATTCAAACTGGGGCATGCTGGTCACGATGGACTGGTAGAACTCGCTGAAACGCGACGGAATCAATTGAAACTACGGACGGCAACGTAAAAGGATGGACTCACGGTTCACCATTGATTGCGTGGGCACGAAAGAAATCGAGACCACCCCCTGCGTAATTCAGGTCCAAGTTAGCTCTCACTGACCGTGAGGCAAAGCTACTGACATGATGGTGTCGGTTGAAAACCGGGCGTTGGAGGTCGGCCAAACCTGTACTGTAGTGATGGGTCAGAATGTGACTACAAGCCAACATGTAGATAAACCTGTGATGTACCCCAGCCTGGACCTGATTGATAGTAATTATAAGACATGCTGTCGAGAGAGCGTGGTTAAGGAAGGAAAGAAACGACGAGTCCACAAAGGTTTGCGCGGAATACTGCAGGTGGTGGAGCAGCCTCGAGTGTTTGAGAGTGAATCGATGGATCTTGTCCCCAAGCCTGACGTCACACAAGGGCAGGCGCGCGTGTGTTTGTGGTTTAGACTCTGTTCTCGAAAATGAAACGCATATCTAAGCCCCACATGTCGAGTCATTCTATCCATCGTAGGAGGTCGAAGATCACTGGTGTCAATGCCCATGGCCACCGTCACAGGAGCTGGTAGACTCGACCGCTCAATAAGCCCGCCGGGTTGTTTGTAGTCGCATTATATTTGTAACGCTAGAATATTTGGATACTAGATATCATAGAAATGCGCTCAGCCAAGCTTGTCCTCTAGAATAGTTCCATGTATCCCCAGAGCTCGAGTCAAGACACGGAGCAGCAGAAAACTTGAGTACTCGATCGTGTATAGACACGCTCGTAACCGCCTTTATGTCATACAGACGTCACGAGACTTGGATCTTTTGGCGTCGACGTCAGAGGCGTTCTCAAACGTCACGGTATGCTGCATGAACACCTGAACATCTCCCATGTCTGGTTCGTTGTATTTGGATGCAATTATTGTAAGTCTCTGAGCAACCAAACAGCAGATTTTGTTGTCTTCGCACAGCCAAGTTTCGATCCCAATGAGTACGCGAACGCAATTCTAGCTGGGGAACCATATCCTCCGCAATCGGGAAAGACGAAGCCTGCCAAATCCGCGAGTTTCGAGCCTGCGAGCGAGGACGTCTCCGTGGCGATCTCGAAGCTGACGTTCAGCATCGACGACGTAGAGAAGCAGGTCAAGAATGTGGTCAGTCTCATTTAGTTTCTTTGCCACGGAATGTTAGCGTATTGTTCTCATAGCTTATTGACCTGCATGTCGCAAACTCAAGGTTACGACACACCACGAGGAACTCCTCGTGCAGGCCGCTGGCGTGACGGAACTGGAGGGATCGCTGTCGTCCGTGAGCAACGGACTGAACGAACTCGATTTATCATTGGAGAAGTACGTGTCACGTACTTTTCGCTCAGTGCGTGCTCTAATGCCTCTATCCTAGGTTGCGTCTCAAGATCCGCGTGCCATACCAGACCCTCCAGACCCATGTTTCTAACCTGGAGCGCCTGCAGCAGGCGTCGGATATACTCCGGCGCATGTCTCGGTTCGTGATCCTCACACGAAGATTGGAGATCCAGCTTGCGGAGATGAACAAGGGTGAGGCCAGCGACACCGCCGATACCCCCAAAAGCAAAAATGATGCAGACCGGCCATTGTCGACCCTGACCCACACAGATTCTGCCCTCGGGAATGCTGACGAAGATGAGAAGGAGCGCACTATCTCCAAAGCAGCGTTGACAGTCGCCGAATTGAGTCAGTCATCGCGTGCATGCGGTGCCAGCATTAGTTGCTGATGTATTTTGATTCATAGCGGCGCTACTGGATAACGGCCCGACTGATCAGCGCGCTGACACCGAGGAAGAATCGAACACTGGGAAGCGGGTCTCTCTCACATCTATCAAGGCCGTCGCTGCGCATTTACCATACATCGATGCTGCGCGTGCACGAATTACAACGGACATGGAAACAATGGTTATCACCGGTCTGACGACCCTGGTTCGTATCTATTTGCTGTGCCAATTTTTGAAACGCGTTCATCTATGATATTTGTGTAGAATCAGTCTCTTCTTGCATCATCGTTGCAAACAGCCCACAACCTTCGTGTCCTCCCTGAACTAGTACAGAACCTTGTGACTGATCTCTCTGATGCGGTCGAAAGTCGCATTCGTTCGGCTTTCGACATCACGCGTATCTCAAAGGAGGTGGTTGCGAAAGGCAGGTGATTTTCCGACCTCTATTGTGCTCATATTTATCTGGGATCCATCTCTTTGTCTAGATCCGGCGTCTGCCTCTCCAGGCGTACTCTACAAGTCCCGTGTGCGCACCGAACCCACAAACGTAACCGCCCCGCAATGGACAGCCGCCCTATGGAACAGCCTCGAGAGCCTCATCGAGGAGATGGCGGACTGTTGCGTCAAGGTGAACTTGACACAGGCAATTTGCCATATGTAGTCCTAATGATAATTTACAGGTATACACCTTGGAGAAGGTGTTGAAGTTGAAACGAGATACGGTGACGCAGATCGTGTTCTTGGACGAAGCGATGAAGGTTTGCCAGTCTACCTATCAAAGACTGACTAGCGAACGAAAATACATCAATAGGTGCTCGAAAATAAGCCCAGTGCAATTTTTTGGGCCTCTCTTGGCCGCTCTCTGGAGAAGCAGGCTCGTGACTCCGCCAAGGGTGCGAGAGTTTGTCATCTTAGTTTGAACCATTATTTGACGCTGTCAATATCGTCAGGTTCTAGCTTCCTCCAGCAAGCACTGAGTTCAGGATATCCCCGATTGCTTCGCCTGTTCCAATCTTTCTTCTCGAAGATAGCCGTAGAGACAGATACCGTCTATACGCAGGCGCAACAGAGGTGCGTATCTCGTGTCTTTCTGCCGTCGCACAAATATGAAGCTGTGAGCCGACAGTCCAGAAACAGTGATAGTCCTCCGCGCGCTCTCTAACTTTGAGTCGCTTTACCTGTCCCGTTCGTCAAACCGCCTTAACGAAGCAATCGGCCAAGCATTCTCTGGAGGGACACGGTCCCCGCCGGGGATGGCTGAAGGCATAAACATTGCACGCACCGTGGCGAACGAGCTGGACTCGGCCAAGTTCGACCCGCTGCTGGTGAGGTCCGTGGCCAAGTATATCACGAGGAGCATGGAGCTTTTCCTGTCGAGGGCAGACAGCATCGTAAGTGTGGCAGACGGGTCGTTCTAGAAGTATAATTCTCATCGCGCATCAAGACCACCAGGGAGCGGTCGGCTGTTACGTTGGTGGGACCTGCGGCCACCGCGCAGCAGGTGGTGAATGGCCAGCTCGCGACGTGTCTGTATCATTCGTGGTACCGCCTGCAGAAGCTGCAAGACGAGTACCCGGAAGGCGTCATGTCGATCCTGAAGCCAGGCATCACGGTACGGATAGCCCATCGCACCGCCTCATAGACATAAACTGAAAACGCATTGCTGTCGCAGAACATCCTCAGCGCGTTCGAGCATATCGTCGATCCGCTGCTCGCAGCAATCCGCCGCGAGGTAGGCGCGATTATCGCGAAACTGCACCGCATGGACTTCGGGCAGACGGCTGATCCGATGTCGGCGATGAGTGGCGGGCCCAGTCCGTACATGAAAGACGTTGCAGAGAAGCTCTCTTTCATCAAGGAGGAGATCTTGAGTCTGCTGAACGTACCGGATGTGAGCCGTCAGTGGTAAGAGTATTTCCATGACTCCACCACTCCATTAATATTAATTAGATTTGCCGGTGACGCACTGCAGGATCATTTCCATCGTCAAATATGTGATCAATACATTCGTCTTGCACGCGTCGATAGCGAAGCCGCTGAGCGAAAGCGGCAAGCTGCAGCTCACGAGCGACATGACTGAGCTCGAGTTCAGTCTGAGCGCATTCATGAGCGACAAGACGCAGACCAAGCGCGGCGTGGACTGGGACAGCATCGGCGACGATTATCGTGCGTTGCGGGCGATGCGGTGAGCCTGGCACACCTGCTATTTTACAGGACGCTGACCAGTACGCCTGTGTCCCTCTGTCAGGCAATTGCTGTTCCTCGACAACACGATGCTGGCATCGCCGAAGCACACCATAGGCCTTCCCCCACTCATCGTGCTGCACCACATCCTCGTGCGCTCCCCGATCCCGCTGCCGCACACGTTACACGGGTGGGCAGAAGCGGAGTATGTCAAGTGGGTGAACGAGCACTCTGAGGAGGAAGCGTGGACGCTCGTCGAGAGCGATCTCACCCACTGGGAGAAGATGACCGAGGTTGAGGACGGCGACCCCGCGGCCGCGGCAGAGTATATACAGTTGGCGCGGGCGGTATTGGACAATGCGGCAGGTAGGCCGGGGGCATAGCGTCCGCTGGTGGAAGAGTCGTGATAATTTTATTGTACTCAGTTTCATTGCTGCTGAAATTACTTGGATTTTCATGGACAGACTGCAGAGAGTTCTCCGGCTCAGTTGAAAAACCGAGTCGATGCGAACACCGAGTCACTTTAATTCGGGTGAGTATTCATTCTTCGAAGCGAGTTATCCCTTGCGTTACTGTCAACAATACAATGGAGAATGGCTTGTTCTGATCCCTTTTTAGATGTGTTTTCGGTACGGAGACCTTTATCTGAATGTGGCCGTCATCCACTAATCACTCTATCTCCAGTCATTTGTTTGGAAGCTCAGGTTGTGCTATTCCGGTACTACGTTCGCAAGCAGTCTGTATATAAGTGGACGACGTATCCCGTCTTCGTCTTCGGTACCTTACCGGGGATCTCCAGAGAACGATGTGGCTCCGTGTTATAAAACGACAGCGAAATCTACCCCCCGGCTGCGGTCTCTCATTCTTGACAGTGCTACTATCATGTTTCCAAATTTCGTTGTCCTCGCTCTTGCTATTCTTCCTGTTGCGCTTGCTGCCCCACAATCAGGCTCGGGCTCCACGCCATGCAATGAAGGCGGCTCTGTCCAGTGCTGCGATGTCATCGCTCCAGCTTACACGAAGAATATGTCTATCGTCCTGGAGGCATTGCAAATTGTTGTCGAAAGTTTGAGCACCCCAGTGGGGACCGGGTGCTCGCCTCCCACCCCGTACTACGTCGGAGGCGGCAGTGTATGGTGCGCACAGCGTTAGACTCTCCCAATGATATTCTGGTTGAACGTCATCGCAGCACCTCGGATCCTGTGTGCTGTGTGAATAATTACTTCGGTTGGCGCTTTCATTGATTCGTCGTCTTTACCAGTTTCTTTCTCTGAACCTGCACCCTTCGCGTTTAGGTTCGGTCGGGGTGGGATGCGAGCCCGTCCCTACGCCCGACGGGCTATACTGAACGGATACTCTTGTCCTGAGGCATGATACAACACCTTTCATTTACTGTAGCGAGTTTCTATGTTATTTAACAGCACCTCTGTTTCTAACGAAGTTATCCCTAGAAACATACCTTCCTGCACGGATGTCTGGATATTGATAGACGTCAGCGAAATGTCTGTCTACGCGGCTGGTTCAGCCCTTCGTCTAAACCCATGAATATTGGTATTGTCAATTTGTCCATTACCTCTGGCTTCACGTACGGCAGGCATTGGAATTTGTGGAGGCGTGCGATGTTCATACACTTTGTAAAGTAGCAGTCAGTGCATTCGCATGCACATGCGTCTCGGCCCGCCCAAGTAAAATCCTGTGCATGTGCTTTTTCGATACGCTGATATCATCTGCGATACTTCCACTGCCGGTAAGTAGGCAACTGTTGTCTCCACCGATTGGATACAGCTAGAATGGCAAGGCTGCTACATATGATGAAACCACGTAGAACCTAGCTCGAGCCTGCAGCTGCGTAAGCAGCGCCTCGGAGGTCATATGCCGCCGACATTCATCATATATGCTTCGCCTGAAATCACCCTCGCATATCTTCCCCTAACCTCGCCAGCGTTGGCAGAATAACTTCCTCAAGCATGGCACCCTCGCAATACACACAAATCGTCCTGGCGGAGAGGCCAGAGGCGGAGATCACACCCACCACTTTTCGTCGCGAAGTTGTGCCGTTCAACCTCAAACCGGGCAGCGGGCAGGTCCTCGTGCAGGTCAACTACCTGTCTCTCGATCCTGCTATGCGCGGGTGGTTGAATGACCGCAGGAGCTATATGCGCCCGGTGCAGATTGGGGAGGTCATGCGTGCTTCGGGCTTGGGCATCGTGATCGAGGCGGGCGAAGGCAGCGCGTTCGCGCGCGGTGACTGCGTCAGCGGCGGCTTCGGTGGGCCTCCCAGAGTCTATGCTATATAGGCGACTGTACCTAACTTACGCCTCGCTCAGGATGGCGGGAGTACGCCGTGATGAACGACAAGGACGTGCAGAAAGTGCATGTCAGCCCGGGCACGGAGCTGCTCGATTACTTGGGTCCTCTGAGTTTCACAGGTGTGCATGAATTGTGTTTGCATTTCGTGAACTACGCTGATCGTTTTGTGTCAGGTCTTACTGCGTACTTTGTGTGTCTGAAGTACCTTTCGTATGAGCTCCATGCCTGACGATTGAACACTAGGGTCTGTTAGACGTGGGCAAAGTGAAGCCTGGAGACAAGCTACTCGTATCTGGGGCTGCTGGTGCTACTGGGTCTGTCGTCTGTCAAATCGGAAAGCAGAGGGGAGCGAAGGTGTACGCAATCGCGGGGTCGGCGGACAAGTGCGCCTGGCTAGAGAACGAGATTGGTGTCGAGAAGGCGCTCAACTACAAGAGCCCAACATTCCACCAAGACTTCAAGAATTCCGTGGGGTACATCGATGTCTACTTTGATAATGTCGGTGGGGAGATACTGGATTTTGTGCTGACGCGGTTGAATACGTACGCGCGGATCGTTTTGTGCGGTGAGCATTCCCCGTGTCTCTTGCAAGATTTAGCGCCGTGTGACAAATGGCTGATACGGATATGCAGGTGCCATTTCGGACTACAGTGAGGGCACCGTTCTTCGAGCCAGTTCGTTCATCCTCATTCCCGTACAGACACCTCAGCGCCAACAGGTCTACGAGCATACATGAACCTCATCTCCCAACGTGCAAAGATCGAAGGTTTCATCGTGTATGTGTATCAGCGTCACACGCATACTCTCTCCGCAGTCTGAAACCCCCTTGATATCATGCAGTAGCGACTACGAAGAGCGCTTCCCCGAAGCGCTCAAGGATCTGGCGTCATGGCTCGCTAGCGGGAGCCTGAAGCGCAAGTTCACCGTCGTGCAGGGGCTCGACAATGCCCCTACTGGGCTCGGTCTACTCTTCACCGGTGGGAATACCGGAAAGTTGTGCGTGCTTACCCTTGCATTGTGCGAAACCCCCGGAGCTCTGGGCTGATTGTCGCCATACTGCAGGGTGGTGAAAGTCACTGAAGACACGACGCCTTCTGCAAACCTGTGATGTCGAGATAAGGTTACTCTTATGTTGTATCTGTCGAGTGAGTTCATGTACTGTATGAGAAGAGGCGTCTTGTGTCTATTGAAGAACTAACGCATATATTGCTCATGTTACGTGATAGTGAGACACTCGCGGCTTGAAGGCGGCGGCAGACATAATGTACCCCCTGTCGTACCTGGAGATCCTCGTCGCTGTATTACAGCACGCGACAACTATCTAGTTCTCAATCCCCCAGCCGAACACATCGCATTTCATACGAGAACGCGAGACTAGCCGACTGATCTCTTGACCGTCAACCCTGATAACTGTGGAACCCTCACATGGTGAATCGGCACTCTGGTGACGCCCACGGTTTGCACATGGTGGGCTTGTCGTGGCAGAGTTTTTGCAGTGAATTGTATATCTGCACCTAGTTCACGGCTTCGCATCTCCGCGAGCGAGTAGCTCGTCCGCGAAGGCTCTGCTATTCGAACAATGCGGGGTCGATGGGAATCTTGTCGAACACCTCCCACTTTTTTAACTTCCGATCAGTAGTTTGAGTTGAGGGTAGTGTTCAGTACTCCTGTGAGGATGCTATCTGAGTTAAGGGGGTGTGATTAAATTGATGATTGAGACATACACGGAGTAAACTGAAGGTGTGGGCGCCGCGAACGAAGGCACTGCTGCAAGAGCGAGGAATCCGAGGATGAAGATAGAAAACGCATCGTGAACGAGTTATTTGCGGGAAATGCGGGAGACGTCGTCAAATGGAATGGATTTGTTCAAGTGTGTGGAGATTGAATGAAGTCGACCCAAGAAATACTATCCAGCAGGTATTGGGCTCTGAAGGAGAAAGGGTGAGAGCTGTAGAAGCACAGAGAAGTGAACATCCTCTTATACCCAGCACTGGGACCTTGTCATCTCATTGAAATAGGGCGGAATGATGTGGAGGATAGGACGTACTGTATTGCATTTCCCTACTCTGCACGAGAGCGATACTGATGATGAACCACTGATACGGGATGCTAGTCCAACGAGATGCGAACTGCCATCGTCAAATAAGCTTCCCCAGCATCTGTTGCGCGTCCTCCGGCCTTCCTTCTTCCCTACAAGTATCCAGTTCGCATGAAGGGCCAGTCAGATACTTCGGACAGCAAAGCCGGTACCATGCCGCGGTAACATGGTAGCCTACATTTATTGGGAGAGTAAGCAAAACATGAGATCTGATGTTTCGTCACCTTCCTGCGATTCTATGTTCTCCGACTCCTCTAGTACTTCCTCGTCCGAGCTGGCTGAACAGTCCCGACGCGGCGACGCAGTCATGGCATGATATGTCACACCCCGTCGGACAGACAAAATTCAGGTCCTGGGGCCAGACTTGCTAGTACGCACTGCTCAGGAACATCTGCGTGAGCCATAAAGTGAGCATAATCCGTCTGCACGCCCGCCTGGAATTAAATCTGTGCGGCGCCACAACCCGAACCGCACCTATATTGAGGAAACACATTCTGTAAAAGTACAACCCCACATCATATGGGTCCAGTACAATTTTCTGACCGCACCTCACCGACACCATCTCAGTATATCCTCATACAACTTATATGCCGTTGCTGCGCATGGGCTTGTTGAAAGCATCGTGATCCATGAGGTGCAGCTGGGACCCACATGTAGGCGCATGGCAGAGGAGCTCCTCCAGCTTCCGCACAGCATTTTCGGACGGTGCAGGCCGCCCGTCCGCGGCCATGATGCACACGAAGCTCCGGACGTCATGGATCTCCCACAGCCTTGGGGAGTAGGGCGTTTCCAGCCTCGTTTCTAGGAATTTGCCTGCTCAGTAACGACACCACAGGAGGAGCGCCTACTAACGTTCGTCGGTGGTGAGGGACCCGTGTACGATGCGCAGGAAGCACCGGCAGTTATTCCCAGGGAACATTCTCGTCTCGAGGACGATCGCCCAGCCGGGCTTCCACGCAGAGCAGGTCCTCAGAGGGTGGGCATTGCGACGACGCTCCGCACGCCCACGGTACGCCCGGCACACGCGGGCGCGCCGTTAGCGGGGGCCTGGAGCAGCATGTAGCTGTTCACCTCCAAGCTGACGAAACGCGCGTCGGCGAGAGCGCCTATTACGCCCGCGAGGGTGAAGAGCGCGATAGAGTACCCGCAGATCGTCGACATTTCCATGCACCCGATCCCGTCGCTCGTGACGCAGGAGAACGTGATAGGTTATGGCGGGGTCTCAGCGACACCCAGGAGAGCAGGGTGCATCAATGCTTCCAGTCTGTAGAACAGCTGCGGCTGCTCACGCAGGAGGTCGTACGGTTCCTCGGTGTGACGGACGTGCAGCCCATGAGGACCAGTCGATTTAGCCCCGGGGCTGTAATGAGGATCTGGCCCAGAGTGTCAGCAGTGATCTGCATGTTAAACCAGAGACTGAGCGTCTCCAGCACCGGTGATTGGGAGACAACTCGGACGGCCTGCTCCGACAATAGAGAAAAGTCCGAGAGATCGATAGACGTCGTCTCCCCCAGCCTGGCTAGTACCTTGAGTAGCAGTGGAACCACTATGTGGGAAGGATGACTTTGTGTGGAGGATAGATTTTGTGTCCGCCAATTTTCCTAGCAGTCAAAGCATCTCCTCGAACCACCCACCTCAATCGCATAATCCAAAGCGGGAGCAAGAGTCAGCGCGTCCCTCTGGCGACTTTGATATCGCAGGATCAGTAGCCTGGAAGATGTATTGGATGGAGAGACGCGTACGTCTGGGTACATTAAATCTCTGATAGGGATATGCTATTCAGAAGAGTGTCTGGGTGAAGAGTAGTTGGAGTCCTTGAGGCTTGAATGCTCAGCAGTGTCGGCCGAATCCATAGAAAAACACGCCCTAAAGCACTGCAGAACGACTACTACTTACTCCGTATTATGTCTATTTGGATACAAGAAGTGAGCGTCCAGCGAAGAATACATGGACATCGGACGAGTCAATTTCACGACGCGCAATTGCTGATTAGACTCGTTCCCAGCCGCTGGCCCAGCAGATCTAGATCTACGCGGTGACACGTAGGTTCAACGCGCTGCTTGTCCGCACACGCAGCCAATTCCAGTCATCCTCCGACTTTCAACAAGTCTACTAAGCTGCAGGCGGCATAATATAAAACCTCATCTGCATTGCTGTGTTGGACTAGGCTTTACGCGAAGTAACCAGCGAAGATGTGGCTTACGGATGGACAGAGTGAGTTTTCCGCTGAATACGTCCTCAGCGCACCGTCTCTATACCATGGCTCATCTGAATTTCTAGAGATTGGCGTCGCGCTTACGTCGTTTGGGGTACTCTTCATGATGCTCGGCGTAATCCTCTTCTTCGACGGGGCGCTGCTCGCACTTGGGAATGTGCGGTTTCCCCCCTCTCTCATATTTCGCGCACTTACCGCAGCCACTCTACTTCACAGGTCCTATTCCTCTCGGGTTTGACTCTAATCATTGGCCCGCATAAGACCTTCTACTTCTTTGCCCGGCGGCAGAAGATCCGCGGAACGGCGTGCTTCCTCGGAGGCATCATGCTCGTGTTCTTCAAATGGCCGGTTGTTGGAGTCATTTTGGAGACGCTCGGGTTCCTCAACCTTTTCGGGTACGTTGGCTTCGTTTGTATAAGTACCGATTGACCTGATTGTTGTCATTGCAGGGACTTCTTCCCTGTGATCTTGACGTTCCTCCGACAAGTACCTGGTGTCGGCCATCTTCTAATGCTACCATACGTACGAGATGTGAGTGATATTCCCAGGGTAACTCTTCCGCACATTAAATTTTACCGTAAATCAGGTAGTGGACCGTCTAGCAGGGTCACGAACGTCTGTTGTATGATCGTCTATCTTCCTTATCTACTTTTTTTTCTTGGCCTAGTGGGATGTGATCTACAATAAGTGCTTGGCTTATGATCACACCTCGGAAACTCGTTAACCCGGCGAACACGTACTTCCCTCCTGGCGAGTTCGAAGACACAGGAAGCACTCACAACTCGAGTCTACGATACCTCGAGGCGCAAGTTGATTTAGAGTCAACCGCTCTGCCCAACACCAATGGACTGGCCATTCCCTGCGAGCATATTGCCGACCTGTCCTCCATCGAACGAGCTGCATCTCGGCCGGAGATATGTTCGCGCTGGTGGACAAAATTTAACGAGATCTGACTGGCCGATAAAGCAGTCTCTTATGAGAATACTGTATGGTAGGCACAGCTCTCTCAGCCTGCATGCGTATACGTGTAGCCACAGCGGTGCTGAAGCGCTGACGGGCAGCGCCTTGGCGCTTCCATGATGCGCAGCATGCAGGAAACTGCGCCTGCTGTTTCGTGTGCTGTGCCCTAAGATTCCAGATCAGCTACAGCTGTCGATGCTGTACTTCCACGAAGATGAGTTACTGTATCTTGAGTTGCTGTATCTGGCACTGATATGAGATTACTTTTAGATCATGTACGATCCGCGTAACCCTATGGATTGAAGAATGGCTGCGTAGTTGCGGATATGTACCCCAATGTGTCAGTGGGTACCTTATGGGATCAGTACGTTGAACGATCACTGATCACCCAAAATCTGCCAGTATTGCAGGACGTCTGACGGGAGTGGATCTGCGGACGAAGCAGAGCAGTCATGTGGGCCAGTGCATAGGCTCTATGGTTGTGAGCGGTGGGTCTGTTGAGTGTCCTGCACCTCTCTGGTTCAAGAAATTGAGGGACTTATGGACATCCACTATCTTGCGTACAGCGATACAGTGGATTTCCATCAGTTTCGCAATTGATTTATTTCAGTAGGGAGGAACTCAGCTGCTGAGTGGCAGGCTGCTACCAATTACGCAGGCCGAGAGCTCTTCTTGTGCGACAAAGTTGTTCTACACAACTTACACATGTCTTCCCACGCGCGCAGTCTCTATGCTGCGCTCCTTCAACCATATGGCATATGCTACGTCCGCATTGAAAGTACACAGGCACTCCGGTATTTACATTTACCGATATCTCACATGGGCTACTGCGTCCCCCATTCCCTCGATTGCCCAAAGTCCAGAAAATTCACAGCTTCAAATATTGCCTGTCGATATCCCATTATATGATTAGTGTACATGTTCGAATCCGAAGACAGCAGCCAGTCCAAACGTTTCCATCCGACATGGAGTCGGGAAAAATCTGCGGGATTTATCCTCAACGTAGATCACCTCCAAAGCACCGTCACGTACATCTCCATTCCCATCCCTTCAGGCCATTCAAGGTAAGTCAGAACAGCGAATCGGTGGTGCAGATTCGCTCGCCACAACGCATCACCGCAACAATTTATATTCAAGCAGCGATCCCGTGGATATCATCGAGGGTTATCCCATGGCATTGCGATGATTATAGTAAAATTAAGACTTGCATGATATCTGTACATCTGTAGGGGCGTCAACGGTGCAGTAACAAAGCAAGCTTGGGTGGGATTCTCTACCACTCTACCACATGTCTAATCACATCGGATGGAATTTAGCAATTCCAGCATTCAACCGCAGCGTGGCACCTAGGATCCGCATGCATGCCGTAGAGGCGATATGAAGCCATGCATAGAGGAGAGTGGCGAATCCCATGGTGCAAATTCCAACGCGAATGGCCCAGAAGACCTGCTCAAATGTATAGTCGCGGCAGCGGTCTCTCGCACAATGATTAATTGAGACCAAAAAATAAATACACGGTGTCACGCACGGAACATGTCGGGTCGCTGTCAAGTAAGAGTCAATATTCTATTGGTCCGAGTACCGACGATGACTCTATCCCGGTCCCAAGACGGGCTGGGAAAGGACTGCACAGCGCCATTCATCGCCCTGAAAGGCAGCTAGCATTGGCACCATGCGAGGGAACCGATCGAGAGTTTGAGATCAGCGTGAGCAGGAACAGTCAGGCCTATACAGGTATTGAAACTGTGTCGGGTTATACCGTAACCGTTATTTCTGTCGAACGATGACATGCTATAGCACGATTTTTTGATTTGGAGAGCAGTAAAGGTTCATGTGTTGAGAATCAAGCATCCTAACAACGCACATGAGAGATTCCTGTGTTAACGGCGAGTCAGAGAAGTGGGAGACAACAGTCAAGGGATGGCAGACGCGATGATTCGATGACTCGACAGCGGCGGTGCCAGCGTTGTGGCGCGCAGGCGGCGTCGGGATGTGATCGGAGTCCGAAAAGGCGCTGTAACTGCGATCACATGATCTTGTTGATCGTTTGCGGCGCGTGTGAAATGCTTCCGCTTCCTCGCTGAAGACACGACTCTCGTACGTATTTTTCCCCGAACAATAATCCCTTCCCCTCCCTCTGTGCCGACACCGACGACGACAACGGCCTTAACGACGACGACGACGGCTAAGACGATCACCCCCATCGCTTGTACAATAGCGTTCTTGGCTATAATAAGAATCTTACTGCGCTACCTCCCACCCTTGTCTGCCAACTGCTATGCTTGCTTCCACACCAACTCCGGAGTATACCACCTTCAGCACTACAAAACGCGATCTCAGCGCATCTCCATCTTACCGTGCACCGCCGAATCGTCGAACGCCGCAGAAATTCACATCCAATTCCTTTTCGCCGATGTTTACTTCACCGCCGAGGCGACACCCACCACCAACCGCAGACCCTATGGATACCGACGACATTTTCCAGTCTCCATATAGTGCATCATCACGCCCACTCTCCGTCCGCAACGATCGTATCATTTACAAGAAGTCCAGGGCAGACGACGATGAAGAGTTCGACAACGGCTGGTCCTTCGTTCCTTCCTCATCGACCATGTTCTCGCACAACATGGTTCCTCCATCATCGCCCATTCCCTTGCGCTCGTCATTGCGGACACCCGTGAAGCAGATACGTGCGACGCCTGACCGACCGGTGCTGTCGGTCAAGCACCTCAACACTCCTTCCGTGTCTCCTGCCGTCGGCTCAAAGCGCAAGCCGAGCAAACGAACCCCGGTTTGCACTACCCCGCAATGCCAGGGCTTCCTCACACCGTTAAATGTTACGTCGGCTGCAGGTCGAGAGCAAGGCGATTCGTCAGGCGTCGCCTTCGATCGCCTCGCACCTCTTTCAGCTCCGCGGTTCGTTCTGCATACTCCGCAAACCAAGGCAGAGACAGAGATGCATTTGAAGAGGCAGGCGGAGACGATGACGTTGTTGAGAATCTCCGATATGGATCGTTCGGGAGATGAAAGCGGTTATGACTCAGGCCCTGGAGAAGACAATGGGCGACGGTTGTTCGGAGACAATGCTGCACCAAACATGGTTTCCTCAGTCGCCTCAAAAGGCAAGACAAAGGTTGGCCTCTCAAGGTCACCTGCTTTGCGATTGCTCATGCGCAAGGGCGACACCAACGACACCGAGGTCGTCGAAGCGATCTCCCCCGGGGGACATGTCACTAAGCGGCGCGCTCGATCCCGCCCTGTGTCGTCGGAGCTGCTTGAGTCGGTGCGGGGTGCGCCTGTCATCCTTGATTACAAGGTGAGCGTGGAACCTCGGCCACAATTGCAATTGCACGTTTATCTGATTTACGACCACAGGTCAACGTGGCCTCGCAGTATATAAACGAGATGCAGACCAATTCGGTTGCTTTTCCTCCCGCCTCTCGGCCACATCGCTCGTCGTCACCTTCTAGCTCGTCGTCCGAAATTGGCTCTCCACTATCACGTCCGCGCCTGTCCATAATGCCCCTGCCACACATGGATGTACAATCTCCAACATCAAAACCAAAGGGGCCTCTCAACAGGCTGGCAAGTGCGAGTTCCGCCACATTGTTCTTCGGACCAAGCATTCCCGCCCGCAATACAGGTACCAATGCTGATCCAAGCCGCAAGCAGAGTCTCGCCACAAGTGCGAGTCCGTCAAAGGGCAACGCTAGTCCTTCACTACCACTCGACTTGAACAAAAGGTCGAGTCCTCATTCCAGGATACGCAATAGGCACAGTTACGCCCCTCATGGCTCTGCACGGGAAAAGCGTCAGTCGTCATCACCCTGTACATCTCCACCTCTCAAGCGGCACTCGGACGAAGACGAGGACGAGGACCTCTTCTTCTCTGGCCCAGCCGATACCTCATTCGCCTTCAGTCTCACAGAAGGCACGCCAAGCCCGAAGAAGAAGCAGAAACGCGATATCCCTTCGCCGCTCCAGAAGAAGTTCCGGCCGCGTGACTCGGGCGTCGTACTTGATGAGAGTGATTCAGACTCTGGGCTGTATGGCCACGGCGGTGCCATGCCTCAGGCGTCCACGTCCGTGAGTACCATGGGATCGGAGGCGGAGGAACAGGAGCTCGTCACGCCGGGGTTTGCACCTGGTGCGGCGTCCGGGTGGCCTGGGGTTACCGTCATGAATCTAGACGATAACATGGGTGTTGGCTCTCGCACCGGCATGCACGGTGGTCGAGGCGTCGACGCGTTCATCATGCGCGTCCTGGCCGCGGGCGCAACCAAGTCGGCACAGGACATTGATGGCGAGCCGAAGCGAGTGCCTGGCACACCAGTCAAGAAGGTGAAGACAGCGCACCTGGTGCAACGCCCGTGGCAGAGCGCGTTCACGTCCAAGATTGGGTTTCCGGAGTTTGAGGATGAGCTACAGTGTGGCCCTGGCGCTAAGGGACGTGGCAAGACCAAGGGAAGGAAGAGCCTTCCGGCGGCCTTCCCGAGGCTGGAGAAAGAGAACCGCACTGCTCCCGCAAAGCATGACCGAGTGGGTGCGGAGGACGACGAGGATGCAAGTCCAACTACGAGGAAAGAGAAGGACAGTCGGTATGAAGGCCTTGGTCTTGGCAGGCCTGCTTCAGGGACGCTTCCCCCCTTTGCACGTGGAATCGTGGACCCCAAGGGCAAGCAACACTGGCTCATGCGCAGGAGTAGCAGTGGCGCCTTCTCAAGTGGAAGTGAGACGACCACGTCTGGATCGGCAACGCCGACGCGTCTCACTCCAAGAGGTTCGTGCATTCTGCCATGCATTATTTCGAGATTCATCTAATGTCAATTACCGAATTCACAGAGTGGCATCTACCTCCATTGAGATTGCCAGTTCCCCACTCTCCCTTGAAGAACTCCCTGGCATCTGCAAGCAGTTCCGCTTCTACGTCGTCTTCAGCAATTTCGACAACTCGCAACTCTCCAACTGTGGCGGCAACGGCAAAGCGACTCCCAATAAGAGATCTTTCAGAACGACACGCGGCACAACTAACACCTGCGCGTCGGCCGCCAACTGGCCTCTTCGCCGGCGTCATGCGAGCAGCTCCCGCAACGGTGAAGCCTGTGATGCGTGGTCGATCGTCCTTCCCGTCAAGCGAGGAGCACCCAGGGCGATTCGAGCGCGAATTCGAGGAGATCGACGAGCTGGGTAGTGGTCAATTTGGGCGCGTTATGAGGGTGTGTTGCAAGTACGCGGACGAGAGCAAGGCATCGGAGATTTTCGCCGTCAAAAAGTCGAAACCTTTCGAAGGTATCAAGCATCGGTAAGTCCTGTTCTTGCTCTTGATGACGTCTCAGTGACTAATTTCTGTTGCTCTGCAGGCTACGGCTGCGTGAGGAGGTCGACATCTTGAAACACCTGACCCAGGCAGCAGGCGGCGGTCACCCCAATGTCCTCCAGTACATCGATAGCTGGGAAGAAGGTGATATGTTGTATATCTGCACGGAACTCTGTGCTCTGGGCAACTTGGCCCATTTCCTGTGGGCGTATGGGCGCGCATTCCCACGCCTTGACGAGGCTCGCGTTTGGCGAATACTTGCTGAGCTGAGTGCGGTGAGTATCATCTCTTTCTGCTGTCGATGTTATCCGTTTATTGAAGTCCGTTCTGTAGGGCCTGAGCTTCGTCCACAGTTCAAATGTGCTGCACCTCGACCTGAAGCCGGCGAACATCTTCGTCACAAGTTCAGGTCGCTTGAAGATAGGCGACTTCGGACTGGCTGTGCGATACACCGGCTCGTCAGAGATGCGCGGTTGTGAACGTGAAGGTGATAAGCGGTACCTCGCTTCGGAAGTACTGCAGGGCCGCTATGGACGTGCGGCGGATGTCTTCAGCCTTGGTATGACGATGCTGGAAACAGCGACAAATATCATCGTACCTGACCAGTGCGTATACCCCACATTGTTCTTCCAACCCGCACAACATGAGCTGATTGGTTTTTGCACCATTGTAGGGGCGATGCGTGGCATAGGCTACGTCACGAAGACTTCGTTCAAGTCGAGGCTGAGTTGGGCGCCTTGAGTGTCACACTTCAGGCGGTTTTAAAGGGCATGCTGCGGATGGAGCCCGCACGGCGCGTCGGGAGTGATATGCTCGCACGACATCCTGTTGTTCGTCGTGCTCGATCGGCGATGGATGGACTCAGGGCAAGACAAGGTGATGTCTTTGAGGCGAGTGCTCTCGGTCCCGTGCAAGACGGTTTCTTGTCATCCATTATCACTGGGAACGATTGGGATACCATGGAAGTCTGAGGCCTTTGTCCCTTCCATATTTCCTTGGCTTTTTCTTCTATCGTATCATATTCTATTCGTCCTGTACCTTATATTGCATTGCCTGGTTGCTTGCTTGCTTGGGCGTTGGTGGTATGTTCCATGTGGAGTGTGCCATCCTTTCTTTTGATTATTGCCATGTCCTCTTGACTTACATATGGAGTTTCTGCCCGTTCTTCAATTTCTATGGCCTTGATTTACATACTCTTGCACTAAACACTGAATGACGCACGACCTATACGCTTCAACAATACCAATATCTGCATACGTTCATAGTTCCCGCCTTCATCTTTCCGCTTCGCATTCTGTGCATTCACCATGACCCCAGTTCACGTCTTGCCTTGCATACCTTACAGTAGAATAGATGTAAACATACATGTGTTCCGACGCCACGATCGTAGACGTTGGTTATATACTCTACATATCATGCACACCCTACTCCGATGACAATTTGATAAGGAGTGAGAGTGCGCGCATCCCGACTTTTGAGCACTGGTAACTGTGCAAACGGGAGGAAGATTTTTGCGCGGGGGAAGACTATGGACAGACACTGCATCTTCAACTGACGGAAGTTCAGGGAATGCTTTGCGAATGTACACAAACCGCAGGCCGGTCCCGCTGCGTTCGGGCAGTCCAAGATGATACGCGTAGCGTTCGGCCTGCACAGCACAAGGTACCGGTCAGGAAGCAAGGACAACGACTGCGCCCAGTGTAACCGGGCGATACTTTTAAAAGGGTATGGGAGAGTAGCGGCCAGATAACATTGAAGGGACGGTGCAGAGCGTGGTCACTGCCCATCCGGAGAGGGCAGCTGAGGTCAACACACCGCAGACTCGTGCAGATGTGGGGGTGCAAGCAGGGCGAGGAGCGCTTGCCATTGGCCCCAAACGTGCACCCAGAGCGCCGTGATGATAATCATGGGCCGGAGATACAAAAGGGAAGTCGCCCGGCGCTACGCAGACCATGGGCAGGGCGGCGATCGCCGTGGGGAAGGAGGTCCACCGTCGAGACCAAGTGGACGAGCTCGAGGCGCTCCATCCCTCTAGAATAGCACCCGCGAGCGGCGACACCAAGGTCTGCAAGGCCGAGATCCCAAGGATCCGGAAGGACATGAGAGACTTCAGACCACAGCGAGAATGGATGCAGGACATGTGGATCAGCCGTTCTAGAGATTTCGCAGATGCGAGTCACTTAATGCAGAGCATGGCAAAGCTTGGTGTTGATTCGTTCGACTGCTGTGCGATGGGGGAAAATTAAAATGCCTGAGACCAGTCCTTCTGTAGCGCTAAGTCTAGTATCATGATGAACACCGAAAAAGTAAATGTACAAACGGTACTCCGTAGAACACGGTTCGTACGCCCCGAACACGTCAGGTATTATCCAGCCGCCAGTAGATAGAGAGAAATATCCGTTCCTATATCAGGGGCTGCAGTCTATCCGAGAGAGAAAGTCAAGTCAATGCAAACGCGCCAAAAAAATAAGAAAACAAAACCTCAAACACCTTCGAAGTGTCAATTCTCTCGAACAGGGTTGGTGCCGAGGACACATGAAAGCTTCTGCGGAAAGTACTGATACCACATGCTGGAGTAGTGACAATCCAGGCCTAGAGCATTGGCAGCAACACGAAGACAGTGCCGCCAATACACGGAGACAGTAGCGAGAGTCTTGCCAATACATAGGCATCGAGGCATAGCATTGAATGGCAGCTAAACCGGCCTGGAGGGAGAGAAACCACGGTCGATTTTGAGTGGAAGTGCGGAGAAATGATCACAGGAACCCGGCAGAATAAGATATGCTTAGAGTGACTGCGATGTAGCCAAAATAGCCAGGAGAAACTCGCTGGACGTTCCTCACCTTGGATGGGCTTGCGAGCTCGGGTGCTTGCCCACAATTGCAACAGACATAGAAGATACTTATGACTGACCCTGTATCATGGGTAGCCATAGCTTCCAATGGTCTGCCCGTTCCAGCTTTAGCATCTGCGTAACCGAGAATAGTACCCTCTCACCACACCAACCTTTGCCCAGGGTGAGCAAGTGTATGCCACATAGACAAAGCATCACTCAAGAAGTAGAAAAGACGTTGATCCACGCATCAGAGACAGATATCTCGACATGACGGTAATCAGGCTCGCTGGTCTGGCAGTAGTTGTAACATTGATGCTATAGTACTGACTCGACCCCAGAAATGGAGAAGTGTTTATGCGCTGCTTCCAAAGTCAGGCAGCGGGCACAGTTATAAGTTTTGAACAAAAGTCATGGGTGAGGGCGGCCGAGAGGTGAGAGATCTGGCGCCGGCGGGTGGACGAGAGAGGAAAGTTGAGACCGAACACTACTTGTACGTAACACACACCTGCTTCCAACCTCGGCAAATGCCTTGGTCCTCCAGCTTCCCCAGCTTCGCCGTGCTCTTTGTCCTCGTCCCTCATGATCCTCGTCCGACCTCTGCGCTCTCCTCCACATCCTCCTCCCACTTTCCCGTCCGTTTCAGCACGCGGACAGCGAGTCTCTGTCGCTGGACACTTGCAGCTGCACTGACGCGCCTGCTTTGACAGACACGGCGGAGTCTGTCTCTCGCTCTCCCAAACATAGTCTTTGAGCCATCCCAGGTTGTCCCGACGTGCTATCACCACTCTTTATAGTTTTAAAAGTCTCTACACCACGCATCTCTATCCCATTCGTCTCCATCTTGCTACACTCGACGCCCTCACACACTCCGCCGCTCCGGATTATACACTGGCATCAAGTTTGCTGGTCGCACGAGGTCCTCACTAATTCCCGCAATTCTTTTACGGGTATCCTGATCCCTTCACCTTGGACCCGCTACTCTGGAGCGGTCGAGTGCAACCTGACATAGTGTGTAAATCAGCGGTGAGTTGCCACTCGATACTCGACGCGTGCTGCGGCACAGGCGCGAAGTGCGCGCGTGTTATGCTCGGGACGTTCATGTCACGGTGGTCCGTACGTACCTGCGCCGTCGTCCTGGACCTTTAGCTCCATCCTGGTCTGTGAACGAGCTTTGGCTACGGAGGGCACCTGACATAGGGATTATCCGGTGGTCCTTTAAGCGGCCTGCACAGCAGGCTTCCCCCTCGCGATCGTGGGGAGTGTCTTTTGTATCTCAGTATCACGGGTATACGTGTGGATCGGTACTTGATATACTGCTCTCCGTCCGTTTCGTAGATCGTGCACGTTATGGCCATGGCTCATCGTCAGAGATGACGTTGTCTACTGTCCCTATTTTGTGCTAGTGCGCTGTTTCTATGCTTTCTGTATGCAATTGTAGCATTGAATTACGACTCACGCGTTTTCTCGTAGACATTCTGTCCGCCCGGTAGCGTCAGCGTCCGCGCCCACTAGGTGCCTTCGCCGACGCTGCAGCTTCCGGACAAACAGGCTTTTATCTCTTCCTTCCAGCGTAAATACCCATGTTGCCCCAGCTATACCACGTCTCTCAGGCCGAGCCCTCTACTACCTGTGTTCCATCATTAATACCCCCGGGCATGGACGCGGCGCACGTAGACATGCGCACGTTCTGCCCGTACACGCCAAATGAGCGCAAGCACCGCAAACGTACGTCGCGCCAGCAGCTTCGTGTGCTGGAGGACGTCTACAAGCGCGACACAAAGCCGAACGCTGTCCTCCGCAAGAAGCTCGCCGTCGAACTTGGAATGACGCCCCGCAGTGTGCAGGTGTGGTTCCAGAACCGGTGCACTTTAGCATTGTTATTCTGGCGTCTGACGCTAGCTGACCCGACCTGGTACCTGCAGGCGCGCGAAGATGAAGAACATCGCGAAGAAGCTCCAGGCGGAGAAGGAAGGAGATCAGGAGGATGCGCAGTCTGGCTCGGAGCACGAGCTTGAGCCTGAGCCTCCGGCTGGCCAACGTCCATCAATGTCGCCCAGCCCGGTGCCTCAGTCTACCTTGCCTCTTCCTGAAGTCGGGTGTGCCCCTCCAGCATCTCAACCGCAGTCTGCGTCCATTGCTTCAACCTCTACATCTAACCTCCCGGCATCGGACGTATACCCAAATACCCGAATTGAACCCGCTCCCGTCGCACCCCTCCCCATCTATCCAATTCCGCCATTCCCGAACGCACCAATGCGCACATTTAGCACTGGCAGCAGCAGCAGCACCGGGAGTTTCCTTACAGTCCCTGACGCGCACCTACTGTCACTGCGCCGCCCATCGCTTCCCACGTACCACATACACAATGCGCCCAAGTACCATCAGCCACCCCACCCTCACTCCGCCCAAGCATCCCTCTTCGCGATTCCACCCTACCCTTCTTCGACCCATCCTAATCCATTACCATTTGTCCAGCCCACTGCCATCTACGCAAATCACAACCCCCGACCACAGCGCCTTCCCGACGCCTCCAACGCACGCCGGCTCACTGCAGATCCGCACACGCTACAGCACGCGCACCGCCTCTCATCGCACCCCTATGCGCACGTTATCGCGCAGCGTAATGCGGAGATGCACCCGCCGCTCCAGCGTCACCACTCGCTTGCAGGCCCAGAGGCACGCCCAGAGGCGCTTGGTGCTCGCGGGCTCGCATTGCGCATGTACGCCCCCGCGCGTGACGTCGGCCCGCTACTCCCCGGGCCACTGCCCGCACCGGATTTCTCGTTCGGTGCGCCTCTGCCTTGTGAGCCTGCACCACAGGCTCCAGCGATGGCGCGGTCGACATCCCACCCGCAGCTGCATCAGGTCCACCAGGCGCAGGTGCCGTACGCCTCGGGCGCTGCGGGCCAGCCGATCGACTCCAAGAGGTTTTGGGACGAGGGGTACGGCACGTCGGACACGTACCCGAACGCCAACCCGTTCGCGTACCGCCCTCCCAGCTTTCGACCGTCCGCGCGGCCAGGTCCGCGGTTTGGGAGCCTCGCGAGCGTCGGAGATAGCGACGAGTCTGCGGATCTGCTATTTTCTGATGGTAGTGGCGGAGGCAGACCGTGGAGCGGGAGTGCGAGTGGGGACGCGGCTGGCGTGGAGGAAGGATCTAGCAGTAGGAGGGGAAGTATGGGGAGCTTCGGCGCCTCTGCAAGCGGCGTGAGTCGGGAAGGGGATGGGAGGAGAGGCAGTGTGTGAGTACTCGTTCTGATCTGCGGTCCTCCGTCGTTCATTTTTTTTGCTTACCTGGTTCGTTCACTCTGGATATTTTCTCCGTTGACTGACTACCATTACTCAGGGCGTCTACTCATTTCGTCCAGCGCTTCTCCGACCTCGACGTCAATAATCCTAACTCGAACCCCTCCAGCCAGGCGTCTTCTCGACGCCCCAGCTATGCACACTTGCCACACATCCCGCCTTCATCTACCGGCTCATATTCATCCTCTACCCTCCCTGGTGACGGAGGAAGTGCTCCCAGGCCCATCAGCCGCCGCCAGAGCAGCTCGCTTGCGTACGCTCTGCGGCCATCTACATCTAATAACAGCAATCGCCGTAACTCTAGAGGGGAATATTATCCAAACACGGACCTTGACACTGTCATACGCATGTTGGACGAGTACAAACCAGCAAACGGCGCACAGTTCTATCCTTCGTCTGATCCGTTTGACCTCCCGCTCAGTACTGAAGGTCCCATTCCTCCTTCGTCGTCGCACCACCCCTACATGAGTGTCGAGGCACTTCCGGTCGATACACAGGACTTAGGATTTGAGCCCGTGAGCCTATATCCATTCATCTCCGAGATGGGTAGAGTAGGTGTCCGACATGGCACCGTGTCCACGTCGCGCGAGGGGGTCGCGTATGGCGGGCAGCCGCCGTCATCGCGGACGGGCGCCATCGAGCTGCAACGGATGTGCGTGCCTGCGGATCCCACGCTCGAGGCGCTGCAGTCGGTGGGGACCGCAAATGCGCACACGCTGCAGTACCCGTGAGATGTGAACACTCTTCTCTGAGTGTCTTTCCTGTGTTGGACGCATCTAGTCAGGCTTGAATGGTTGTGTGGTGCCCCGAGCGAGGTAGCGGGCTTGGACCGCAAGAGTACCGCGTGAATGCCTCCTTATTATAACGATGCCCCCCCGCGCGTCTTCCACATGGGTGGCTGGAATGGAGGTGCTCAGTTGGGCAGAACACAGCGGACGTGACCACCATGTGGTTTTTCTCTCATAGCGGTGGATCCTCCTCCTAGCTTATGCCTCCTGCCTCAGGATGGATTTTTTTCCAGTTGAGCTCTGGGCGATCGTATGAACTCAACTAGATGAAGTGTGTTTTCGCTCCGCTCCATAGTTGATCTCTGCAGACAGAATGAGTGCGTTTGAGCACTCCTTGGTTAAGCGCGGTGGGTGAGTAGGACTCGGTAGAAATCTGGATATGCATATGTATGCTCTATCTGTCTGACCTTAGGTTATAACATTATCTAGGTTAATGCATGTCGTTATTCGCGTAGTCACTCAGTATGCTCACGCCAATAGTCAATATCTCAACAGTACTTTTGACGTAGATATGGCACAGGCTCTGAATCAACCGATTTCATTACAACTTCACTATCACACCCATCCTATTTTTTTCCACTAGAGGAGCCGCGAGAACGCACGATCACGTGAAATAATCACACCGTGTCGTCACGCCCGTGACACTTTCGCGCCGGCACTGCTGGTGCGTAATTCTCATATCGAGAAGAGTTGTAAGAGAGACACTTCCAGAAAGAGGGATCACTTTGAGGCGGTATCCCCTGGAGTGCTGCAATTATATCACTCGTTTGCCCTTTCAATGTGATGCCGAGCTCCAAATCGTCATAAAGCGATGAGGGGATCAAATTTAAGGAAGGTTGGCTGCCGAAACGCATTTGGAACTTTCAAGGCTGGTTGGACGCTTTCCGCTGGGATGGACCCAATTTATTTGCAACGCTCCCGCCAACTCCTGTGGCGGTTGATAATTCTGCGCATACTGACAGGAGTATTCGAATTACTGTCACCTTCGTCCTGTTCGCTGATCACCACCAATGTGCCTTCCGAAAAGATTTTCCCGTTACGGCAATAACCTTCAAACCCTGGGCATCGTCAGTAGCCTGAATTCCACCGCTGAGTAGAGTGGCAATGTTGTGATATGTTTTTGCGTGTCCCCACTGCCGGCCTGCAATGCTCTCTGGCGCACCGAGATAGTAAGGCTTGAGTGTGTGGAGTACCGTCGTGAGCATCTTGATTCACCGGACAAGGCGGTGGTATCCTTGTTAATCCACGAAATAATCAGACATGTTCGGTCTGGTGTTGAATGGAGGGCTGCGATTTGAAGATGTATAGGAGATTAGGTCTCCCTCCCTCGAGTTTGGACCGATTGACTCCAACATGACTCGGACCAATCCGACCCTAATGCACCATACCTTTCATGTCTTGTTCGCATATGTCCTTTCACAAACTCTTGTCAGCAGCAATTCAGAAAATATATTTGTACTATAAACATAATCTAAACATGAGAAGATTGGGAGGAAGGAAAAATTGGAAACATCGCGATCGATACAGTCACCATAACTGGTGACCGGGCGCTCGGCGCTGAGCACGAATGGTATAAGAGATAGATGGCGACGGCCATGATAAGCATGCGACGCAGGCAAGGCAGGATGTGGACGAATATTAATAAGAGGGGGTAGAGAATGTCGGGGCACGGGAGACTGAAGAACGCAACTGCGCGCAGTGCAGCAGAGACCAAGGCATGTGCCGTGTACATTATTGGCTGACGGAATATAACCGGGTCAAATTGGCAAATATTTATACTCTATTTAACGCGTCAAGGCCAATTCAGCATATCTATATCCGTACATCAGCGCTCAGCGTCGATGTCAGACAGGGCGGGCCGAGTAACTGGGCTCCCCACTTACCATATCGAGGAGATCGCCTTCCCTTTACATCACACCCGCCCACTGTATTCCCCTTCTCGTCCATCGCAGACGTCATCCCTCCGTCACATACCTTCACGAATTTGATTTAACGTCCGTATGTATATAAGGCTGCCCATCTAAACCGCCTTCGTCTTTTCTTCCCCTTCTCTCTCTCTGCCTGAGTACTTACTCGAGAAACCTTGTTGCAATTTCAAGCCACTATAACCAAGCGTTTGCCCATGGCCAGCGAGTCAAACTTAAGTATAACCATAATTGGATGCGTTTAATGTTCCTTCTCTGTGCGACCATCATCCCACTAGTCCCCCATCCCTTCTCCACACGGGACGCTCTCGACGTCAAGGCCATCGCACTCACGCTGGCCACCGGGCACAAATCTCTCCCGCACCAAGTGTCCGCATGTGATGCGCATTCAACTGCAACACCAGCTGCGAAGGGCTGAATCGCACGCGAGCGTGTTCGTGCTGTATGTGCATATAGCCACGCTCTATTAGTCGCGCCCTGCTGACCGTGCAGTGGGTATAAAGTGCTTGAAATATGAAGGCAGGACGTGTTGTCATGCGTGTCATGGAGCATCGTGCTTGTCGTTCCGATGGAACCCTGAAATCAGTCGCGCGTCCGTCAGAAACCCGCGCACATGATTTTACGCTATCGTGCAGGGTGGAGATTTAGCTCCAGCAGCGAACAAAGTGCGCACTAGCTGCGAACCGCAAGATCAGAATGATGCGCGCCAGGCCGGGGGGGGCGTGTTGGAGAGGCCGCTGTGCAGCCGGTCTTCCCAGAGGGCCCCGCAGGCGGATGGGATGACTGGGTGGTTTATCGCAAACTGCCGCCACCACGACGCGAAGTCAAGGCAACCGTCACGAAGGCAAAAGGCTATTACCGCAGCGGCTGCAGTGGTACGTACAGAGTGATGGTTGACGAATAACGCGTGTGGTGCGGCGAGGGTGCGGCGGTGACATCAATGCGTCAAGGCGGAGCACCGCGACGTACCTCGTGTCTGGTCACGATAGACATCCAAGCTGAGCCCTGCTGAGCTCATCCTGCGATTTCGACGGGGTACGCCGCAGCCGGGGGGGAGATTAACCGAGAGAGGCAGGTCGGGAGGGGATGACTGGAACAAGTCTGCGCAAGCTTGGAGTCGGGAGGCGCGTGTCGTCCGATGGAAGGACGGGCGAGGGCGACAGACAATATTGACGGTTCCGGGTATCGAGGGGTGGGTCGTCTTTGGCTCGAGAACGCAGGGTGAAGTACCTCACGGTGACGTCAAGCGTCGCTGCTGGGCTTAGCACTTACAGCTCGAGGCCGGGACGACCATGTGAGTGCTCGCAGGGCATCGATGACGAGGAGATAGCTGATTCTTGGATTGCAGAAGCTGTCTGCAGGACGAGAGCTTACGGGCGAAGGGGTTGGGAGGGAGAGGGTGTACGACGAGCTCGAGGTCTGGCGGCGCGTGATTGCTGGCCTTGTGATTCGGGACATCAGCGAGCTCTTCCCTAGCGCTCGGTGGATAAAGCAGGAGTGGACCGCAGCGAGGGAGACACCGCACCCACCAGACACCGGCCGCGTTGTGCACGCACGTCGGACGGCGCGTCGAGGACGGGACGCAGAGTTGCCGCCGGGAGCCGGTGAGCAGTGGAGAAGGTGGGGGCAAGCGGGGATGGATTTGAGAGACTGAGATGGGCCGCGGGAGTTGATTTCGTCGAATCTCGATTCATCTTTCTGCCACCAAGTTCAGGCTTGCGCGAGCGACTCCGGGTCTGCCGCAGCAGATTCGTCTCCCGCTGCAGATTCGTCTCCCGCTAAAGCCTCGCTTTCTCCCCCCAACTCCACCCGCCTTTTCCTCGACATCAAAACTCAGATCCTATTGCTCTTCCTTGCTTTCTCCTTCTACTTGCTTCGCTCCCAGTTTCGTCTCGCGTCTGAAAAATTGCCTTCCTCCAATTATACTGACTGTGCCTCACCAGCGGTTAGCACCGTCTTCTGCTCCCGATCATCCCGTACCTGACCACAGCCCGCTCGGATCCTGTTGGTCCGGCGTCTTTCTCCAGCATCACTTTAGACAGTACTAGTACATACAATTTCTTCCTCCCCGACAACACCCTCACCAGCGGAAGGAGCGGATCGACCTGCCCATCACGCGTATTCGCCGTCGCACATCCTTCAAATCCTCGTTCGAGACTCCTCATTGCCGCAGCACTTGATATTCCTGCGGGTCGCACGCGTTCTCTGCATTCTAATCCATCCAATCTGCATATTCAGCAACATCTTCTGTGGAACTCGACTGGACAACACTTGGATTAGCCCACGGTGAGTTTTCAGTGCAGATTGTAGGTCCTGTCATAGCCAAATGCCGTCCATGCGTTTTCGACGCTGTGAATGAATACGCGCGGGATCTGCGCGGATGTGATCCGCGTTCCGCGTTGTGTAGAGCGTCAACAGGCAGACCGTGCTGAAGGCAGCCGGCGCGGTGTCATCGACTCGTCTCACTGAATATAACAAAACGGACGTTCTCTTCGGAATAACGACTCACTCTGTCTGTCAAGTTGTCGAGCACATCACGGGTATCTGACACGCTCTCGGCGCAGTTGAATATCACGAACTCCGTCGTCCAGCGTCTCTCCAATATACAAGCACCGCGGCCTTGCGAAGCGTGTGCACGCAACGGTGAGCGTTCATCCGATCTTGGCCACGAAAATAGGCGCTGCCCAGAAGTTTTACGCCGAAAGACACGCACCGATCCTGCCTGTGCGGAGTGCGCCATCATCCCGTTCACCTTAATTCGCACGTTCATCGTGACATCCGTTTCACTCTACCACCTATTCCCCCGTCATTGCGTACGTACGTCGCTACACGCGCCTGGGCGGCGATTAGCGCCGATGCAGTATGGCATCGACTGCGTTTATCTCGTATACACTGTGTCGATCCCTCGAGTCTGACTCATTACGTTCGTGCAGAAACCGTAGTCTTGCATTTCCGCCAGATTAACAGGTCTGCAGGGAGATTCTGCTCAAGTTGCCATTCCTGGACACTTTTGCTGCGAGCCTACTCCGTAGAGGCGAATTCTCGGCTCGATTGAGGCTGCTCAGCCATTTCATGAGCCTTTCTTCTTACTCTGTCGTAGTGTCCATCAATTCCTTTTGGTTTTGGAGAAGGTGAGCTGCCGTCCTCCACATTTCCCCCCCGTAGACGGCCGTACTGGCACCCCGCACTGAAGTGCACTGTGCTGTTGTGCTTCCCGGTTATGTATACCAGGGCGTACGGTATCTGGCGCATCCCATCGATTGTCTACCTGTACGTATTTGACCAGCCTTGTGGAGTCTTTGCGCAGCGATCTGCCCCGGAGAAGATTTCGCATTGAACCGGTTATCTCCTTCCAATCTGCGTTGATCGTGAACACCATCCACGCTCATTCTCACTCAATTTCACAGATACTGTTGTTACGCGAGGCCTGTTGACCTTCCACCGGACTTATACGCACCGCCGGCCCTCATTATTCCTATCGGCGTGTGTAGATAGGCCGATCCTGGCCTCCTCTTGCCGTACACCGCTCCGGGACTCAGGCGCTCGTTGAAATTATTGATTAATACGAGTCCATCGCCAGGTCTCGTCCGATTTGAGGCCTTCAGCTAATAAAACCAAGCGCGCTCACCAGCAAGCACTGCGTCAATGTACACCCCGACCCCCCACCCGCGGTCGGCGACACGCCCCTCCTCACGGCCTAAGGCGAAGGTGATGGCCACGTTCTGCGCCTACCAGCCTGATCAGCAGAAGAGCCGTCGACGCACAAGTCGGAGGGAAAAACGGCGGCTAGAGGCGGTGTATCTCGAGAGCCCGACGCCGGACAAGACGCTGATCACAACGCTGGCGAAGGAGTTGAACATGGAGCAGCAAACTGTGAGGATTTGGTTTCAGAATAGGTGGGTTAGGCAGCTGAACCCCATGGGACTGCGGTGAGCTCATTGTATGCGTGTAGGCGAGCGAAGGCAAAAAAGCTAGACCAACGGATGATGCAGTCAAAGGGCTCTGCGTCCCTGCCCAGCCCTCAAGAGGTCGACGAACATTTCCATCCTGAGACTCCCGACGGCCAATCATTCCGTCCACATTGTGGCTTAGACACACCCGAGCAGTTGAATCCAACTTCACCAGCGTATTTAACCGAGTCCTCTGAGCCTCAGCCCTCCATGACTACTTCTACGTCCTCCCCCGTGGACTCACTGTCCGACCAGATCCCCGGTCCGTCTCGCATACCCACTTCGGTGCAACCTCTCGCGCGACTCCCGACGCACTCAATGCCCGTACCCATGTCACACAACGATGCGCCCCGCCGGACGTCACTCCCCAACTTTCGTAGCAGTGTCCTTGTTAGCAGTTACAGCGCGTCTCCCTCCTCCTCGACCAACGCCGCGTACGCCCTACACCCACACTACTCTCCATCTACATCGGAACGCGACCACGGCGACATGCCCAGCTTCTCATGTGCCGAGGCAGGCGGATTCCTACCGTCCCACCGGCGCTCAGCGCATACGCTTACACACATAGAGCGGCTCTCCAGCAATCCGTACGCAAAGATAGTGAAACAGTGCAATACGAACCTATACGGCGACTTCGGTGCGCTGTTTGCACGGCACTACTCGTTCGACAGCGGCCGTGCGGCCGAGCCTCCATATGTGCTGTCGGTGCGCGATGTCGGTGCCCCTCCTCCCGGTCCCTTACCTGCACCCGACTACTGTTTTGGCGCGCCCTACGCCGGAGAGCGGCCGCCAACACCCGCGTTGGCCCCGCAGTCTGCGCAGTCACCTATTGTGCCGTACGCGCTGGAGTCGGGCAAGGATGGGTCTCGCAAGGAAGACGAGTACGACGTGTATGAGCACGGTGTACGACTCCCGCCTCCGTACCCGTATGAGTTTAGCGCTCTTCCGAGTGGGCCGGGTCTGCGCTTTGGCAGCATGGCAAGTGTAGGCGGGAGCGAGTCGAGCTTATCTTCTGCTTTCTATTCGGAGAGCAGCTCGGGGAACCGGTGTGGCTGGGAGAATGCCGCTATGAACGAGAATGGGCGGAGGGCTAGTACGTGAGTGTCTCGTGTTTTTTTCTGCATTCACCACCCTTTGGCTGTATAATATTTTCTTCCTCGTCTTCCATGATAGTCTAATGACTCCGCTATTTTTAGTGAATCACACTTCCTGCGGCGCGTCGCTGAGCTTACCGTTGACCCGACCCGCATTTACAATGTCCACCCTAACTCAGTGCCTTCTTCGCGACGGCCGAGTCAAGTACTAGTGACCTGCCTCATGTCCGGAGAACAGTCACACTCTCACGCATCGACCGTCGTTGAAGGCGGCCCGCTGCACCAGCCCGAGCCTTCTCTACCTGGTACGGGCGTTGCTCTACTGCAGCGCCACAGCAGCTCACTCGCACACGCGCTGGATTGTCCCGAAGAGCCCAATCATCGTGAGCGGTACTCCGTTGGCGACGTCACCTTGTCTTTCCCGCCGGAATATACGTTCCCTCATGTGGTTGGGGAACCTCAATTGGCGTACGACATCCCGCCGGATGCCGATGCTGCCACCCGCCAGGTCGTGTATGCTGCGCACGGCGCCGACCACCAAGGTGGATACGCCGTCCAGGCCCTACAAGAGCACGGCCACCCATCGCAATCGCACTCTCAGGTAGCCCCCTTCAGCCGGTATGCACATCAATATGATGTGGGCACCGTCGATGAGCCCCGCGCGGACGACTACGAGGACCTGGACGAGGGCCAGCGCGGTGCGCCACCAATGTATAGGACAGGCGCCGTCGAGCTGGATCATATGTGTGTACCGGCGAATGCGACGTCTGACGCGCTTCAGTTTGTACGTAAGGATATCAGATTATATCCATGACCGTTGTGCGGTGCGGAATCCGGTGTTGTTGTTTCTCCTATCTATCTTCTGTTTTCACCGTTTTCTCGTTTTATCGCTGAATCATTGTCGCGCTCTTGTCCGGCTACAAATCTACCCCTAGGACAGGGTTCCTCATCCATATTACCTATCTATCGTCGCACCGGCTCCCGCTGTCTGTCTGTCTGTTCCTACTCTGTCGTCTATGTCTGCTAGATTGCGATCCCCTGATACTCACTTGGTATGTCTGTCTGTTCGCATTCTGTCATCTACATATGTCTGCTAGATTGCGATCCCCTGGTACTCACTTGGTAGTATTACTCTCGCATTCGTTCTTGTCTTTGGAGTTCCGCGTCGGCTGCTTTGTTGTATCGTACCTTGGCATATCACATACCCTACACGTACCATACCACTCGCTGTGTTCTCTCGTCGGTCGCATTGTTGCATATAAGTACACTCGTACATACATATACACACGTACATACTTGTAGACATAATGATAGATAGTTATCTTCGTTCCGCGATCAGTGTGGCGCCCCCTTGCTTGGCCCGAGGCTGTGCAATTTCCAAAACGGTCGCCGATGTTGTGTTTTCATGGGAAAAGAGCTATTCGATGTGGGGGGTGGGGGTGAACATCATGCTACCTGGTGGTCCAACTCTGCTACCGTTGGTTTCAAACTGCAGGAAGACTGAGCTTGGGCTTTGCAGGGAACTTCAACTTGAAGTTGAATGTGGGCGTGCAACGACTTGGAGCGGTCGAGCGTTGGACTGGTCTCCGTCAACGAGTGCTGTGTGTGCGACTATCCATGGACACTATTTTTTCTCCAGTGCAGTTTCTTTTCTGGCTGGTTGGGGGTGCGATGAGTCACTGTGGCGCGGGCGGTAGGGAACGCGGTGTGACAAATGCACGTGACCGTCTAACCGTGGCGGCGTGGTGCCGCAGGGCCGCCACTGACTAGTACTGACTGTGCCGTCGAAGAGATCTTTCCACCACCCGCTCGCGCACGACTCCCGATAGCCTGACAGTGCAAACCTTATGTGCTTGACAGAACTGACAGAGTCCCTGTCGCTGACAGCAGTGCCTCCGAATCAGCGGAGATGAATAGGGCGAAGTCTTGCCCCATCTGGATGATTCCTCGAGAAGAGGAAACTCCGGAACCCTCTTTGTTTTAGACTGGAAGCGGGAGCGGGATTCTCGACTAACTTTGACAGTGGCCGGCCGAGTAGCGCCTATCCCGCCGTCCTGGCCTATAATGGGCGATTGTGCCCGGGGAGCGGGAGTTTGTGCACAATACTTGGGCCGTTCACGCGGCGTGAAAATGCAGAATATTTTGGAGGTCATCCCGCGAACTTTGAGGCGTTGGGAACCACCGGCGGACGGCGAGATGCACCTCCGCATTGCGCTCCGAATCAATGTGGTGAGCGAGACGCGAGTCCCCCTGGCGATCTGTCATCCGGCCGGGCTGCGATGTAATTTGTGAGTGATGATGATGAAAATCTGTGTATTTATACTGCAAACAGGCGATCAAGTGCGCCAAGGAACAGTCTCTAACAAGTATCTAACGTAGGTAAATATGCACTGGTAAGGGGTTGCCGAAAAGAGGAAGTGTCCTTGCTGCCATGAAAGCAGCGGTGTCTCATGAGTACTGCGTTCTAATTTGTGAGTGAGGTTTCCCGCGAGTTTCTGGGGCTCACTGGAGCTAACAGGATGCGCCATCGTGACACAGCCAAGATTGTCCGAGCTCGAGGCTGTCTGTCTATACTTACCTCCACTTGGCGATAGCGTCAGCTCGACGCCCCTGATCCGCGAATGGATGCCGCGTCTCGGCGTGCAGGCAACCATCATCCTTTGACCCGTTTGGCGACTGCAGACAGGCACTTAACACCCTCCCGGATTTGTATCCCTGAGTGAATGTAAGGTTTGTCTGCCTTACAACGTCACCATTTGTCGCCAGCACAAATCTATTGATAAAGTTTACATGTGTGATCAGGACTGAATAGGGACTCAATTGACCAGTTGAATTTGTTACTTCGGCAAATAGAAACTGTGTTTCATCTACAAACGGTTACTTTGTAGTGAGCACGAAATTCATCATTTGTTGGGGTAGCAAATTTGAGTTGGTCTCAGGTGAGGCCGCAACCCATGCATCTCCCTCTCAGATGCTGTATGCGCTGCTCAGCCGTGCGATCCTGGGCTCCACCTTGCTCCACCTTGCTCCACCTTGAGGTCTGTACGGTGAATTAGGAGATGAAAAGACTAGGCTGATCTCCCCATGGCTCCACGTATAGATGTCGAATCGTCCCGAGGAGGGCATGTGTCTGTCGAACGCGGTACTAATTATACGGCTGCGCGGACTTGCAACACCGTGATGCGGGAGTATTAATGTTGGTTCGAAAACGCTTGGACGCTTCCTATTGTGCTGAAACAGGGGCAGGTCAATCATGGGATGGGATGCGCCCAGCGAGCTCAGGCAGTGCAAGGCTCCTGCAGTATAAAAGGGCGAGCGCACCGCGGTGGTCCCCCCAGCTCCCAGCCTTCTTCTTCAGAGCCAAAGTCTTTCAAGTCGGTACTGGATAGTGAGTATCTCCTCTCCCCCTTCCTTCCGTCATACGGCGCTGACGGTGTGCGTTGCACAGCCTGACTTGTTTTTCTCTCCCTTCGCATTTCTTTTCACGACTTTGTTCAGCTTTGACACGACCTAACGACCACACTCCTTCCTTGCGTCTATTCATCTCCACTATTCACTCTACCTCTTTATATCTGTCGTCATCATATTCACAATGCGTTCCACCATCGCCATCACCGCCATCCTCGTCGCCGCGTCCGCTGCTCCCGCGCTCGCGATTCCCATCGCACCCGCGAGGTATATGTGCTCATCAGCCTACGACAACTCCCCGCTGACATTTCTCTCTTTTTAGCGGCAGCGAGGCAGTCGACTGGAAGCAGGTCGGCAGCGTCGCGGGAGATCTTGGAAAAGCTCTCTTCCACATCCTCCGCGAAGAGGACCCCATCCTCGCCCGTGCGTTCGAGGCAGAGCTCGTGGCGCGCGCTGACGGGAGCCAGGCTCTCAACTGGAAGAGCATCGGGGACGACTTCAAGGACTTCGGCGAGGGCGTCATCAGTCGTGCCGAGCCATCGAGCGAGGCCATCGACTGGAACACGGTGGGCAAGATTGCTGGGGATGTGGGCCGCGTCGCGATGCATGTCCTGAGGGAGGAAGAGCTGTTGGCGCGCGGCCTTGCTTGGGACGAGCTGGATTGAGCTTGGGGGTCGGCCGTTCTTCGGGGATAGATGGGTGTTTTGTGGAGATGGGGACGGTGGTCAGTTTATTGTTATTAGTTAGTATGTCGAGTTGAACTTTGTGGAATGCGATTGGCACGGCTGAGAGCTGAATATTTTGGTGTGCTGAGTTTGCTCTGCAATTGTGAGCCTAATTCGAACTGCGCGTCTTGGAGTGGTGCTGCTCAAGACATCAGTATTGTAGCAATGTGAATGAACTTATCCACGACGCTATGGGCTACGTCGAAGCTGCCTTCTGTAGTCAGACTACGAAATGATCGCTGAGTCGGGGCGGAGACGGGATGGATCGTATAGTGCAACACTGTCATACCACTATTTCTTCGATTACCGCGAGCGCAACAGGCTTCAAATAATATATACAAATGCCACCAATCGCGGATACGTATAGCCAACATTTAGAAGGGCATATCATTCGTCTCGCAACAAAATTGTACAAGACGAGATTTTCGCAGGACACAATATTCGTTAATAGGAGGCCTCAAGTGCCGAATTCACGACAGGCCAAAAGAACATACAACGGTGCTACAGCTTCGTGGTCGACGGTGGCATGGGTGCATCGACATGTACGCGCCAAACGCACGCGGGGGATGGCGTTTCCCGCAAACGCCGTGCGGAACGCCCGCGCCGCTTTGTTTCTACGGCACGCGCGGCGTACCCATATCAGGAAGGTGGCGTACGTATCCCTGGGACACGCACTTGGCGCGCCCACCGAAGGCGGGCGGGCGGAGCGCCGGGCGGGTCCCACGGCAAGCGGCAGGGGCGGGGCGTCGAAATTGATGGCCGTGGTGACGCGCCACCTAACCGAGGGGCGGCAGGCGCCACGCCAGCGCTGATTGGGCGCTCTCGCGCTCGGCGAGTCCATCAGGAAAAGTCAAACCCACTCAACCTTCTCATTGTCTTATTTAAGGAGAAATAAGAAAGAGTAAGAACATGGATGGTCTTATTTCTCCTTAAATAAGGCAATAAGACGGTTAAGTGGATTTGACTTTTCCTGATGGAAGCGAATAAGTATGTTCGCGGAGGATTGCCATATCGGGCTGCGTGTCCCATGAACGCGGTGTGACAAATGCACGTGACTGTCTATCTGTGGCGGTGCCGCAGGATTGACAGCTGCCGTCGAAGAGATCTTTCCGCCACCCGCTCGCGCACGGCTCCCGATAGCCTGTCAATGCGAACCTTGTGTGCTTGACAGAACTGACAGCGTCTCTGTTGCTGACAGCAGTGCCTCCGAGCGGAGAGATTTGGCCAAGACCAAGGGAGTAGGGCAAAGTCTTGACCGCATCTGGACGATTCCTCGAGAAGAGGAAACTTCGGAACCCTCAGGTTTGTCTTTTGCGCAGCCGTTCACGCCGCGTGAAAATGCGGAATATTTTGGAGGTCGTCATCTGAGGAACCACTGGCAGATAGCGAGATGCATGCACCTACGCATTGCGCTCCGAATCCATGTGGTGAGGTCCCGGGACGCACTAGCCAGCCGCGATCTGTCATCCGGCTGGCCTGCGATGTAATTTGTGAGTGAGGTTTCCCGCAAGTTTCTGGTGCTCACTACAGGATGCGCCATCTTGACACAGCCAAGATCGTCCGAGCTCGGAGGTTGTCTGTCCATACTTACCACCTCTTGGCGATAGCGTCAGCTCGACGCCTCTGATGAGCGCACGGATGCCGCATCTCGGCGCGCAGGCAACCATCATCCTTTGACCCGTCAGGCCACTGCAGACAGGCCGCAACTGTGCGTCTCTCTCTCAAGCGCTGTACGCGCTGCTCAGCCGTGCGATCCTGGGCTCCACCCTGCTCCACCTTCAGGTCTGTACGGTGAATTAGGAGATGAAAAGACTAGGCTGATCCTCCCATGGCTCCACGTATAGATGTCGACGTCCCGAGGACAGCATGTGTGTATTGAACGCCCACACCACGGCTGCGCGGGCTTGCAACACCGTGATGCGGGAGGATTGATGTTGGCGAACCATAGGACGCGCGTAGTTCCTATCGTGCTGAAACAGGGGCAGGTCCATCATGGACGGGACGCACGCCCAGCGAATCCCCGGCAGTGCAAGGCTCTTGCGGTATAAAATGGGCGAGCGCACCGCTGTGGTCCCCCAGCTCTCAGCCTTCTTCTTCTTCAGAGCCAAAGACTTTCAAGTCGGTACTGGATAGTGAGTGTCTCCACCTCTCCTCCTCCCTTCCGTCATACAGCGCTGACGGTGTGCGTTGTTCAGCCTGACTTGTTTTTCTCTCCCTTCGCATTAAATTTTCACGACTTTGTTCAGCTTTGACACGACTTAACGACCACACTCCTTCCTATCGTCTATTAATCTCCACTCTTCACTTCACCTCTTTATATCTATCGTTATCATATTCACAATGCGTTCCACCATCGCTATCACCGCCGCCCTCGTCGCCGCGTCCGCCGCTCCCTCGCTCGCGCTCCCCATCGCACCCGCGAGGTATGTCTGCTCATCAGCCTACGACAACTCCCCGCTAACATTTATTTATCTTTAGCGGTAGCGAGGCAGTCAACTGGAAGAAGGTCGGTAACGTCGCGGGAGATGTTGGAAAGACCCTCCTCCACTTCCTCCGCGCTGAGGACCCCGTCATGGCCCGCGCGTTCGAGCACGAGCTCCTAGCGCGCGCCGCGCCCGCTGGCAGCGAAGCCGTCAACTGGAAGAAGGTCGGCAGCGTCGCGGGAGATGTTGGCAAGGTTGCCCTCCACTTCCTTCGCGAGGAGGACCCCATCGTCGCTCGTGCGTTCGAGGACGAGCTGCTGGCCCGCGCCGCGCCCGCGGGCTCCGAAGCCGTCAACTGGAAGAAGGTCGGCTCTGTCGCTGGAGATGTAGGAAAGACCCTGCTGCACTTCCTCCGCGAGGCGGACCCGGTCGTGACGCGCGCTGACGGGAGCGAGGCTATCAACTGGCACAATATCGGGAACGACTTCAAGCAGTTCGGCGAGGGCGTCATCAGCCGTGCCGAGCCCGCAGGCAGCGAGGCTGTGAACTGGAAGAAGGTTGGCGGCATTGCGGGTGACGTTGGCAAGGTTGCGCTCCACTTCCTCCGCGACGACGGTAGCCAGGCGATCAACTGGCACAACATCGGTCACGACGTCGAGCAGTTCGGCGAGGGTGTGGTCGGCCGTGCGGATGCGGGCAGCGAGGCCGTGAACTGGAAGAAAGTCGGCGGCGTTGCAGGCGACATTGGCAAGGTTGCCCTCCACTTCCTGCGCGAGGAGGACCCCATCGTCGCCCGTGCGTTCGAGGACGAGCTGTTGGCGCGTGCTGCCCCTGCTGGCAGCGAAGCCGTCAACTGGAAGAAGGTCGGCAGCGTTGCGGGAGATGTTGGAAAGACGCTCCTCCACTTCCTTCGCGAGGAGGACCCCATCGTCGCCCGTGCGTTCGAGGAGGAGCTCATGGCGCGCGTTGACGGGAGCGAGGCTATCAACTGGCACAACATCGGGAACGACTTCAAGCAGTTCGGCGAGGGCGTCATTAGCCGTGCCGAGCCCGCAGGCAGCGAGGCTGTGAACTGGAAGAAGGTCGGTTCTGTTGCGGGGGACGTCGGGAAGACGCTCCTCCACTTCCTTCGCGAGGAGGATCCCATCGTCGCCCGTGCGTTCGAAAACGAGCTCATGGCGCGCGCCGACGGAAGCGAGGCTATCAACTGGCACACCGTGGGTCACGACGCCGAGCAGTTCGGCGAGGGCGTCTTCGGACGTGCGGATGCGGGCAGCGAGGCCATCAACTGGAAGAAGATCGGCGGCATTGCAGGTGACGTTGGCAAGGTTGCGCTCCACTTCCTGAGGGAGGACGAGCTGTTGGCTCGCGGCCTTGCTTTGAACGAGCTGGATTGAGCTTAGGGAATGGCCGTTCTGCTGGGATAGATGAGTGTTTGGAGATTGGGACGGTGGTCAGTTTATTGTTATTATTTAGTCTGTCGGGTTGAACTTCGTGGAATGCGATTGGCACGGCTGAGGGCTGAATATTTTGGTGTGCTGAGTTTGCTCTGCAACTGTATACCGAGTTCAAGTTGCGGGAGTCTCTTGGAATCGTGCTCCTCAAGACATCAGTACTGTGGCAATGTGAGCGAACTTATCCACGACGCTACGGCCTACATTCGAGTCGCCTTCTGTAGGCAGACTACAAAATGATCACGGTGAATGGGATCGTATCAGTGCAACACTGTCATAGCACTATTTTTTCGATTATCTCGAGCGCAACATGATAATATACCCAAATGCCAAAGATCGCGACATGTCGGATACATGTAGCCAGCATTAAACAGAGATTTCCTTCGTCTCACAACAAATTTACAAGACGAGATCCCCCCAGGATAAGTACAATATTTGTTAATAGACGGCATCAGAGTGCCGAATTTACGACAGGCCAAAAAAAAGTGCAACGGTGCTACAGCTTCGTGGTCGACGGTGGCATGGGCGGCTTAGGGTGCATCGACATGTACGCGCCCAACGCACGCGGGGGGTACGCCATCCACGGCGGCATGCCCGCAGGAACGCCGTACGGAACGCCCGCGCCGCTGGCTTCGTTGCCTACACCCCCACTATTGATCGAAGAACCGTCCCGCATGGAGAGGGCCGTCAAGACGTCGTGCAGCTGTCAAGATATCAGCGATGTGGGAAAAGAAGGGAAAATAGGTAGAGACAAACCTGCATCCGCAGCCCGTGCATCGCCGCGCGCATTCCGCGCAGCTCCTCGCCCGTGTGCAGCGCCTCCGACGCGCGCGCGGAAGCCAGTGCGCCGACTGAACCAGCGAGAGTGCTCAGCGTGGAGTGCAGCGCAGCGAGCGTTTCCGGAAGGGGCGTAGCGGGGTCGAGTGGGGGGACGTTGATGTCCGGCGGGGAGAGCGTGGGCGGCGGGAGCGCGTAGGAGGGGGATGGGTATGCAGAGCTGCTGAAGGGTGGATAGGGAAGCAGGTACCCTGGCATCGGAGAGAGAAAGGCGCTGGAGGGCCCTGCTTGCGCGTTTGACGCTTGGGGTGGGTGTGGCGATGACCGCCGGGCCGGGGTTATGGCGGCTGGGGCCTGGGTGTGGTATGGGGTGTGCCAGGGAGCGCGTGCTTCTGCGGTCGCGTAGACGTCAGTACTGTCATCTTCTGCGGGAGGGAAGTAGGACGCGATATTGATACCCGCAGATTCCGCCGCAGCGGTTGCAGGGACCGCGCTAACGTTCGAGACAGGATGAGCAGCTGGCCCGTGCGCTGAGTCCGACGGCTGTGCTGCATTCCCAGAGGGATTAGGACGTGGGACCTGTGTCTGTTGGGGAGGTACGGCTTCGAAGGCGACTGGTCTGTGAGAGACTTCCGATGCAGAGCGAGCGTCTAACTCCAACTCCAACGGTGGCGTACGAGTACGAGTATCGTGTGGCCTATACCAGGGACCAAGCGCGCGCTGGACCGCATGCATCTCTAGGCGCATGGCGCTGACAATGCCTTCGAGCGCCGAGAGACGCATACGAAGTAGCGCGTTCTCAGCAGCAAGAACGTCCGCGGTAGGTGCGGACACAGGTCGTGGAGAGGTTGATCGTGTTTCTATCTCCGGGGTTGTGAGAGAAGACTGTGATTCATAGGCATCGGTGACTGGGTCAGCACTGGCTGGGTCAGCACTGGATTGATAAGGACTCACCTCGGGATGGGACTCTGCTCCTGTCGACGACTCACCAGCATGCTTATGGTTGGGGACGTCATTTCGCAATATCTGCTGTTCGCACTTGCCATCAGGACAAGGTACTTCGACGAACCCACACGAATCCTTGAGGTGCGCGGTGAGGAGCAGTCTCTGGCAGGTATGTGGGCAGCCTTTGCTGTGTTGCGGACATTCGACCACCAGCTCATCCACCAGCTGTAGCATGAAAGTAAGCACAGACCTCTGAAAACCACGCAAAAATACCGACATTTCGCACGACCGGGTCTGCAGGTGCCAGGTCGTGCATGGAGAGGGGGGAGCGGTCGATCGGGCACTGTCGCGCAACATCAACTGCCATAGAAATGCACTTGTAGCAGAATGTATGGCAACATGTGCGAGTCGTGCATGGGTCCACGAATGGTGATCTGGTGAATAAACGAACGTGAGTATGGAGATCTCGGCGGGTGTGGAACCGGTGGCACCTGCAGATACAACACACCTAGCCATCACAATGTCAGCAAGAGCATGGAGACCATTATCTCAACGCACCAGGTTCGCGTTCGGTGTGTCAACGTACAAATAAGAGGAGGACATCGGAGAGGAGTGTACAACTCTCTACTACGGCGTAGTGGAGAATCCGGCGTCCAGGACAGGCGCTAATTAGCACTCAGATCACCTGACTGTGAGGAATGGGCGCCCATCTTAGCCGCCTCTCTCAAAGTTGCAGATACACTGAACGTTCCCCTACATTGGCGTGGTGTTCCTATCATCCTCCAAGCAACTCAAAACAAGACGTATCCTTTGGAGACTGGAATCTTGCCGTCTCAAACATCCCTTCGGCCGCTGCCCACGAGGCAAAGTCTCGGCCGGCGTCACTGACGCGTCCCTTCTGCAGAATCAACCAGGGCAAATTGCAAGAGACTATGGTGGGCCGTGGCTCGCGTTCGGGCTGACAAGACGCCTATAAACCTACGTCTACCACCTCGACGTACACTGAAGATCCCTACTCTTACCAGCCATGCAAAGAACCTCTCGCCGCTCGTACGGGCGTAGAGGATGGGATGTCCGCCGTCCAAATTCACCTCTGAATATCTGGTCCAGCTCCGTGGCCCCTTATATACCTGTTGTATTGGGTGGAGCAGTCGTCGTTGTGTTTGGAGGCACGTAATTCTGCATTTTAAAGAAGACGAAAGACCATTTGCTCAGCTTATACCAGGATTCGTGTGGTGGAAAGTGAGCCGTTGGTCCAAAGACGCGAAGGCGTACTACGAACAGAAGAAAGATATTGTCACAGAGAAAATGTCGGCTGCCTTGGAATCTTACTCTGTGAAGAAAGATGCGTTGGCGGAAAAGGCTTCTGCTACGAGGGCGTCTTACGCAGACAGGAAGAAAATGGTGACGGAAAGGCTATCTGATGTCCGAAATATCGCGCGTGAGCGCATTGGCGACGCTCGAGAACGTCTCAACGGCGCATCTCCCCAGTCTCGCGAAGCTCTTCAGGAACACATGGTAAGGAGTCTTAACGGGTTAATATTTTTGCCGTGGTAACGTCGTGACTTAAAGGATGCAAACGAGCCGAATTCTACCGCGAGTGATGATCAAAGCATCGAGAGCATACATCTGGCTGACGGAGAAAAGAAGTCCCGGATGGCAGGCGCACGGGAGTGGATGAGAACGCGCAGGAGTTCTTGAGTAGGTAACCGTTACTCTACCCAGTGTGATATAGGACGTGCTCGGCAAGCACTGGTTCCGCAACACTTGTCTCCCCACCTCGTGCCTCCCGACGGCTGCGGTACTTGAAGCTTGGCAATCTGTGTTATTTTCCCCTTCAACGCAACTTCTTGCCCGATGTCTCGTCCTTGTTGACACTTTCTTACTCTGGAAGGCGCGATCTTCTGCTGGTGGATTACATAACTACACGGCATGCACAGCACTTCCCAAATTCTACCAAGAACTCTTGTTCCGTTTCCTTATCTTAATCGCCTTTGCCGCATGGATCAATTACGTTCCGGACCTGTTTGTGGGTCCATCTCGCGTTTGAACCATCAATAACTGGCGTAATACATCCCACTTCAGCTGGTTAAGCTCTTCTTTGTACGGCGAAGCTGATCAGAAGGTACCCCGTGACAGCCCTCGTGTCCTCAGCGTTGCACGGGCGTGCCGGCAACTCCGTGTGCGACGTGGTCTATACGGATTTCCGCCATTGCTGAGGGCATTTAAAGGGACGCTGCGGCGTGCGTGCTTCCCTGGACACTCTCCACATCGTCTTCTGCAACGTCATCCTCGGCGGCCTAGTTATGGATGTTCCTTATACTGGTAAAGGGAAGAAAGGGAAGAAAGGCGCCGGGTTTTGCATCACCCCAGATCGCATCACCCCAGAGGAGCCTGTAGATGTCAATTTACACGAGAAGGGTCTGCATGAACGCGCACCGACTCGAATCATCCAAGAGGAGCCTGTAGATGTCAATTTGCATACCGAAGCGTCAAGGGAACAGGTCCTTGACGCCGTGTTGAAGATGTCTCTCGCCGCGGGAGATTTCGCAGACACGAAGTTCTACGTTTTTTCTGCGCGCACTCAGTCTGGCACTGTGAGCAAGCCTCTCGCCGTCTTCGCGAACAGCGTCGCCGTCAGGAAAGCGTCGCCTCATTTCGAGCGTCGTGAGTATTCTATTTATGATACCGGGCCTCGCTGGCTTAACCTCTGTGTTCAGTGTTGTCCGGGGGATTCATGGAGAGTCAGGTCACCGCCTTGGATGCAGAGAACCATCTCCCTCAGAATTTATTCACAGACGAGTATGATTACGACTCTGACAGTGATCTGGATGACGACGAAGATGAGACTGATGGGCGAGGTTCCCAAGCTGCTCTTCTGACACCGAAGGGCAAGCTAGCGGACTTTCATGACGAAGAAAATATTTCGGCGCTTACAGAATTCCAGGAAGACAATGTATGTCATGAAATCTTTGAAAAGATCTGTTGCTCACGAGCGATGCAGCTTCAGGTGCCTAGTACTTCAAGCGAGAAAACTCTCAATACCTCTGATCCCATTCAGACCTTTCCGCGAGGAGGAAGAATTGGCCAAACGGTCTATATCAAGGACATAGCGTTTAAAACGTACGTACGTCCTAAGCCAGTGCGCGCGGAGCTCATGCGGCGCAAACATTCAGCTGGCAGGCTTTCATTTTCTACGTATACACTGGCAAAGTTGAGTTCGCGCCTCTCAAGTCTCAGGGACAAAGTGCGCGTGGTGCGAGCGTCGATGAGCGCGCAATGTTATCCCGGCCTCCACGCTGCTCTCCCAAATCGATGTATCGTCTTGCCGAAAAGGTTTATTAACTTTCACTGCAATATGTTACTCTCACTGATCTCGACCCTCTTAAGTACGACTTGAAGGAACTGAAGGACTTGGCTGCGAAAGATCTGGAGTCGAAGTTGTCCAAGGAGAACATTTTACACGAAGTCTTTTCTGGATTCACTTCGAGGTGAGTTGTTGTTTAGCTGACCAAAGTAATCAGATGGGCTGATGTTATGTTATCTAGATATCCAGAAATATCCACAAAACAGGTCGAATTCTTGAGCAACAACGTAGGGTCCGTCGTGTCACAATTGCCGCAGTGGATAGATAGTATCGCTGCGGGCCATTTGCCACACAGCGCCGACATACTAGTATCCTTCATTCAGAAAGTAGTGGCATCGAAAACGATCACAGAACCTGAGCCAGTGTGTAGATATTGCCGCTCTTCGGGGTATAACCGCACTTGTAGCAGCTGCAGCCGGGCGATGTAGAGAGATGTTGTATATTTGATTGCATAGACTGCTTCGTATGCTTCTTGTGTTTGAATCGTTCACACTGCATCAAATCCAGTATGCGTGGTTACCTACTGCCACATGACGAGGAAATAGGCGTCTCCTACAATAATTGCTGCAGCGCAGGTAGCCCATCCCAGAATAAATGCGAACAGCATCGAGGAAGTGGTGGCACCTGGCAGCTCTCGTTACTCAGGGGTTCGGAGGGGGCAATGTAATGTCTACGACGAAGACATTAGTGTCGAGGGCCTGCAGGCCTGCGCCGAACACGTAGCGACTTCATGTTCCACTATGGCCCGCTAAGGAGAGAGCACGAAAAGGGTCGGCTTGGTTAAAATTAATTGTCAGCTATCTGTGTTAGCAGGACGGAGAATAGTGTGCTCTCAAAGGCCGGACATGGGGAGTGTTGGCGGGAGCATGGAGTAGACAGAACGAAACACCCCTGTCTCGGTCAACCATACGGCAGACAGAGCAGTGGAGGGACAACGAAAGCAGGACGACGGGTCGCTGGCAGTGACAGGATGGCAAGCCTGCTCAGCTGATTGAAGGCAAACCATGTCCGGATACCATATAAATCTGGTTTTTGGTGCTCGCTGATGCAGCTGTCCCGTTGTTCCACGTGTAGAAATTTTGTACTACTAGTAGGCCGGCGTATACAATATTGTACAAGGCCCGAGAGCTTGAGCCGAAACAAAGAAACTCGCGACATGTCACAAATTGTCACACCGCGTCTCCACTGCAACCGTGATGGTACAGTCGACTCGACGTTGAAGCATGTCTTAGCCGCCTTTAGGTGCTTTCCTTAAAGCAGCAGATACACTGAACGTCCCCCACATTGACTTGGTGTTCCTGTCATCCTCCAAGCAACTCAAAGCAAGAAGTATCATTTTCAGATTGGAATCTTGCCGTATCAAACGTCCCTCTGGCCGTTGCCCACGAGGCAAAGTCTCGGCCGGCGTCACTGACGCGTCCCTTCTGCAGAATCAACCAGCCTGGCAAATTGCAAGAGACTATGGTGGGCCGTGGCTCGCGTTCGGGCTGACAAGGCGCCTATAAACCTACGTCTACCACCTCGACGTACACTAAGACCGCTCTCTTACCAGCCATGCAAAGACACTCGCCGCTCGTACGGGCATAGAGGATGAGATGTCCGCTGTCCAATTTCACCTATAATTGGTCTATTGGGTGGAGCAGTTGTCGTTGTGTTTAGAGGCACGTAATTCTGCATTTAAAAGAAGGCGAAATACCACTTGCTCAGCTTATCGCAGAGAAAGTGTCGGCTGCCTTGGAATCTTACTCCGTGAAGAAAGACGCGTTGGCTGAAAAGGCTTCTGCTGCGAGGGCGTCTTACGAAGACAGGAAGAAAATGATGACGGAAAGGCTACCCGATGTCCGAAATATCGCGCATGAGCGCGTCGGAGACGCTCGAGAACGTCTCAACGGCGCATCTCCCCAGTCTCGCGAAGCTCTTCAGGAACACATGGTAAGAAGTCTTAACGGGATAATGTTTTTGCCGTGGTAACGTCGTGACTTAAAGGACGCAAATGAGCCGAATTCTACTGCGAGTGATGACCAAACCACCGAGAGCATACATCAGAGAAAAGAAGTCCCGGATGGCAGACGCACGGGAGTGGATGAGAACGCGCAGGAGCTGTTGAGTAGGTGACCGTTACTCTACCCCAGTATGATATAGGACGTGTGCACTGATTCCGCATCACTGGTTTCTCAAGCTCGTGCCTCCTGACCGCTATGGTCCTTGACTACCTGCGTTATTCTTCTCCTTCACCGCAACCCTCATTCTTGGCTGCCCGATGTCTGAACCATGTTGATAGCTTTTTTACTCTACTGGAAGGTGCTGTCCTCTGCGATGGTAGGTTGGATCACACGCCGATTCGGCGTGCACAGAACTTCTCAAGTTCTACGGAGAACTCTAGTTCCGTTTCCTTATCTTGGTCGCCTTACCACGTGGATCAATCATCTCTTGGACCTGTTTGTGGGTCCATCTCGTGTTTGAACGCTCGACAATTGACGTTATGCTTCCCACTTCAGCGAGGATGATCTGGGTTATGCTCCTATTTATGTGGCGAAGCCTCTCGGAAGGCACCCCATGATAGCCCTCGTGTCCTCAGCGTTGCAAGGGCGTGGCGTCAGCTCGATGTGCGGATTATGGACATTCCTGGGGGCATTTAAAGGGACATTGCGGCGTGCGTGATTCCCCGGATACTGTTCTTATCAGTTTCTGCATCATCATACTCTGCGGCTTAGTTATGGAGGTTTCCTCTACCGGCAAGGTCGCAAAGAAAGGGAAGAAGAGTCTACATAAACGCGCATCACCTCGCACTACTCAAGAAGAGCCTGCTGATATCAATTTGCCTACCGAAGCGTCAAGGGAACAGGTACTTCAAGCTGTGTTGAAGACCTCTCTCACTGCGGGCGATTTCGCGGATACGAAGTTCTACGTTTTCTCGCGCGCACTCAGTCTGGCACTGTGAACAAGCCTCTCGCCGTCTTCGCGAACAGCGTCGCCGTCAGGAAGGCGTCACCTCACTTCGAGCGTCGTGAGTATTTGAGTTATTCTATTTACGATACCGGGCCCGGATGGCTTAACCTCTGTGTTCAGTGTTGTCCGGCGGATTCATGGAGAGTCAGGTTACCGCCTTGGATGCAGAGAACCATCTCCCACAGAATTTATTCACAAACGAGTATGATTACGACTCTGACAGTGATCTGGATGACGACGAAGATGAGACTGATGGGCAAGGTTCACAAGCCGCTCCTCTAACGCCGAAGAGCAAGCTAGCGGACATCCGTGACGAAGAAAATATTTCGGCGCTTACATTCCGGGAAGTAGAGAATGTATGTCATGAAATCCTCGAAGTGATCTGATGCTCACAAGCGATGCAGCTTGAGGTACCTAGCACATCAAATGAGAAAATTCTCGATGCCTCTGATGCCATTCAGACCCTTCCGCGTGGAGGAAGAATTGGCCGAACGGTCTACATCAAGGACATAGCGTTTAGAACGTACGTACGCCCTAAGCCAGTCCTTACCGAGCTCACGCGGCATGAACGTCCAGTTGGCAGGCTTTCATTTTCTACGTGTACACCGGCAAAATTGAGTTCGCTCCTCTTAAGTCTCAGGGACAAAGTGGGCGTGATGCGAGCGTCGATGAGCGCGCAATGTTATCCCGGCCTCCACGCTGCTCTCCCAAATCGATGTATCGTCTTGCCGAAAAGGTCTGCGAAATTCGGCTGCGAAATGTTCGTCTCACTGACCGCTACCCCCCTCAGTACGACATGAAAGAATTGAAGGATTTGGCTGCGAAAGATCTGGAGTCGAAGTTGTCTAAGGAGAACATCTTGCCCGAGGTCTTTTCTGGATTCACGTCGAGGTGAGTTGTTGTTTGGCTGACCAAAGTAATCGGATGGGCTGATGTTATATCACCTAGATATCTGGAAATATCCACAAAACAGGTCGAATTCTTGAGTAACAACCTTGGGTCTGTCGTGTCGCAATTGCCGCAGTGGATAAAAAGTATCGCTATGGGCCTTTTGCCACACAGTGCCGACACGCTAGTATCCTTCATTCAGAAGGTGGTGGCGTTGAAAGTGGGCACACAGGCTGAGCCAGTATGTGCATATGGCTGCCGTTCGGGGTATAACCGCACTTGTCGCAACTGTAGTCGATCGATGTAGAGGATGACTACCGATACTACCTAGCAGAATGCTTCATATACTCTTCCTCCTTGAGTTTCCGCACCATGTTGAATTGAGGATGGGTAGCTACTTGCTGCCATATGTGGAGCAATGGTCTTCCGTATTACTTAAGTACTTCAATACTGCCCGCCAGCGGCGAGGTGATCTTCTGATACATCTGGACACGTGCCATACGCGTGACTGAACATGATCGACACGGTCACAAGAAACGTTGTAAGGGCCCCGAGTCCGAGTTGGCAGCTACAAGTTGAAGTTGCTCCGATAGCTAGTTCACTCGCTGGTGGGTTCAGTAACTCCTGGTGATAAGGTATATGAGTTCAAGAGTAGCACGACATTCCACTGGGTGTTAGCGCGTTCTTGCCCAAATTTGTGGCCGGTGAGTGCATTGCATTCAGGTATCATAAATAAGTGATATATTCGATAGTCGACTCCAATGGCAGTGAATTCGACTTATGGGTACTCACCCTGGGGATTCGCAAGACACAGCTGCTGGAAGTATCCTCTCTGCAGTGCAAACGTTCACTGCGCCAGATGCCCTGCCGCCCCAATCCCTACATCCCTTTTCCTTGACACCACCTTACGGATCAGTGTCATCATTGAGAGAGGTCATTGAACTAACCACTCAGATAACGAATTCGCTCAACACACACTTGTCATTGCCACTGTTAAACCCTAAACTACTTTCCCTATACAGACAGCTCACCGCCATCTCGCATACCGCTCAATCCGTCAGGGCGTTCTTTTTCTCGATTACAGCCGGTCAATCTCACGGTGTATTTTCTTCAGTCCGATCAGCACATACGCCATGCTGTTTCCGTGCTGCGCAAGCGAGTCGGAATCACTTACGGAGAAGACGTTCCTCTGGATCGCGCTACCATAGTTGATTGGTGCATGTCACGTCTCGAAGCTTGGGGTACCTCTGCAGGCATGGAGGCCTTCAGGGAAGAAGAACGGGATGGGCGCATGACTGTAGTGCTCGGCGGCAAGGTCCTTGTTCTAGACATTGACTTCTTGGTGGACAGAACCGATCCAGAAAAACCGAGCATCCGTGTTGCGACATTAAAAACATCATATGCCATCCCAAATGGTTCGGCCGGATCGACCACCGGATACTCGTTGTCGTTAGACGGGTTTTTGGCGGGCAGCTTGCAGGCTTTCCTTACGGAAGTACAAAAAGAGAGTGATGTTCAAGATAGCATCGAAGCAGGGCGACTGGGCATGCTCTTTTCGGAACATCTCTCCTATCTAATGAAACTTGACCAGTTGGCTCTTTCCGAAGGGGACGGCGGCTTGCGTTGGTTCAAGGATATCGATAACTTGGTGCTTGCTGTCGAACAATTTGCAACCAGTGAAGCTAATGCTGTGAACGCGTGCGTAGTCTTACGTTGGCTAAAGTGCTGACGAGATTGATCGAATTTGAGCAGCGGGCAGCGTGGCGCGCCCGTTCCACTAGATGTTTTTATCATGCGCTCGCATGCACTTCCTCTCCCATATCTCGCCGCACCCTCAATCTCGTTTCTGATTTCCATCTCACCGCTCTCATATCTTTCCCTTCTCCGCGCACCTGCGTCCATTCTTGCAGCTCCCGTGAGCAAGCTCAACCTCCCCAACCTAGACATTCCATTTGGCCGATTACGAAGTCACCTATCTTCTCATCCCCGTCCCGCGGGTACGACAGTGGCAACCCTTGTACTCTCTTCCGCGAAGATGTCTCTCCCCAACGCTGACCAGATTTCCATGCCCAACCTGGGTACACGGCCCACCTTCGCCTTGGTGCCGTCCGGTTCGGACATCGAGCATACATTCCCTCAGGTGTCCGACCCTGCGGGCACAGATGCACCCGGATGGATCCTGGATTTCACAGAGGGCGGGAAGTATTCTGGTGTGGTGATGAGTCAGTCTAGGATGCGAGAGGTCGAGTTTGTCGTGAATCCTCTCGGTGGGATGAATCACATCGGTAGCGTCCCTATGATGACGTTCGGAAGCGGGAGTTGGCTCAATCTTCTCGTAGGTGTTATGGTTTTTTGTGCCTCCGTTCGCTGGTGACCATTAGTTAATTTGTCCTTTCACAGCTTTCGCCCCAGACCACGCTACCTCCTGAACATTATACGGCGCTTTATGTCAGTGAATATATTCCTCACTCATGCTGGATGTTTCACGAAGTGCTTCATGTTCAGACTTCGCCAACGTCTGCTCATCCGCCTCTGCAATTACGACTCGCCGCACCGGAAGAGCCCGGATTCCTCCTGGAAGCGGTCCCTGTGCGGACCCTGAAGGAGGTATGGGGTATCCTGGAGGTGATTCTTTTCTTCCCTTCCTCGATGCTTCGTCCCGATATTCTTCCAGATCGTCAAAGAGCAGTGTTGGCTCAACGAAATAATTGGCGGACATCCTTGGGTTCCAGAGGGTCTGGCCGCTCAAGACGACACAGACATGGCCGACATCGAGGCGACAGAAAACGAACTAGACGCTCTTCTCGGAGGTGCGCGCCACAATCTCACTCTCATGCAAACACTCACGTCGTCACCACAGGTACTCTGAATCCGCGCAAACTGCCCGTCAATGTCTACCTGCCACCATCACCCGGGGACCTGTTCGATCCGGATGACCTGGACGCCCTCTCGCTGCCGTCTAACCATCGCGGAGCGAGGATCGTCATGATGTCGCCCGAGCGACCGCCCATGCCCGGGCTGGTTGAGATATCCGTCACCTTCGAACCCCGCCGGCCGCGCGGGGTCTCGGTCGAGATAAATGGGGCTATGGGGGCGGACCTCCAGATCGACGTCCTCGAGGAGGTGTGCAGACGGGGCGGACTGCTGGGCTTGCCCGGGAGGGTATGGGTGCAGGCACAAGGGGCTGTATAAGATCTACTGGAATGCCTAAACGTACAAATACAGTTACAACAATAGCTGGAGCACAAGTGGAGTTTCTGATAGCAGAACGGCGAGAGCATATCCAAACTTTAGTACACAAATCAAACCAGTCCCGCGAGAGAACATTTACGGACTCTACCAGTCATCACTGTTCTCTCCCAAAATGTCGTCCTCACGGGCGGGAGGAGAGAAGAGGGCAGTGACACCGCCCCACGAGTCATGGCGCGAACCGCCTGGCTGCGCATACACTGGAAGAGTGGGCGGCACAAAGCCCCGCGCAGCGGGTCTAGCTCCTCTCCCGCGGCTGACTCCAAAGTTGATGACCTGCCCGCGCGCAGAGCTACGGCCAGCGCCGACGGCGTTCAGGTGGTGCGACCGCCTGCGCGCGCTGGGGGAGGAGGGGTCGAGATTAAGCTCGAAAAGCGTCCGGAGCACCTCGCCCGCGTGCGGGAACTCGCCCTGCACGACCCCGTCGGCGATCTGCTTCAGGGTATTTGCGACTTCCGGGTTGGTGTAGTGGGTGCAGAGGAAATCGATCTCGAGCTCTTGTATCTTGTCATATCTGGTGTGCGCGGAGGAAATTAGCACAGGCAAACAAGAGGAAAGGGGGAAGGTCGTGACCTGGACGTGAATTTGGAAAACACTTCCTTGACTATGTTGGCAGTGGAGAGGCGCTCTTTAATGGCGGCGAAGGCGCGCGTCTGGAGCTCTGCCAGGCCATACTGCGGAATACCTAGCGTTATATACAGGGCGTCAAGCGAAGCAAATGCTAGCCCACCTTGTCCGCGAGGCGGTACATAGATTTGGGCGAACAAGGCGGCACGGAATTCGGGTCTGACAAGTAGAGCGCCAGCTCCACATTACGGGCCTCCTCGTCCCTCGACTTTAGCTGCATGAATTTAATCTTGCCTGTGTACAGGTAGAAGATGAACGCGCGCCACCTACGGAAATTTGAGCTCAAATCGAGTAAGGGAGGCGCGAATGGGTGCCTCACGTATGGAATGCTGCGTCCTTGATGATGATCTGGCGACAATTCCCCTGAGCGGAGGGCTGCGCTGCTTGGTTTGTTTGACAAAGTGCGGTCCGTCAACGTCTATTATACGCACGGGAACAAATATGTATGGCTGGGTCCCTCACCTGGTTGACCCTGTGCTTCATGAATATCTGCAGGACTCTCTTCGACTATGTCGATCACGTCCTCTTCGTAGTCCAGATCGCTATCAGAGTCATAGTCATACTCGTCGCAATACGGCGTCTCGTTCCCCGGGTATCCCGAATTCAGGTCCACCCTGGAGTTAGATTCCGAGAATCCGCTCGACAGCACTGGTCAATAGGCACAGCCCACGAGGTCAGAACGACCTCACAACGCGCACAATCGAACGAGAATGCGCGACAAGGCCGCGTGGTGCTCACGTTTATCCAGGTCCTCGATCTTCTTGAGCACGGAGCTAATGGCGAGGATGGGCTGCGGCTTGTCCACGCGCACCGTCCCGTCTGCGGTCACGTACTTGCGCGAGAACGCGAAGAACTTCACGTCGAGAAAGGCCGGGGACGACAGCGACGCCTTCAGCGCCTCCTCCGTCCGCGTCAGCGCGCCGACCGACGGCGAGATGCACTGCTGTAGGGTTGAAGACATTGTTTGTCTATCCAGGACGCTGCGAGGATTTATGATGGAGTGAGACTGTGAAAGTGCCGTCCCTCCGACGCTAAATTGTACAGTGTGTTGACGGTTGGACATCGCGAGCGCTAAGCGCCGGACTAACGTTCTTTCTTACTACGTCCGTGCCTGTGGGCATTCTGTAGTCCATGCTCTTGGAAGCGGCTGGCCACGAGACGCATATGGTCGAACGACTTATGGTATGTAACAACTCATCGTGATGAATCGGCCGAGCATAGCTATGGGGGTACTATGGGGGCACCAAGAAGCCGCCCAGAAAATGAAACTCGAAGATAGAAAACCTATTTTATAACACTTCCAAGCGGTACTCAAACAGTGCTCAGTCTTCCTAATCTCTGGGACCAGCTGGTATGTACATATTTTGCTTACTTTGGACCCAGCTCGGACTGATTCTGACCTTCGTAATGCGCACCAGCTCTGGGACGGTACGCGTCACCTTTCAATTTGCATGCCTGCCTGCCCATCCCCTACTACGCAGGTCGTCGACCGCATCGTCTTCTACACCACTAATACTGGCCTGCTGATGAGGTAACTGACCGCTATGCACACAGCGCGTGTGTCTGCTGACGCGCGCCATATTGGCAATGTTGTCGGGATCGTCGTCATCAGGTGCGCCCCACGTCCGCCTTCCCCCATGGCCGAGCAGAGGTGCAATTTCGCACGACATAATATACTTCTCCATCTACCTCTGATCAAGCGTGCGTCTCCCACCTCTCGAGTCCGCTGACCCTCGCGCAGTGTACACCAATGCGCTCATCGCGAAGTGCGTTTTGTCGCATCTGGTGCCGCCTGTCTTCCATAATTGACCATGCCGCCTGCAGGCTCTTTTGCGGCGGTGGCATAGACGATACGACACTGTCGATGTCCCTCGCGGCACGCGTGGGACGCACAGACTAGAGCGGGCAGTTTGTCAAGACTGATACGGCATCCCCCCTTCCCAGTATCACTGCACTGATACTCGCGCAGATTTTCCCGGTGTACATGTTGTGAGAACGACGGCGACGGATAGCTGGTACCCCCAGAGGACAATGGGGTACGGTCTCTATCCTGGTCCAAAATCCTCCTCTGACTGATGCACGCCGACGCTGACCGAGGTTGCACTTTTGTCAAACCCGAGTCCAGCGCGTACAACCCCGATGCGTCCTGAGCCCTGTTACTTGCTTGTTCATTCAGATAGCACGTGAGGCCGATGCAGTAGTCCACTGTGTACACTACTCTGCCGTCTGTTCGCTCTAGTCTCTATCGTGTCGCGCAATGATATCACCAGCCGTAAGCTACTGTTGACGAGTATAATTTTCTGACGGCACGTCGGACATGGGCTTAGATACCTATCGAGGGCTGCACATACCTTGGACCTTTGACCGTGCCGCCTTGAGATCCAAAATCCTGCATTACACGTACAAGTTCCTAGGTAACTAGACAGGATGTATAAAACCACAGATGCCCATAGACATATCAAAACATAAAAGTGAAGGAGCATAGCGACATCGAAAGCAACGTGAATAAGACCGTAAGAGAACAGCGACATCAAGAACTTGGATGAGAGCATGAGAACATAACGGCGTCAAAAATTGCCCGAGAAAGGGGGTCAATCCGAATTCCGCCTCTGGGCCACGGCGCCAGTGACATCGGTGGCATAATGATCAGGCGCTGGGAGAGATGTCCTCTGGGATATCACTAGCAGCAGGCTAAGCGTCGCTGGGACTGGCGGAAGCCTCAGCCGCAGCTCGCAAAGCGGCGGCTGCCTCAGCCTCCGCCCGTTGAGCCCTCAGTAGCACATCCTGTGCTGCCATCGTCCACTCCTCGAATTGCTCCGCAGATACCTTTGCTTTAAATTCCGTCTTCTTGGCCTCAAAGAGGGCCTGCAACTTCTCGTGCTGCTCGCGAAGCCGGATGAGGAATGTTGCGAAGTGGAATGCTTGGAGAGGCTTGGAGAGGTCGAACGTGCAGACATTCCGTTCTATGACATATATTTTCTACGATATGAAACAACTGAGGTGAGATCTAGTCGCGATCTGATTAAATATTGGACTGACCTTTGTTTGCGGTGACTGCCACGAAAGCAGAACAGCGCCCACCACCCCATTTGTGACCAGCGCGAAGACCGGGTGTCCCTCGATGCCGAGCACCGCGAGGAATGTGACTGAAGCCACGCAGTAGAACCGTCCCTGGTTAAGGGACTTTGCCTGGTCCTCATTCCAGCGTTTGTATTCCACAACCAACACTGGTAGTAACAACTGATCCTTTGTAACCGCTTCTGGATCCAGGTCCCGAGGTCTGTCACCGCTCTTGGTCGGGTCCTGCAAAACCAAAGGACTGCAGGAATTGATGAATGGATCATCCACATGTTTCTGCCAGTCGACGTTATCCGCGGCCACTACCCGAGAACGCGAGGTTGTTTTCTTCGGGCGAACCACCGGTGTTCCCCTTGACGGTTGCGAAGAAGGCCGAGATGCTAATTCACCAGATGACTTGTCCTTGTCCTTGGGTTGCGTCGTCAAGGTATGCTGTACAAGAGCCTGTTTCTTGAGAAACTTCTGAGTGGCTGGGGATCTCTTATCGTTAAAAGCATCTACAATATGGCTGACCACAATAGCATCACATATGCCCCTGAGTGGCTCCGATGCTGCGTGATTGCTGAGAATGTCAAGCATCTTGCTAGGTTTAACAGAAAGTGACTGTATCTGGATGGAGAATTGTAAAGCTTGATTCCATGCCACACCAGCCTGAGATTGCACAGGTGCTGGTGCTTCATCAAATCGAGGAGACGATAGCACAGCCGTGCAATGGTGGCGATAGCCTAGGGCTAAGTCTACCTGCTTTTGAGCTAAATCTTTCTGCAGCTCCGGTGACTCCTCATGACTGCTGACAGATTCTACAGCCTTATTTCGAGGGAAGGTGAGTTCTCGTTCAAACCTGCATATCCCAAGGTGAGCTCAATGATGAAAGCCATAATTAGAGTAGTCACTCACAGAACATACGGCGAAACAATGCGGTCAGAATCTGGGACACAGAATTGCAGAAGCATTTTGTCCCAGTCATATCTCGCCTCCGCTTCATTAACGGGGAGACCAGACAAGGCTGCATGGCGGCCGTAGGCACCCGCCGATGCATAGAGGATGGTAGAGAATCGACTCGATAGGATGGCCAGATGCGATGGATCTAATTTGGCGGGTTTCTCATTCGGCGCAAATGTCAAATAGTTTTCGAACAAGACCCTCTGAATCTTTTGAACAGCTTTGTCTACCGGTGGCATTCTATCCTGGTTTAAATCAGCACAAGGAGTTGATATCGGATGCAGAATCAGAATATCCACCACAGTTGACCACACTCGACTGGGCCAAGCAAATTCAACAACAATCTTGTTATATACATCAATTTTCTCGTTGATTTCGTCCGCATCTTCGGCACTGTCGGGCAACTTGATCAGACCAATCGGGAATGCCTTTCTCTCAAACAGCCAGGTCGCAGGTGTCACCGGCCCGTCGAATGCAACTGAAGTCGTCCTCGCCAATCTGGACACCGAATCAGTGGTGTACGATATGACCGCACGTACACTCACCTGGAACTCGATCTATCGGTCCGCGTGGCAGATTCACTTCTGCTTTTCCGACTCTTCGGTTCCGACATCTGCGAGGCCTTCTCGTCCTTCAGGCTCTGTGACTTCACGCTGTCTTGCTCTACGCCGGTGCGCGACGTCTTGGAGCCACTTCCCGTCTCAGACGTCGGACCACGCGTAGCAGATCGACCTCGACTTTACGATTGCGAGAAGAGATGGATCAGTCATGAACGATCACCGAGGTAGGGCTTCTCATACCTTTCAGTAGTCGTGGGTTTCCCCGGGCTTTCGATGATGCTTGGTAGTTTAGTCATCTCCGATGTGGGTGGAGTCGAAAGGTCAATCTCAACCTTGTTGTTGCCTCTGAGAGGGAAGGAAGGTGAGTTGGATGCATCTATTGATTTCTTATCAAGCTGCTCACCCTTCGCCGCGCGCATCGATCGTTCTTGCCCAATGCGCTACCCGTGTCCCCAGATCACCATTGTCCTGATCCTCATGTTCGTCCACATAGTCAGATCTCCAGTGATACGCATCGATAGCTGGTCGATGCTTCGACTTCGACACTATCCGCTGGCAGTGCGCATCTAGACCGAGTACAATCTGCGCTAGGGTGAGTGCCGATCGTGTGTCCGTGAGATCAAAATTCCCTATTGTTGCCCTAGAATGTGTACTGGCACACGCGATGTGCACAGCTGGCTGCAGGGTTATCAGCATCAAATCAACAATGAAGCCGAGCAGACCAACCAAGCAGTCACCGTCCATTTCTGTGCCGACCCAGGCGAGTAAAATACGGGCTACAGTGCCAAACTTCGAGATCTCGAAGCCGACCACAGGTTCATCGATATCCCAGACGCGTCGCTGATATGCGACACTAGTTAGCAGGGATCGGATATTGTCCGCGTCAGCCACGCAGATCATGGGCAAAACCGCGAATGATCGCCGGCCGGATCCGCTCAGCACATGTGCGTCAAAAGGGACGTCGATAGAGGGTCCACTGAGTTCTTGGGAGGTTTCGTCGGTGCTCTCTTGGTCCTCATCGGCGTAGTCGCCCTCAGAGTCTACAGTAGAGCGGGTGCCGTCAATAGAGAGATCCATGGAATTATGTGAGGAAGATCTAGCTGTGCCGTCGGACTGCGACCGAGTGCCACCGAAGCGTGCGTCAACATCCATGGCGTTCGACGGCGAGCAGGAGCGAGAAAATCCACTTTCGTCCACGACGTGAGAGATGAGGACAGTTGCAACACCATCGAATGCGACCTGGTTCGATCGTGGGGACACCCGCGGTAGAACAAACGATGCTTCATTCCTGTTATGCGGTAAAAAATCGAGTAATTCAGGGTATGAGAATACACGAACAAGTAGCAAGAATCTGGTGAGCATGCCATTCCGATCCCTTTGAAGAGAGGAGACCACAGAGTGACCGTCGGCCGAGGTCGGCCACAGTCCTGGAGAGATTCGAGCTCACGAAGAGCCGCCACAGTCGACAAGACTAAGTCGAATACCTCGTGGACACGCGATACGAATTGATCGCTGGGCTTTAAAGCTTCTTGGTATGATGTATCTTTACGTAGTTCGTCTGAGAGATGAGTAGCTATCGGGGAGACGAAAGGCCAGGGTCCGGTAGAGATGTACTCGGGAAGAGGTTGGGAGAGCAGAAGAGCGATTTCTTGAGCCTGAGGAGGCCATTCGGAAGAGTCAGCTATGTCGTGGAACACGGGAGACGGGCAAAACATTTCTAGAGAGAAAATAAAGGTGGGTTTGCCCCTTCAACTTGAACAGCTGCAGCACGTTATGATCAAGGTTGAGACACGGTGTGACAGCCTGTGACACGACGCGAGTTCAACGGCTTTGTTCGTCGACCCAAACCTGCACTGCAACGAGCATACTTCCGCATCTTATATGCAGTTGAATATGCCTCGCTGAAGCGGTTGACGATTTAGTTCAAGATATTGACCTTCTGCGCGACGGCTGTATCTGCTCAAGCTCCTTGTATACGCAGGCCTAGCACAAAATGTCGATGATCAACAGGACAGCAACATCAGCCGCCACCAAGAACGCAGCATACAGGTCACCCGGCGGGCATGGTGCGCCCGAAATTAGCTGATATCAATATCCCGTCGAACCGCGACGCGGCGTCCTGTCCACTGTGCAATCTGCAGTGTGGTCGACTGAGGTCTTTCATTCTGTCTCCCGCTAACATTCCCCATGTCCGTCTTCTTCGACCTATAATGTCTGGCCTCTGCGAGCTCACTATCTTCCGGCCTCCCGCTAATACGGATACGTCGCCCGCTGCCTGACGATTGGATTTAGTCAAGCTGAGCCTTTTTGTCGTCTTTCTAGATCTCTTTACTGGCACATGGTGCCGCTTCCTGTGCCCGCGCCCTCGACCCACCAATGTCGTCGAGTGACAACACTGTCCCTCTCGCCGAGCCTCCGAGTTAACGTCACACGAAAGCTGACAGGCGATGCCATCTTCCTGACATTGTTCACGTTTATTTTCGGATACGCTGCCTCCGCTGAAAAACCTACACCGTGGTTTCGCCCACTGGGAAATATCCCGAACTTTCCTCAATGGGCGTGCTTCCGCACCTGACGTTGGCTCCGTTTGGGCTCGATCTGCATTGCTCAAGCTCCGCGGCCGCGGCATCGACGATCCGACAAGGTCCCGCACGCGTGGGACGTTCAGATCAGAGCGAGCAGTTCTCGATGAACACGCTGCAAGGGGCCAAGACCGATACGACATTTCCCCTTCCCAGTATCAGTGCACTGATGCCTATTGCAGATCCATCCGGGTTGCATGTTGTGAAGACGACGACGACGGATAGCCGCTGCCCACCAGAAAACAACACGGTACGGTCCCCATGCTGGTCCAAAGTCCCCCTCTGACTGATGAATGCCCACCCAGACCGACGGCTGCACCTTTGTCATCACCGAGTCCAGCGTGTACAACTCCGAGGCATCCTGAGCACTGTTGTTTCTATTCAAATGGTACGTGAGACCGATGCATGTGTCCACTGCTGTGTATACTGCTCAGTGCGCTGCGGTCCATTGGCTCTAATCTGTACAGCCCCTATGAAGAACTCACTCGAACCACACCACGCGTACACTGGATTTTGGAGCACCCCGACCGCTCGGATATCCCCCAACTTAACACCTGCACCTCCTCGAGGAGATTCGAGCACATGCTGCCTCTCCCTTCATCTTTGTTCTCCGTTTTCTGCTCTGTGCTGCCGACCCCATCCAGCACAGCTACCGAGGAAGCAATCAAAGCATCAGACGCCTGCTCCGCAGCGTTTACTCGTCACCTCGGAAGTCGATTCGGAAGGCGAAATACAGGATGATAATGTGCGAGAGTCAACGAGCCTCCGAGCCGCAGAGTCTCTCCTTCGTATGGTGGTGTCTGTTGATGATTTGAACGTCTTCGGATGCCTCGGGCATCGTGACGCTAAGTCTTCCCGTAGATTCTAAGCGACGAGACGATGACGGACTCATTGTTGCGCCCCGGACCGTTGAATAGCCACACTTCGACTCGTGTCCGTCGAAGTATAGGCTCGGAGAGGTCATACGTATGTAGATGTTCATGTAACGTACCTGTCAAGGGCTGCACATACCGTGTAGACATATCACACCATAAAAGTGGAGGAGCATAGCGACTTGAGTGAGAACGAAAGAGTGAAGCGATATTAACAACGTGGACGAGAGCGTGAGAGCATAGCGACACCAAAAATTGCCCGAGAAAGGGTACAATCCGAATTCCACCTCTGCGTGGCATAATGATCAGGCCCTGGTAGAGGTGTCCGCTGGTATATCATTAGCAGCAGACTGAGCGTCGCCGGGACCGGCGGAAGCCTCAGCCGCAGCGCGCGAAGCGGCGGCTGCCTCAGCCTCCGCCCGTTGAGCCTTCAATAGCACATCCTGTGCTGCCATCGTCCACTCCTCGAATTGCTCCGCAGATACCTTTGTCTTAAATTCTGTCTTCTTGGCCTCAAAGAGGGCCTGCAACTTCTCGTGCTGCTCGCGAAGCCGGATGAGGAATGTTGCAAAGTGGAATGCTTGGAGAGGCTTGGAGAGGTCGAACGTGCAGACATTCCGTTCTATGACATATATTTTCTGCGATAACGAAGCAACTGAGGTTAGATCCAGTTGCGATTACATTAAACAACGGACTCGCCTTTGTTTGCGGTGACTGCCACGAAAGCAGAACAGCACCCACCACCCCATTTGTGACCAGCGCGAAGACCGGGTGTCCCTCGATGCCGAGCACCGCGAGGAATGTGACTGAAGCCACGCAGTAGAACCGTCCCTGGTTAAGGGACTTCACCTGGCCGTCATTCCAGCGTTTGTATGCCACAACCAACACTGGTAGTAACAACTGATCTTTTGTAATCACTTCTGGATCCAGGTCTCGAGGTCTATCACCGCTCTTGGTCGGGTCCTGCAAAACCAAAGGACTGCAAGAATTGATGAATGGATCAGCCACATGTTTCTGCCAGTCAATGTTATCCGCGGCCTGTGCCCGAGAACGTGAGGCTGTTCTCTTCACGCGAACCGCCGGTGTTCTCATTGACAGTTGGGAAGGAGGCTGATAGGCTAATTCATCAGATGACGTGTCCTGGTCCTTGAGCTGCGTCGTCAAGGTATGCTGTACAAGAGCTTGTTTCTTTCGAAACGTCTGAGTTGCTGAGGAGTTCTTATGGTCAAAAGCATCCACGATAGAGCTGACCACAATAGCATCACATATGCCCCTGAGTGGCTCCGATGCTGCATGGTCTCTGAGAATGTCAAGCATCTTGCTAGGTTTAACAGAAATTGACTTTATCTGAAGAGAGAACTCCAAGGCCTGACTTGACGCAGCACCAGCCTGATATCGAACAGCCGGGCTATAATCACGAGCCAGCTTTTGCACTGCAAGACAATGATCATGGTATGCCTCAGCAAAATTTGTCTGTGTTTCAGCCAGATCCTTCTGCATCTCTGGAGAGATGTCGCCACCGAGAAAGAAATCTACTGCTTTATTTCTTGGGAAGGTGAGTTCTCGTTCAAACCTGCATATAGGGTGAGCTTGATGATGAAAGCCATAATTAGAGTAGTCACTCACAGAACATACGGTGAAACAATGCAATCAGAATCTGGGACACAGAATTGCAGAAGCATCTTGTCCCAATCATATCTTGCCTCTGCTTCATTAACAGGGAGACCAGACAAGGCTGCTTGGCAGCCATAAGCACCCGCAGATGCATAGAGGATGGTAGAGAATCGACTCGATAGGATGGCCAGATGCAACAGATCTAATTTGGTTGGTTTCTGATTCAGCGCAAATGTCAAATAGTTTTCGAACAAGACCCTCTTAATCTTTTGAACAGCTTTGTCTACCAGTGGCATTCTGTCCTGGTTTAAATCAGCACAAGGAGTTGATATCAGATGCAGAATCAGAATATCCACCAGAGTTGACCATGCTCGACTGGGCCAAGCGAATTCAACAACAATCTTGTTATATTTGTCAATCTTCTCGTTGATTTCGTCCGCATCTTCAGCACCGTCAGGCAACTTGATCAGACCAATCGGGAAAGCCTCTCTCTCAAATAGCCAGGTCGCAGGCGTCACCGGCCCGTCGAATGCAACTGAAGTCGTCCTCGCCAATCTGGACACCGAATCAGTGGTGTACAATATGACCGCACGTACACTCACCTGGAACTCGATCTATCGGTCCGCGTGGCAGATTCACTTCTGCTTTTACGACCCGTCGGTTCCGACTTCTGCGAGGCCTTCTCGTCCTTCAGGCTCTGTGACTTCACGCTGTCTTGCTCTATGCCGGTGCGCGACGTCTTGGAGCCACTTCCCGTCTCAGACGTCGGACCACGCGTAGCAGATCGACCTCGACTTTACGATTGCGAGAAGAGATGGATCAGTCATGAACGATCACCGAGGTAGGGCTTCTCATACCTTTCAGTAGTCGTGGGTTTCCCCGGGCTTTCGACGATGCTTGGTAGTGTACTCATCTCCAATCCGGGTGAAATTGAAAGGTCAATCTCAGCCTTGTTGTTGCCTCTGAGAGGGAAGGAAGATGAGTTGGATGCATCCATTGATGTCTTATCAAGCTGCTCACCCTTCGCCGCGCGCATCGATCGTTCTTGCCCAATGCGCTACCCATGTCCCCAGATCACCATTGTCACACTGATCCTCATGTTCGTCCACATAGTCAGATCTCCAGTGATACGCATCGATAGCTGGTCGATGCTTCGACTTCGACACTATCCGCTGGCAGTGCGCGTCTAGACCGAGCACAATCTGCGCTAGGCTGAGTGTCGATCGTGTGTCCGTGAGATCAAAATTCCCCATTGTTGCCCCAGAATGTGTACTGGCACACGCGATGTGCACAGCTGGCTGCAGGGTTATCAGCATCAAATCAACAATGAAGCCGAGCAGACCAACCAAGCAGTCACCGTCCATTTCCGTGCCGACCCAGGCGAGTAAAATACGGGCTACAGTACCAAACTTCGAGACCTCGAAGCCGACCACGGGTTCATCGATATCCCAGATGCGGCGCTGATATGCGACACTAGTCACCAGTGACCGGATATTGTCCGTGTCAGCCACGCAGATCATAGGCAAAACAACGAAAGATCGCCGCCCGGATCCACTCAGCACATGCGCATCAAAAGGGACGTCGATAGAGGGTCCACTGAGTTCTTGGGAGGTTTCGTCGGTGCTCTCCTGATCCTCGTCGGCGTAGTCACCCTCAGAGCCTACCGTAGAGCGAGAGCCGTCCATACAGAGATCCATGGAATTATGTGAGGTCGATTCATCAGTGCTGTTGGACTGCGACCGAGTGCCATCAGAGGGTGCGTCAACATCCATGGCATTTGATGGCGAGCAGGAGCGAGAAAATCCGCTTTCGTCCACGACGTGAGAGATGAGGACAGTTGCAACACCATCGAATGCGATCTGGTTCGATCGTGGGGGTGCCCGTGGCAGAACAAACGATACTTCAACCCTGCGGTGGGGTAAAAGAAATCAAAATCCAGCCATTCCGGGTATGAGAATACACGAACATGTAGCAAGAATCTGGAGAGCATGCCATTCCGATTCCCTTGAAGAGTGAAGACCACAGAGTGACCGTCGGTCGAGGTCGGCCACAGTCCTCGAGAGATTCGAGCTCACGAAGAGCCGCCACAGTAGACAAGACTAAGTCGAACACCTCATGGACACGCGATACGAATTGACCGCTGGGCTTTAAAGCTTCTTGGTATGGTGTATCTTGACGTAGCTCGCCCAAGAGATGAGTAGCTATCGGGGAGACGAAAGGCCACGGTCCGGTAGAGATATACTCGGGAAGAGGTTGGGAGAGCAGAAGAGCGATTTCTTGAGCCTGAGGAGGCCATTCGGAAGAGTCAGCTATGTCGTGGAATACGGGAGACGGGCAAAACATTTCGAGAGAGAAAATAAAGAAGAGGTTGCGCCTTGAAAGTCAAGTTGACTCTACCATCACGGTCGGGGTGGAAACACGGTGTGACTGTCTGTGACGCGTCGCGAGTTCGTCACGGTCTAGTGTTCGTTTCGGCATTGATCTTCTGCCACCGAGTGGTGTATCTGCTGAAGCTCCTTGTATATGCAGGCCTAGTACAAAATATCTACGGGAGGAATAACAGGACAGCAACATCAGCTGCCACCAAGAACACAGCATCCAAGCCACCCGGTGGGCATGGTGCGCCCGCAATTAGCTGTTATCAACATCCTGTCAAACAGTGACGCGTCGTTCTGCGTTCGTTGTCGTCCCACTACGCTATCTGCAGTGTGGGTGACCAAAGTGTTTCAATTTGCCTCCCGCTGACATTCCCTGGCGTGTCCGTCTTCTTCGAAATAGATATATAATGTCGGGCCTCTGTGAGCACATTATCTTCTGGCCTCCCCCTACCACGGATGCGTTGCCCGTGACGATTGTGTTTAGCTAAGCGGAGTCTTTTCGTCGTCTCTCTAGATCTCTTTACTGGCACCCGCTTCCTGGGTCCGCGCCCTCCGCCCTCTAATGTCGTCGAGTGACAGCACTGTCCCTCTCGCCGAGCCTCCGAGTCAATGTCACACGAGAGCTGAGTGAGAGCTACCAAGCCGCGCCACCTTCTTCCGTTGGACCGTCGATCTGTCGGTGCTCAATCTTTCTTCCTGATGTTGTTAACATTTATTTTCAGATATGATGCCTGCGCTGAGACACCTACACCATAGCTTCGCCCACCCCGAATCTGCCCCAACGGGCCTTCCGCACGTGGCATTGACTCCGTTTGAGCTCAATCTGCCTTGCTCAAGTTCTTGATGGCAGCGACTTCAGCACTACGGACTGCGATATCCTCGCTGGGCAGCGATCTAGGCAGGAACTCGGCCTACCAAACAACGACATGGACCATTATGTAGCCACCTCATCCCGGGCGCGGCACGCAATAGAGGAAGATGAGTATGTTGCATGTGCGAATGTCACAATACAAGGTTTCTCTCTGCCGGAAGAGCTGGACTCTAGAATTTTTCCGAGAAGAGAAGAGCGCATTCGCAACGTGTATTTTCTGTATTTTCCTTCTTTTTTCCGATTTTGTGTTGCTTAGGACTGGTGGAGCAGTCTTCAAGCTCCTACTGCAGAGTCTTCGCAGATAATCTGCCTTGCGCAACCACTTACACCTTAGCAGCTCAACCGTCGAACACAGGATTTGAGCCGTGATCCATTTTTTGCGGCGACTGCGACTAATATTATTCTTGTCCATAGGCAGCATAGCGAAGCATCGAACAATATCTCATGTGGTGCAGCGTCAACGCGTAACCCCACCTGACGAACGCCCGCACTCGTCCAACGGCTAAATTTGCGGAACGTTCTCTTGGTAGTTAGGCTATTCACGACCGAGGCGCGAGATAGTTGGCGACGACGCCTGGATAACGGCGAAGACGGTTCAATCGACGTTGCGCAAATGCGGTCGCACCGCGTCTTTGCGTTATTTGGCATTGGGCGGACATGAACCACGACGAACCGAGGATGTCCAGTGGATATATAGAGGCCCCATTGGCGCAGATCCATCCTCTCGGAGTTTTAAGAACAAGCGGTTACGCCAGCCTCGATTTTTGAGAATTTTCTAGGATTATCCGGAGCAGCATGCGCAAGAGCTCAGGACGCCTTGGTCATCGAGGCGATATTTATGACCGGGGCAGATAGTGGGCATCAGGCAAGAGACACAAACGTGACCTCGTTCGCAGCGGCGCCCGAGAGAGTATGCGTGTGTCGTGCGCAGCGAGAACGGCTGGGTAAACAAAGCTGCTGAGAACGCATATGCGAAGGCATGTTTGACGGTGTCAGCAGTGTGGAATACCTTCGATGGCGTCGGAGCATGGAGGAAATCACGTGGCGGGTACGATGTAGCGCGCCGGCTACTCCGCCATACCAAGGGGGGACGAATTTTGGTCTGACTTTGGTCCAAGGACCAAACCGACCAATCCACCAATCCAACCCTAACCCCAAATCACCAGACCAAATCAGTCGCACCCATCACGTGCAACGCGCGGCCAGCCCAACGGCCCTACGGAGAACTCATTATTGGGGGCACTAGGAAGCTCACGCGCGTGTCCAGAAACACTGGTCAATTATCGAAGCAACTAAGTACTTCTAGTGACACATTTTTGTAAGGTAGAAGCACCATGAATGGAGGGGAAACTCGGGGAGAGCCCCACCAAGGAAGACGGAAAATCGAAGAAAATAAAATCAACCGTGCATTTACAAAACGGTGGCGGCGGCCAATTCGCTGGAGCCCTCGCCGTCGTCGTGGCTGCCAGTGACAGGTGCACTGTGGAGGCAGTTGACGCGCAGGTACTTGATTCCATTGCGCTGGACGATGATATCTGCATGCTCCCTCTCCGACGTCACCTCGAGTGAGCCATACAGCTCGAAGAGAACGGCACCGTCATCAGTGATAACGGTGCGCTTCGACAGGAGCCCTGCGAACGCGCTGTACTCCATCGCATGGTCGCCACCCGTGCCGCTCTTCACAACCACGCAGTCGTACATGTCGCGAACCGCGGCAAGGAATGCTGCCGGATTGAAGTGAGTGCCGCCCGTGAAAATACCGCGCGGCTGGGGCCAGTCCGGGGGATGCTCTGTCACATCTTGCAGTGAGCCGTTGATCATCCTCTGCAATGTCTTCGGCTTCTGCATCACACCGTCCGAGCAGTATGACTTCTTGTGGTTGTTTCCTGCGCCCTCGGGACCAGGCCACATGATCGTCTTGCATCGCGAGCAGGTATGTGTCTTGCGCTAAGCAGATGGGTGTATGTCAGTTTGAGGAAGAGGATAGAAGTGACCAATCAGGCCTTACCGGTGTCTTATCACCACCCTTTCCACTCTTGACCAGACCCGGGACCGCGCTGCAGTGCTTCTTCCAGAAGTCTTCGGTGTTCAATTGCCTGGCTGTAAGCACGGAAGAGGGTCAGCCTACTGAGCTCAACGACAGGTGGGGAGGGTACTCAACATGTGTAGTGGCCGGTAACGATGCGCGCGATAATTTTCGGCTCCAGCTCTCCGAGCTTTTCCATCAGAGCACGGGGTGTCTTCCTTACCGTCAGATGTGCCTGCCCTCTCGACCGGTTGAATGCCTCCAGCTGGGTGTTGTACTCACTTGCCGCAATGACCCATTTCCGAGGAGTCATACTGAAGGATGCCCACCGCTTCTCCGCGCGCATGTCCATGAAGAGGAAGAACTCATCCTTGGTGTTGATAGACATCGACTGAATGTGCATGCCCATCGCCAACGAGAAGAGTCGCTGAGATGGTGTGAGACCCGAGATGTTAGGAAGGGGAAGTACGCTCGGCAGTGGCATGACATCCTGGATCTTTGCAGATGTGGCATTGCGTGCAGTATTGAAGTAACCAACTAGATTGGACTCAGTGCGACGAGGAGCTGCAGGCTCTCGAGGGGATACCATGTCCGGCACTCTGTTCGTATCGCCTGCACTGGATACCATCGCGATGTCCTTGACGGGCTGTCAGATGTCATGGGAAAGTGCCGGAGTGAGCGCGAGTGCATTGCCAAATATCCAGATGCACTCACCTCCACGTTTGGAACCCCATCGACCCGGCTGAGTGATCTGGTTGCAGAACCAGCTGTCTTCGCCCTCTTGCTGCTAGTGCCTACATCGAGAGTGGATCTCTCTCGGAGCCCGCTGCTCCCTGACAAAATGTGAGTGCCCAGGTCCTTGCCGATATCGCATCCATCGTCTGCCTTGCGCTTTGATGGCACTATCGATAGAGTCCGGCACTCATTGGGTGTTCGGCTTGGAGTGGTGAGCGCAGGGCGCACAATATGCGAGAGGGATTGTGAGGCTGCCAGACTGGGGCTCGACGTAGCAGGTTGCAGGATCTGGAGTCAAGAAGGTGACTGGTTCACTAAAAAGCGGTAGCACTGGCAGAAAACTCACCTTCTCGCTTGAGCCCATCACCACGATGTCATCCTCTACCGTCGAGTTTGCCACAATTACAGCTGAGGTGTTTGGCGTCGCAGTCCCAGCGCTGACCCGTGCAGTCATCACTCCCGAGCTTGAACCTGAATCCGGGGCGTCATCCAAGGACGCCGCAGTGAGTGTGAGTGTGGTTGGCTGCAACACGGCACCACTTCGCGGCAAATCAAGAGCAAGAGACGGGCGACCAGAGCTACTGGATGAAAATGCCGGCTTCAGCAGTAGGGCAGGGTCAATGTCAAGGTCACGGAGCATGTCCTGGACTTCCTCATGATCTTGCGATAACGCGAGATCAAGGAGGTCATCACGAGGCTCATCTTTTATCACGACGAGATTTTGGTAGTTTGCGAGGCACTTTGCACTGACAAGACCGAATTTTTCATTGCTAGAGATGACCTCGAGCTCAGGGAGGATGCGAAGACCCTTCGAGCAGTTGTCCGGCACCTGCAAGAGTGCATTCCACAATTTGGCAACAGCATCAACTAGCCGGATGTGATGCGACCCGTGCGTCGAGGTCAGAAATGTTGAGCACTGTTCGAGCACTGAGCCGATGCGAATGTTGCGACGCAGGACGAAATCGTGACACAGGGCGGACAGGACCTCGATTCCACTTGCATGGGAGCGCTGGAGTCCATTCCAGCCCTTGTGCGATCCTTCGATCCGGCTTCCGTCAGAGGGCACATCTTGTCGGGTCCGAGACAGGCAGCCCTTCTGCACATGTCCCAGTTGCTCTTCATGTGCCTACAAAATGACTGTGAGTACCGATCCTGCAATAGCTCGACCTACACTTGACTCACCTTCTGTGCGGCGACACTCCACACTCCCCCCCTTTTAAACCATTTCTCGTATGCATCCACCAACCTTTTCTCTTGTTCTAGCTGACTCCAATATACGGCCAGGTTGTGCTTATCTGCCCTGGTCTTCAGAACTGCATCCACAATATCGCTGGCGATGGCGCTGTACAGTGGGTTCTTGGTGCCATTGAGAATGCATATGAGGTACCTGTCATGATTTTTTGTTAGCAGCCAACCTGACTGACAGTAAGTGGAGTTCCATACCTCTTTACGAAATGCCATACATCCAGGACGACATGTATGTCAGGGAACGGCCGTTTGATGAACTTGACCACATGGCAACAGTTATCGACGACCGCCATCGATGGATCTGGATCGCCGAGCAGCCCAAGACGTTCCTTCAAACCTCCAAGCACCTCCTCGATCTCAAGTCCTTGTTGTGTCTGACAGAAGCGCTGCATTGGGCAGAAAGTGAGGGTGCTGCGTGGGGAGCAGGTGTATGGTACGTACCCAGGAAATTATTTCATTCCGTTCATTCATCACAGTCAGTATGCCCCCTTTAAATGACTTTGTCTTATTCTTCTTTCCATCCGTGACCTTGGCTTTACTCGCAGTGCGAAAGGTATTGTCGAGAGATACGCATGTCGCTAGAATCATGCTGACTCAACATCGCGCCACATACCGTGAGACAACTCACCACTCAACGTTCGAAGGTAATACTCCGATTCAGTTTGTCGCGTTTTCTCACTAAACTTGTTGTATACATCAGTGACAAGATCATCCGTGATGGATTGGTCGCTGTAGCCGCCAGCGCTGTTCGGCTTTGAAAACGAGCGAAGGAGTTCAGCCGGCACAAGACTCTGCTTGATTTCCTGTCGCATCTTGAAACTTTGAAGGTATGACAGCCTCTGCTTGTGATACTCGAGCAGATGCAGTTCTGGTGCATCGTTGGTGTCAGCTGTTATGCATCATGGTCACTTGATTTTGCTAATGCTCACGTTTGATATTCTCGGCGAGTCCTGCAGCTGTAGTCGACGGCCGCAGCTCAACGACAAGGTCGAACAAGTCGCGCGTGATGGCACAGCGCCTGAGACAGATAGGTATGCCGGCTGTCCATAAGTGGTGTCAGTCCGTGCTCACTCGGATTGACTTCACCTTACCAGGTATCTCCCAGTGCTCCCGCTTCTCCCAGAAGAGGGGGCTCGTTGTGGAGAAACAGTACGGACCCTCATCATCACCCTCGCCATGCACACCACATTGCTTTGCACAGGATTGACAGCGGAGCTGAAAACCAAGAGCCGTCTCCTCGCGAAAAATACCATGGACCTCACGATGACCAGTAGGCGTCCAACCACACCACTTGATGTCATCGGAGCTGCACTGTGGGCATCGCGCGAGCTCGGGGAAATAAAAGGGATGGATGACGGTGAGCGGCTTCAGATAGGCCGTCTCGGGTACAATGCCCGGTGTCGCATCTTGCTTGAACTCATCGGCGTAGGTGGGCGGGATGAAATGCGGACCATAAAGTGGGATTTCATGCCGGAGACTGACATTTGTCGCAGTCTTCGAATTACCATGTGCTTTGGTCAGCTTGTACACAGTGTTGACATATTCAACAACGTGAGCCTCCCATTCGAGCTGCTCCGTGTACTGAGACTGCGATGGCCGAGCCCGCTTCCACTTTTTCCAGCGTGTTTCAACCTGAGTGCGGGGAACTCGGTGAGCACACAGAGTCCTTGGGTGAAAGTGAACCATCAGACCTCCGTCTTCCAATTCTTCTCAAAATTCTTCTTCTTCTCAGAGGGCTGAAGAGCATTTTTTAGCTGCGTGATTGCAGCCTGAGGATGAAAGGCAGCCATGTTGAGATGAAGTGTCGATGTGGCAGAAGGCAACACGTTGACAGGGGCACAATCCCCTGGGTTTTTTTAACCCTTGTTTCACCTCAGATTGCTGCAGATGTAGTGTAAGACTCTCGCATCAAATTATTGTACATATTTCGCAGACAAATACCGAATGCATGCCAATTCCGTTTCTGGCTTCCTACCTTCAGGCAAGCTCAAAAACTCGCACCAATATTCAATACAAAGTCCATACCCACTAATCAAACCTCCCTAATTCCGAGAAGACGTGGAAACAAGTACGTGGTGCCCTGAGACACGACACACTCGAGGTGGAATAAGACACGAACCGGCTTGCCAAAAGGCACCTCAGCGTCGCAAGATGGAATGCACCGCTCTCCTAAATTATCGTAGAGCGGGAAGGTGTCCTCAATGGACTGTGTTACCAGGCCAACGTCAGCGGAACAAAGTTGTGTCAGAAGCCGCGCGCCATACCTGTCCAGCCGGCGGGCGCCAGCCAACCTGAATTTTCACTGAGTCGGTTTCCGGGTCCGTGCGCATCGCATGAATGGTATCGATGGGGACAGGGATCGCTGCAATAATTGTGTCCAATCCACGCACAACATTGCGCCAATGGATGCACGACACTTGATCAGGGCGTGCTTCGATCCAGCAGGAGTACACAGTGGGACTCTTCTCATCCTCGGGGAACAGACACTCATCTCCACATTTGGTGAGATAGCAGTCCTCGACTGCGATCTGACCAACAACCTCAAAAAGTGTCGGGGACATCTTGACATTGCCGGCCTTGGGAACAGTGGTCTGCGGAAGGTCGAGGTGCATGAAGCAAGAGGAGTGGTCCTCGCCAATTGACTTAAAGAACAGATTGTCGAAAGAGCAACCTTCTGGACACTCCAAGGAAAAGATGGCCTCTTGATACACACGGTCGAGGTCGGATGGCATGCTGAATAGGGAACCAGTTAAGTGAGATGACGGTCGGGAGAATCAGAGGAGAGGCGGTGAGGAGAGAGAGCACGCAGCCCGATCATTGAATAGGGGTGCCTGTGTAAGCTACGACAAGACATACTGTTGGGATACTTAGATTCCTGTGCACGCTCGAGCAACCACGCAGCGCGAGGACCTGCCATTCGAAGCCCTGAACTTCTTCATTCTACGTACGAGATCTCGGAGTTGGTGCGCCATCAATCAAAGCTTACCTAGAAGCCTGATTAGGAAATGTGGTTCAAACACTAGGTTCAACTTATTCTACGCGACAAATGTCGGTCTACACACCGGCCGTTACAGAGCCAAACAGAGGGAGATGTAGTTACGATCAGTAGCACGAAGCCACAGGCTCAAGTGGCGAAGGAAGAGCCAGCGCCTGTGCCACGCGCTGGACAAAATCCTTGCTACCTTTTGGGCCGATGCCTCAAGTAATCCTTGGCGTTTTCCGGCCCGCCTTCGGCGGGGAAAACCCTTGGAATGACTAATTTGCCTAGCGCGCCTGCAGCAGGGATACACAGCCTACGATCGAGCGCACGGGGGGATTAAATACAGCGTGTCGTCCTTGGGCATGTGTAAGTCAGGTGGCTCCAGCTGTATGTGTCGGCGCACATACGCGCCTGCAAGGCGGTGCGCGAGCGGCTGGTAGTCAGAGTTGACGATTCTGTGAACGATTCTGGTGGCGATTCTGAGTCGATTTCGGTGAACTGAATCGTGTGAAAATCCTATCAATTTTGACCACCCCAATTCCTCGCAGGTGTTTCTCGCGATTTTGTGCTGATCCCGGCGAGGATTTTGCTGTGCTGTACTGTCGAGGAAATAGACAGACATAGCTTCTTTATTAAGGGGTGCAACAAGCTATCACCCTATGCTGTTAATATGAGTGAACAGTAAGGAAGGCGTAGAACCTCTGAATCAGAAAGTACCGAGAATTATGTGGAAAATTATCGAAAATAAGGTCACAGCCCATATATTATCACCAGAGCACGAATCTATTATGGATTCTATGGAGGATAAGTAGTTGTTTCTAATGATTACAAATTTTGTAGTAGTAGATACAAAGGAACAAGAATCGAGGTGCGAGAATCGGCGATTCTGAGGTAGAAGCGCCTCCAGAGGCGATTCGACGATTCGACGCGATTCACGTCCGATTCTGATTCTGAGTCGATTCTGGATGCAAAATCGTCGTCAGAATCGGTGCTCGGAGAAACTCTGAATCGCCCCAGAATCGCCAACTTTGACTCCCCCTAATATTGTCTCGAAACGGCTTCGGATCTTTTCGCTGTGAGGGCCTGGACGAAAGCTCTGCGTTAATACTTGCATTTGGTGCGGTATTCGGGGGCCTGAAACGACGGAAGAGCAAACTCGGAGCGCGTTCTGTGCAAAGCGCGAGTAGGCGCCCAACAGGCGCCCCTTACAACATCCTATGTAGGTGTCTAGAAATTCTTCCGACTTCACAACTCGGTGAGCAACCATTTCCTTGGGTTACATTGCGCGACAACTCTCCGCACAATGTATATTTTAATCGTAACTTGTGTATCAATTTCTGTACTATGTAATCCTCTTTATAGACCTCTACTACCTTTATTTTGACTACAAATCGGCGTAAACGTTACTAGTCCGTTGTAACTTACACAACTCCTACTACCCCGATGTAATCGGTGTAACCTTATATAAAAATTTCCCGTTTTTGCTGATGCTTCGTTGACCCAAAGTCATCAGCAAAACCGGGAATTTTCTCCAAAGAGATTATAAAGGTGTAATCCCACGTAACTTGTGCAATTTTTTCACCAAGCAATACATTGCATTGTAATCCTGAGTCAGATTGCAGAGTTGCCAACTGGCATAATCAGTTATAAACTCTGGAAACATTTTACAGGTTATGAAGCTCATATAACTTCCTGCAAAATTTATTATGCACTTGTAGCACGTAGGCACAGACCGTCCTAAACAGACCGAAACCGATTCATTCGGATCGGTTTCATAACTCTCAAAGTATTCCAAATTATGTCAACATATTATATTACAGCGGTACAACACATACAAAGTGCTCTACATTAGAACTACTTGGGCCTACTCACTGCACCAAAACCCGCGTGCCGTCGAAACGCCCACTTACCGCGTAACAACACCCGCGTGCCGCCATAACAAACAAGTATTTAGGTCTACTTACCGCACCAACACCCATGTACCGCTGTAACTGTTAGAAATCGCGCCTTAGTTCCCAAATAGGAAGGTAGTGATGGCAGGTCAAGATGCGTCGGGGCGCGTGATTACGCGTCCTAAAATAGATTTCTGTATATATACAGTTCTAGACGCTCCACTTTATATAAGCAAATTTCCTTCTTTGTCTTTCTTTGTAATCATGCCCTCGGCTTGTCTGCCCTTGGGCGCTCCCCAATTTCTGGAGCTCCAGAAATTTGGGCGCTACTTTCCAACACTCCCCCTCAAGCCGATGGGCATTCCGAGCTTCTTTGTGAGCTTCTCGTGCCTCGGCTTAGGGAGTGATTTTGTTAGGATATCCGCTATCATGTCCTCCGTGGGACAGTAGTGGATATCAATATATTTATCCCTCAATTTTTCGCGCACATAATGATGCTTTACATCAAAATGTTTTGATTTCGCGTGGAATTGGGGATCACGTGCGATTGAGATCGCCGCTGTATTATCCTCGAATAAAATTGTAGGATCTTGTTGCTCGAAACCTATTTCTTTGAATAGTGTTCGGAGCCACACGGCTTCTTTTGCCGCTTCGGCGGATGCCATGTATTCGGCTTCCGTGGTGGATGACGCGACCGTGGTTTGCTTCTTTGAGCTCCACGTGATCGTGCCATTTCCTAATTTAAATAAATATCCCGAGATTGATTTGCGATCTCGGATATCGTTCACATAGTCTGCATCTGAGTAGCCCACAAATATGGATTGATCTTCGGGCTTGACATCTGCAATTGGCCCGTAGATTATTCCAAGTTCTCGCGTTCCGGATAGATAGCGGAGGACGTGTTTAGCAGCAGTCCAATGAGCCATTCCGGGATTGGCAGTAAATGAGCTAAGCCGTTGCATGGCGTGAGCAATGTCTGGTCTCGTGGCAATTGCCGCGTACATCAGTGATCCGACGAGCGATGCATATCCGTTGTCTCGGTCGCATTCGTCATCAGTTTCGGGTTCTTCTTTTTCAAGCACTGTATTTGGATCAAGAGGCATCCCGACCGTGTTGGCGTTCGTAAGCCCATTCTTGTGTAGGATAGACTCAATATATTTTGTCTGAGAGATTTTGATTGTCCGCTTTGAACGGTCTCTCTCAATTTCTATCCCCACAATTTTTCGGGGTTCGCCAAGGTCGGTAACTTCGAACATATTTCGGAGTTCCCTCTTCAATTGGTCCATCAGTGCGCAATCATTGGTGAATATTAATAGGTCGTCTACCCAAACGGTGATGATTTCTATCTTATCACCTTTGATCCGAATGTACGCACATGGATCCGAGAATAGGCGCTTGAATCCCGCATCTAGTAACTTGCGGTTCAGCACGATATTCCATTCTCGGCCAGACTGCTTTAGCCCGTAGAGGGTTTTCTTTAATTTACATATGCGGTATGTTCCATTGCTGTATCCTTCGGGTTGCCGCATATACACTTCTTCTTTGAGAGTTCCATTGAGATAGGCGCCTTTCACGTCCATCTGTCCGATCTCCCAATCTAAGATTGCAGCTAGCCCGAGGATAGCTCGAATGGTTTCGAGGCGGACTACGGGCGCGAACGTCTCGGTATAGTCCATGCCTGGGATTTGAGAATATCCCTTCGCAACCAGGCGGGCTTTGTATTTGATTATTTCACCCTCTTTGTTTGTTTTCTTAACTAGAACCCATTTATTTCCTACGGGTTTTCGATCTTCGGGAGGTTCCACTAACTCCCAAGTCTCCATACCCTGTAGTTGATTGAGTTCCGTCTGGACTGCCTGTTCCCATTTGGGCCACTCGAGTGATCTCTTGGCATCACTGAGCGTCTTTGGCTCATCCGCATCCGCATTTCCGTGGGCGCTCATCGCAATATAGACTAATTCGGCATTTGATTTATCTGGATCATTATCCAGATCTTCGTCTGCCTCTGGGTCGTGCATTAGACGGTAATCATGCCGAACTGTCTTTCTTCTGGTTCGTCTGGGCTGGCTTGGTGCGTCCGTCCCGCTTTCCTCGCGTTGATCAGGATCATTATCCTGTCTGCGCTTTCGCAGATTTTTGGCAGGTGACTGTGGCGCGAAAGTTTCTAACTCCCCCTCGCGCCGCACGTCTGCGGTCGTTGTGAGGTTTGGGACTTCGGGTCTTCTTTCCGCATGCGGCACGTCTGACGCATTGCTAGGTAAAGTGCCCGGAAATATATTTTGCTCCCCCTCACGCTGTGCTGTGAGGATAGGTACGTCAGATCCTATTTGCTCTTGTGGCACGTGAGGCGCGTTGCCGGGCAAATGGTCCGGGGAATTCGAAGAAAATTGGAAATTACGCGAGATTTTAATCTGGCGCGTATGTGCATCATAATATTTGATGGCTTTGGGTCCGTCCATGTATCTAACAAAAATATACTTGTTGGCACGGGGCGCTAGCTTTGATAGTGTTGCGTCCTCCGTGAGGACCCATACGGGGGAACCGAATTCTTGTAGGTACGAGATGTTTGGTTTCGTCCCATTCCATTTTTCTTCGGGAGTTGCCCCATTTAACGCCTGGGTAGGCGATCTATTTTTAATATAGACTGCGTGAGCAATCGCTTCAGCCCAAAGATAACGAGGTAGATCTCTCGCATAGATCATCGCGCGCGCTAGTCCAAGCAGTGTGCGATTCAATCTCTCAGAGACTCCATTCTGGGATGGTGAGTACGGCGCAGTCGGACCCATCTCGATCCCTTTCATTTGACACCAGTTAATTAATTCGGTGTTCATATATTCTCGACCGTTGTCGAGCCTGAGTCGCAAGGGTTTATTTCCAAACTTGCACTCGATATAGGTAATATAATTCTTTACCTTTTCAGTTACTTCATCTTTATGCCTCATAAATAGTACTGTACTTCGACGACTGTAATCATCGGTAAATGTAATAAAATATTTCCACCCTTGTAGAGCGGCTGTCTGCACAGGTCCCCACACATCTGTGTGTGTTAATTCTCCGGGTACCTTGCTGCATTCGTCCGTCTCTTTGGGAAATGGCTTCCACGTTGCCTTTGCTTGGATGCACGCCTCGCAATTAATTTCATCTGGGCTTGGCGAGATTTCTAGGCCATCAACAAGCCCTTCGCGATATAATCGCGTAAGCGCTGGTTTCCCGATATGGCCATAGATCTTGTGCCACTCTTCCCAGGTATGCGGGCCGTATTCCTTAGCAGTATAGGTTCGCACAGGTTGTGGAACTATTGGACGCAATTTCAATGAATATAGTCGTCCATTTTTCTTGCCTATAGCAAGAGTGTGTTTATTTTTATCTATTAGTATTGCACGACTATTACCCATAAGTACTCTTCCTCCCGCATCGTCCAAACGCGTGATGGAGAGGAGGCTATTGGGTGCTGTCGGCGCATACAGTACACTGTGGAGACGGAATTTCACTTTCCGGTCTCCTACTTTACTTTCGACATCGACCGTACCGCGGCCCAATGCCTGCGTTGGTTGCGGTCCGATGCCCGTGATCGCGTGATCTTCGAGCGCCTGATAGGTCGCGAAGACTTCACGACGATTTGTAATGTGCGAAGTTGTCCCGGAGTCGGCAAACCACTCATAGAAAGAAGCGATTTCGCCATCAGATCCGAGAGATACAGTGTCGCTATCATTATTGTAGGCTATTTTTGCCTCATCCTCTTTCGATTCGACCTCGCGCGCTTCGTAAGCACGTTCCGTCTTTTGCCGTTTCATCGGCGGGCCCTGTCCGGCTTTGCCGCCACCTTTAGCCCAACAATCCGTGGCCTTATGCCCGAATTTTCCGCAATTCATACATTTGACCTTGTCGCGGTGCCGACACTCGTTACCAAGATGTCCCGGCTTTCCGCAGATCGAACATTTTTTGTATTCCCCAAAGGGGCGCTTCTTTCCTTTGGCAACCATGGCTTGGTCCGAGGATTGACCGCGCTCGCCACGCTCGTGCCTTCGCCTATTTTCATCAAGAATGATGGCAATCAATTCTTGTGATGTAAGCTGAGGGCGCACGTTGTCAGCACCTTCGGCGCCAACATTGCCGCCCACGGCGCCAAAGTAAGAGCTGAGGAAAGAGTCCCAGCTCTCCGGTAATGAGGTAGCCAGAATGAGCCGGAAATCTTCGTCAGAAACAACCTTCCCCATTAGGTGGAGTTGTTCCTGGATCTGTCGTAGCTGTGTAATGTGACTGGAGATATTATCTTCTTCTTTGGCTTGCATCCGGTAAAAACGCCGGCACAGCGCGAGAATTCCATGCTGTCCACGCTGTTCCTTGACTGTGCGAAGCTGCTCCCACATGGCCCGTGCCGTCTCGGCTCCAGCGATGTGCACCATCTGGGAATCTCCCAGCGATAGCACAATTACGTTCTGGGCCTTGAGGTCCTTCTCTCCCCAGGCGCTAATCTCCGCCTCTCTCGCTGCCCTATTGGCCGGGTCATTACTCGGCTGCGGCTTCGGTGTCTTTCCGGTCACATACTCCTGGAGACCCTTATCATTAAGGATGGCCTCGACGCGGCGCTTCCACGGGAGCCAATTGTCTTCCTTCAGGAGCGGGATCCGGTAAGCATTGCTATTGCTCGTATTATCAGCGCTGGTCGACATTATTTGTTCTCGTACTAGTAAGGGGGTAACAATTTTTGTAGCCACAATAGGGGCTGTTGTTATCCAAGTATTTATTGGCTAGAGCCGGGGCTCATAACCTGTTAGAAATTGCGCCTTAGTTCCCAAATAGGAAGGTAGTGATGGCGGGTCAAGATGCGTCGGGGCGCGTGATTACGCGTCCTAAAATAGATTTCTGTATATATACAGTTCTAGACGCTCCACTTTATATAAGCAAATTTCCTTCTTTGTCTTTCTTTGTAATCATGCCCTCGGCTTGTCTGCCCTTGGGCGCTCCCCAATTTCTGGAGCTCCAGAAATTTGGGCGCTACTTTCCAACAGTAACAACCAACACTAGGAATCAACACACTTACATTTCCGCCCACAGGCATAAAACAATAGAGATTGAAATAGAACGCACCGCGTGTCGCTCCAACCACGGGAGCCCAACCAAGCTGCGCGCAACAACAGCCCGGTATCACCTGTGCGATACAGTTAGCCGCGTGTAACGGCACTCACCTGACAGGCACATTGCAGTGGCAGATGCTGCGAATTTATACACGAGTGAGGGTGGCGAGAATTGTCGGCGGACGGTAGTCGCGATGCATCGAGACTTGCCTCAGAATTGCCTCAGATTGCCTCAGAATTGCCTCGAAACAACTTCGGATCTTTTCACTGTGGCCTGGACAAGAGCCTTGCCTTAATGCTTGCATTTGGTGCGGTATCCGGGGGCCTGAATATGAACGATGCAAGAGCAACTCGGAGCGAGTTCTGCGGAGAGCGCTAGGCGTCTAGAAGTTCTTCCGACTGTGTAACCTGGTGAGCAACGTTTGACTTGGGTTACATCGTTCGACAACTCTTTGTCGACATGTATTTTTGTTCTAACTTGTGTATCAATTTCTGTTCTATGTTATCTTCTTTATAGACCTCTACTACCTTTACTTTGATTACAAATCAGTTTAAATATTACTAGTCCTGTGTAACTTACACAACCCTTGCTACCCCGATGTAACTGGTGTAACCTTACATAAAAATTTCCCGCTTTTGCTGATGATGCTGCGCCCGCAATTAGCTGATATCAATGTCCTGTGGAACCGCGACGCGGCGTCCTGTCCACTGTGCAATCTGCAGTGTGGTCGACTGAGGTCTTTCATTCTGTATCCCGCCAACATTCCCCATGTCCATCTTCTTCGACCTATAATGCCTGGCCTCTGCGAGCTCACTATCTTCCGGCCTCCCGCTAGTACGGATACGTCGGCCGCTGCCTGACGATTGAATGTAGCCAAGCTGAGCCTTTTTGTCGTCTTTCTAGATCTCTTTACTGGCACACGATGCCGCTTCCTGTGCCCGCGCCCTCGACCCACCAATGTCGTCGAGTGACAACACTGTCCCTCTCGCCGAGCCTCCGAGTTAATGCCACCCGACAGCTGACAGGTGATGCCACCTTCCTGACATTGATCACGTTTATTTTCGGATACGCTGCCTGCACTGAAACACCTACACCGTGGTTTCGCCCACTAGGAAATATCCCGAACTTGCCTGAACGGGTGTACTTCTGCACCTGACGTTGGCTCCGTTTGGGCTCGATCTGCCTTGCTCAAGCTCCGCGGACGCGGCATCGATGACCTGACAAGGTCCCGCACGCGTGGGACGCACGGATCAGAGCAGTTCTCGATGAACACGCTGCAAGGGGCCAAGACTGATACGGCATTTTCCCTTCCCAGTATCAGTACACTGATGCCCTTCAGATCCATCCGGGTTGCATGTTGTGAAGGCGACGACGACGACGGATAGCCGCTACCCACCAGAAAACAACACGTTACGGTCCCGCGTTGGTCCAAAGTCCCCCTCTGACTGATGAATGCCCGCGCAGACCGACGGCTGGACCTTTGTCGACGCCGAGTCCAGCGTGTACAACTCCGAGGCATCCTGAGCACTGTTGTTTCTATTCATATGATACGTGAGACCGATGCAGGTGTCCATCGCTGTGTATACTGCTCTCAGTACTCTGCAGTCCGTTCACCCTAATCTGTACAGCCCCTATGAAGAATCCACTCAAATCACACCACGCGTACACTGGATTTTGGAGCACTCCGACAGCTCGGATATCTCCCAACATAGCACCTGCACCTCCTTGAGGAGACCCGAGCACATGCTGCCTCTCCTTTCATCTTTGTCCTCCGTTCTCTGCTCCGTGCTGACCCCATCCAGCACAGCCACCGAGGAAGCAATCAAAGCATCACGCGCCTGCTCCGCAGCGTTTTCGTCACCTCGGAAGTCGATTCGGAAGACGAAATACAGGATGATAATGTGCAAGAGTCAATGAGCCTCCGAGCCGTCTTTAACAGAGTCTCTCCTTCGTATGAAGGTGTCTGTTGATGATTTGAACGTCTTCGGATGCCTCGGGCATCGTGACTCAAAGTCTTCCCGTAGATTCTAACCGACGAGACGATGACGGACTCATTGCTGCGCCCCGGACCGTTCAATAGCCAGACTTCGACTCGTGTCCGTCGAAGTATAGACTCGGAGAGGTCATACGTATGTAGGTGTTCATGTAATGTACCTGTCAAGGGCTGCACGTACCGTGGACCTCTGATCGTGTCGCCACGAGATTCATGATTCTGCATTACACGTGCAAGTTGACAGGATGCGTAAAATCGGAGATGTACACCTTGACATATCACACCATAAAAGTGGAGGAGCATAGCGACTTGAGTAAGAACGAAAGAGTGAAGCGATATTAACAACGTGGAAGAGAGCGTGAGAGCTAAAGCGACATCAAAAATTGGCCGAGAAAGGGTACAATCCGAATTCCTCCTCTGCGTGGCATAATGATCAGGCCCTGGTAGAGGTATCCGCTGGTATGTCGTTAGCAGCAGACTGAGCGTCGCCGGGACCGACGGTTGCCTCAGCCTCCGCCCGTTGAGCCTTCAATAGCACATCCTGTGCTGCCATCGTCCACTCCTCGAATTGCTCCGCAGATACCTTTGCCTTAAATTCTGTCTTCTTGGCCTCAAAGAGGGCCTGCAACTTCTCGTGCTGCTCGCGAAGCCGGATGAGGAATGTTGCGAAGTGGAATGCTTGGAGAGGCCTGGAGAGGTCGAACGTGCAGACATTCCGTTCTATGACATATATTTTCTGCGATAACGAAGCAACTGAGGTCAGATCCAGTTGCGATTACATTAAATAACGGACTCGCCTTTGTTTGCGGTGACTGCCACGAAAGCAGAACAGCGCCCACCACCCCATTTGTGACCAGCGCGAAGACCGGGTGTCCCTCGATGCCGAGCACCGCGAGGAATGTGACTGAAGCCACGCAGTAGAACCGTCCCTGGTTAAGGGACTTCGCCGGGTCCTCATTCCAGCGTTTGTATTCCACAACCAACACTGGTAGTAACAACTGATCTTTTGTAATCGCTTCGGGATCCAGGTCCCGAGGTCTGTCGTCGCTGTCGGTCGGGTCCTGCAAAACCAACGGACTGCAGGAGTTGACGAACGGATCACCCACGCGTTTCTGCCAGTCGACGTTATCCGCGGCCCCTACCCGAGAACGCGAGGTTGTTTTCTTCGCTCGAACCACCGGTGTTCCCGTTGACGGTTGCGAAGGAGGCTGAGATGCTAACTCATCAGATGACCTGTCCTTGTCCTTGGGTTGCGTCGTCAAGGTATGCTGCACGAGTGCCTGTTTCTTGAGAAACTTCTGAGTTGCTGGGGAGTTCTTACCGTCCAAAGTATCCACAATATGGCTGACCACAATAGCATCACATATGCCCCTGAGTGGCTCCGATGCTGCGTGATTTCTGAGAATGTCAAGCATCTTGCTAGGTTTGACAGAAACCGACTTGAGCTGAAGAAAAAATTGCAAAGCTTGAGTGGATGCTGCATCCGCCTGATTTTGAGCATCCAGGCTATAATCATGAGCTGGCCTTTGCGCTGTAAGGCAATGATCATGGTAGGCTCGAGCCAAACTTGTCTGTGTTTCAGCCAGATTCTTCTGCATCTCTGCAGAGTTGTCACCATCAAGAAAAAAATCTACCGCTTTATTTCTTGGGAAGGTGAGTTCTCGTTCAAACCTGCATATAGGGTGAGCTTGATGATGAAAGCCATAATTAGAGTATTCACTCACAGAACATACGGCGAAACAACGCAGTCAGAATCTGGGACACAGAACTGCAGAAGCATCTTGTCCCAATCATATCTCGCCTCAGCTTCATTAACGGGGAGACCAGACAAGGCTGCATGGCGGCCGTAGGCACCCGCCGATGCATAGAGGATGGTAGAGAATCGACTAGATAGGATGGCCAGATGCGACGGATCTAATTTGGCTGGTTTCTGATTCGGCGCAAATGTCAAATAGGTTTCGAACAAGACCCTCTGAATCTTTTGAACAGCTTTGTCTACCGGTGGCATTCTATCCTGGTTTAAATCAGCACAAGGAGTTGATATCGGATGCAGAATCAGAATATCCACCACAGTTGACCACGCTCGACTGGGCCAAGCAAATTCAACGACAATCTTGTTATATACATCAATTTTCTCGTTGATTTCGTCTGCATCTTCAGCACCATCAGGCAACTTGATCAAACCAATCGGGAAAGCCTTTCTCTCAAACAGCCAGGTCGCAGGTGTCACTGGCCCGTCAAATGCAACTGAAGTTGTCCTCGCCAATCTGGACACAGAATCAGTGGCATACAATATGACCGCATGTACACTCACCTGGAACTCGATCTATCGGTCCGCGTGGCAGATTCACTTCTGCTTTTCCGACCCTTCGGTTCCGACTTCTGCGAGGCCTTCTCTTCCTTCAGGCTCTGTGACTTCACGCTGTCTTGCTCTACACCGGTGCGAGACGTTTTAGAGCCACTTCCCGTCTGAGACGTCGGACCACGCGTAGCAGATCGACCGCGACTTTATGATTGCGAGAAGAGATGGATCAGTCATGAACGATCACCGAGGTAGGGCTTCTCATACCTTTCAGTAGTCCTGGGTTTCCCCGGGCTTTCGATGATGCTTGGTAGTTTACTCATCTCCAATCCGGGTGAAGTCGAAAGGTCAATCTCAGCCTTGTTGTTGCCTCTGAGAGGGAAGGAAGGTGAGTTGGATATATCTATTCATGCATTATCAAGCTGCTCACCCTTCGCCGCGCGTATCGATCGTTCTTGCCCAATGCGCTACCCATGTCCCCAGATCACCATTGTCACACTGATCCTCATGTTCGTCCACATAGTCAGATCTCCAGTGATACGCATCGATAGCTGGTCGATGCTTCGACTTCGACACTATCCGCTGGCAGTGCGCATCTAGACCGAGTACAATCTGCGCTAGGGTGAGTGCCGATCGTGTGTCCGTGAGATCAAAATTCCCTATTGTTGCCCTAGAATGTGTACTGGCACACGCGATGTGCACAGCTGGCTGCAGGGTTATCAGCAGCAAATCGACAATGAAGCTGAGCAGACCAACCAAGCAGTCACCATCCTCTTCGGTGCCGACCCATGCCAGTAAAATACGGGCTACAGTGCCAAACTTCGAGATCTCGAAGCCGACCACGGGTTCATCGATATCCCAGACGCGTCGCTGATATGCGACACTAGTCACCAGGGACCGGATATTGTCCGCGTCAGCCACGCAGATCATAGGCAAAACGACGAAAGATCGCCGGCCGGACCCGCTCAGCACATGCGCATCGAAAGGGACGTCGATAGACGGTCCACTGAGTTCTTGGGAGGTTTCGTCGGTGCTCTCCTGATCCTCGTCGGCGTAGTCGCCCTCAGAGTCTACCGTAGAGCGAGTGCGGTCAATAGAGAGATCCATGGAGTTACGTGAGGACGATCCATCTGTGTCGTCGGACTGCGACCGAGTGCCATCGGAGGGTGCGTCGACATCCATGGCGTTCAATGGCGAGCAGGAGGGAGAAAATCCGCTTTCGTCCACGACGTGAGAGATGAGGACAGTTGCAACACCATCGAATACGACCTGGTTCGATCGTGGGGGTACCCGTGGTAGAACGAACGATGCTCCGTTCCTGTTATGAGGTCAAAAATTAAAATCGTGCAATTCAGGGTATGAGAATACACGAACAAGTAGCAAGAATCTGGTGAGCATGCCATTCCGATTCCCTTGAAGAGTGAAGACCACAGAGTAACCGTCGGCCGAGGTCGGCCACAGTCCTCGAGAGATTCGAGTTCACGAAGAGCCGCCACAGTAGACAAGACTAAGTCGAACACCTCATGGACACGCGATACGAATTGATCGCCGTGCTTTAAAGCTTCGTGGTATGGTGTATCTTGACGTAGCTCGTCCAAGAGATGAGTAGCTATCGGGGAGACGGAAGGCCACGGTCCGGTAGAGATATACTCTGGAACAGGTTGGGAGAGCAGAAGAGCAACTTCTTGAGCCTGAGGAGGCCATTCGGAAGAGTCAGCTATGTCGTGGAACACGGGAGACGGGCAAAACATTTCTAGAAAGAAAATAAAGACGAGGTTGCGCCTTCGAAGTGAAGTTGACTCTACCCTCACGGTCGAGGTGGAAACACGGTGTGACTGTTTGTGACACGTCGCGAGTTCGTCACGGTTTAGTGTTCATTTCGGGATTTAGATCGATCTTCTACCACCGAGTGGTGTATCTGCTCAAGCTCGTTGTATATGCAGGCCTAGTACAAATGTCTACACGAAGAATAACAGGACAGCAACATCAGCGGCGAGCCAGAATGCAGCATCCAAGCCACCAGGCGGGCATGGTGCACCCGCAATTAGCTGGTATCAACATCCTGCCAACCTTCGACGCGTCTTTCTGCGTTCGTTGTCGATCTACTATGCTATCTGCAGTGTGGGTGACCGACGTATTTCATTCCATCTCCCGTTAAGATTCCTCATGTCCGTCTTCTTCGACGTACAGATAATGTGAGTGCGCTGTCTTCCGACGTTCCGCTAATGCGGATACGTCGCCCGCTGCCTGACGGTTGAATTTATCTAAGCCGAGTCTTTTCGTCGTCTCTCCAGATTTCTCTTTACTGGCACGCCTTACTTGGGTAGTATCTGGGCTTCGCAATCATCGGTGCAAGCTTTGCGCTGTAGCTCCAGTGGAGTTGCCCAGGTCCAGGCCCCGCCACTTTCCTGACGTTGTTAACATTTATTCCCGATATACCGTCTGCGCTGAGACACCTACACCATAGCTTCGCCCACCCCGAATCTGCCCCAACGGGCCTTCCGCACGTGGCATTGACTCCGTTTGAGCTCAATCTGCCTTGCTCAAGTTCTTGATGGCAGCGACTTCAGCACTACGGACTGCGATATCCTCGCTGGGCAGCGATCTAGGCAGGAACTCGGCCTACCAAACAACGACATGGACCATTATGTAGCCACCTCATCCCGGGCGCGGCACGCAATAGAGGAAGATGAGTATGTTGCATGTGCGAATGTCACAATACAAGGTTTCTCTCTGCCGGAAGAGCTGGACTCTAGAATTTTTCCGAGAAGAGAAGAGCGCATTCGCAACGTGTATTTTCTGTATTTTCCTTCTTTTTTCCGATTTTGTGTTGCTTAGGACTGGTGGAGCAGTCTTCAAGCTCCTACTGCAGAGTCTTCGCAGATAATCTGCCTTGCGCAACCACTTAACTTGAGCCACGGACCATTTTTTTGCGGCGACTGCGACTAATATTATTCTTGTCCATAGGCAGCATAGCGAAGCATCGAACAATATCTCATGTGGTGCAGCGTCAACGCGGGATAACCCCACCCGACGAACGCCCGCACTCGTCCAACCGTTAAATTTGCCGAACTTTCTCTTGGTAGTTAGGCTATTCATGATCGGGGCGCTGCGCGAGATAGTTGTCGACGACGCCTGGATAACGGCGAAGACGGTTCAATCGACGTTGCGCAAATGCGGTTGCACCGCGTCTTTGCGTTATTTGGCATTGGGCGGACATGAACCACGACGAACCGAGGATGTCCAGTGGATATATAGAGGCCCCATTGGCGCAGATCCATCCTCTCGAAGTTTTAAGAACAAGCGGTTACGCCAGGTTCGATTTTCGCCGAAGGATTATTTAGAGCAGCATGCGCAAGAGCTCAGGACCACCTAGTCATCGAGGCGATATTTATGACCGGGGCGGATGGCGGGCACCAGGCAAGAGACACAAAGGTGATCTCGTTCGCAGCGGCGCCCGAGAGAGTATGCGAGTGTCGTGCGCAGCGAGAACGGCTGGGTAAACAAAGCTGCTGAGAACGCACATGCATGTTTGACGGTGTCACTGTCAGCAGTGTGGAATACCTTGGATGGCGTCGGAGCATGGAGGAAATCACGTGGCGGGTACGATGTAGCGCGCCTGCAGCAGGGATACACAGCCTACGATCGAGCGCACGGGGGGATTAAATACAGCGTGTCGTCCTTGGGCATGTGTAAGTCAGGTGGCTCCAGCTGTATGTGCCGGCGCACATACGCGCCTGCAAGGCGGTGCGCGAGCGGCTGCACAATGACAGTAATCCGGGAGTTCGAGGCAGCAATGATGCATCATGTCTCTTGATCATCGTCGCACGTTTTGTCGTACGCGAGACAAATGCTACGGAAGCCCAGTAGAGCGAGACGCGTACGAACGCAGAGAACCGCGCGACGACTGCAATCGCCGATCATGGTAGCGTGGAATGGAAAGTGAGCCGAGATCGCCACCGTGTCGAGTTGGCTTCGCAGTGTGGGGCTCCGCACTGGGACGGGTGGGGAAATGAATGGGTGGAGCGTTGTTGCGTAACAGCGCTTGTAACGTGTGTTAGCCGAGTGGCCACAGACGTCACCGAAACAAGCCTCAGTGCTATCCATGATGACGGGTCATGTTGAGCATCACAGAAGCTCGTTTGGGAGCTCTGTGCTCAATCCTAATGCAGCAGCGTTTGCACCGCACCTCTTCATGCATCTACACCCGCTCCAAACGGAATTACGCAGGCTGAACATGCGGTACTGTTGGAAAACACCGACAGCGTTGCAAATTGGGTGGGCGGTGTGAGTATATGCTCTGTCATCTCTCACCCTGAGACCTGCGCAGCCAACGGCGCCCCATGAGTATGAGACGAATACTGTCGGTGTCCTGATCCGATGGACGTCCTCGACGCGTCGTCAATGTTATCTGGCTGAGAAAGCTGGAGAGGAGATGCCTGTACGCGCTCGAGTCCGTGGCCTGCTGGGCGGTGTGGGGTAAACACGAAAGATTGGGGAAAGTGGCGGGGAGGAGGGTGGACCGGTCTGGGCCGGGTGAATTGCCCGATATGGCATTTGACGTGTTGTGATTGAATCGGCGCCAGGAAAGGGCTGGCTCCGGCCCAGCGAAGGGGATGCATCTTCACTCTTGCCAGCCGACTATTTTCTCTCGAGTGTCTTTCTGTGTTCCTTCCGCCGTCCTTTGTCTCCCGCTCCCTTGCTCAGCCCGGATGCTGAAGGTGCAGCTCTCGTCGCCGTCCCCGGACGGTCCGCTGCAGACGACGCCCAGTCTCGCGGACCTCAGCAGAAATGCCTCTGTGATCTCCTCCTCCTCCAGCTCCAGCTCCACCTCAGACCTCACTCTCCAGTCCCCGGAGCGTCCCCGCCCTCTCCGAACCTTTTCGTCGCCACGCTCTAGGAGTCCCCAGTCTCCCTCCACCCCTCGCGGCTCCAGACCGCCAGCATACCTCGCTAGAGAGCTCGGTCTCGCGGAGCACAACGATGACAGGCCCGCAGAGTTGCGCCCTCCCGCTTCGCGAGCGCCGTCCAAGTCCCGCAGCAGCTCGGTCAATGGCCGCAACGCTGCGGACGACTACGAGTTCGGGCGTGTGCTCGGCGAAGGCTCGTACTCCACTGTGAGCTCTCGCGTCTCCCCAGCCGTCCTCTGACGGTCTGATCCTATCATCACGTAAACAGGTGAGACTCGCCAAACACCGTGTCACCCACCAGGAGTATGCTATCAAGATACTAGATAAGGGTCATCTGCGTCGCTACGGCAAAATGCCCATCGCTCTCGCAGAGAAGAATACCTTGGTTCGGCTGGGTGCAGGTCATCCAGGAATCGTGCGGTTGCATCAGGCGTTTCAGGACGAGTGGAGTTTATGTGAGCATGCAACAACCCGTGCAGTCCTCTGCAAAAGCTCATTGTCGGGCAGACTTTGTTCTGGATCTCGCGCGGAATGGGGAACTGAAGGATCGAATATCCTGCATGGGCTCTTTGTCAACTGCCTGCGCCCGCGTGTATGCGGCGCAGATTGTCGACGCCCTGGACTACATGCATTCCAGAGGTGTCATCCACCGGCAAGTACTCAATTCCCAGTGTTCCTGCCCATATGCTTATTTTTTTTCGCGGCAACGGTGGCTGCAGTGATCTTAAGCCAGAGAACCTGCTATTGGACGACGACCTCCGGATCAAGATCACCGATTTCGGCACTGGGAAAATTCTCGACCCCGGAGGTCAGCGATGCGCGTTCTGTCGGTATCTGCCGTGGCTGATAGGCTTCTAGGTGAACGAACCAAGACCTTCGTCGGCACGGCCCAGTATGTCGCTCCGGAGCTGCTCGAAGACAGTCAGACAAGCGAAAGGTGGGTCCCCATAATTATAATCGCGCTCTTCGCCGGTGCATCTGATAGCTTATCTTTATGTACTCCTTACCACCACAGTTCGGACTTCTGGGCCCTGGGCTGCATCCTCTATCAGATGATATCAGGGCGCTTTGCGTTCCGCGGGCTCTCGGACTACCTCACGTACCAGAAGATCAAGCAGCTCGACTACGCCTTTCCGGACGGGTTCGACGCGCAGGCCGGGGACCTCGTGCGAAAGCTTCTCGTGTGTCTTTCTCCCCCAGTGTCCCGGGCGCACCGTTGTTGAACGCGCTTGCATGGATGTAGGTCCGCGACCCGGCCGCGCGGCTGGGCGCCGGCCCCGCCGGGAGCCCGTACGACATGAAGGCCCTGCGCGCGCACCCGTTCTTCGCGTCGATCAGCTGGGGCACCCTCTGGACGGACCCCGTCCCGCCGCTCGAGCCTGGCCTTGTCAAGAGGCCGCACGCGAACGGGGGCAGCTCAGAGGATGCCAACCGGTCGTGGGCGGAGCTCGTCGCGGAGGGCGAGGATCCCGCCGACGACGAGATCAGCTGGGCGTCGGACGGCGAGGGCGCCGTGTACGACGAGCTCTCCAAGGCCGCGGGCGCGAAGGCGCCGAACGGGAACACGAACGGGAAAACGAATGGGAACGGGTATTTCCCGGGAGGAGAGGTAGGGCCGATGGGAGAGCGCCGACCGTACTTTGCACCGGTCCCCGTGCCGGTCCCCCAGCGCGAAGACGGGGTGCGAGAAACGATGCCGCCGCCTTCGGCCAGCGCGGGGTCTGTAGTGCGCTTCGCGGCGGTCCCTGAGGAGGGATCTGCGGAGGCGGATGTGGATGCGGACTCGTTCGAGCTGCGAAGCTCCGCCAAGGCGATTCCTGCGGCCGCGAAGGCGCAGCCGATCGACGTGCCGCGCGTTCCCCTTGTCGAATCGTACTCCACCGGATCTGCGACGAGCTCTTCGGAGGGCAGCCCGGTGGACAGATTGGACGGGCTCGCTGTCAACCGCGGGCGAAACCGCGCGCAGATACCGATACAGGGCAACGGCGTTATTGCGGACTCGGAATGGTGCGTGCGTTGCTGCTCGAGCTGCGCGATTTAGGTTCCGGGAGCTGACCGACCCACGTTCAAATCTAGGACGACGCTGCTGCTTCCCGGGGAGAACCTCGTCTATAACTCAGTTATCGAGCCGAGTGCCCCGAGGCGGCGTGCGAGCCGGTTGCTTGCGATGGCGGTTACGCCGCGGAGGTTCAAGATACGGGAGCTCGTGTTGACGACGCACCGGCTGCTCTGCGTGAAGCGGAAACCGGGCCGGCCGCTGCAGACGCGGCTTGAGCTCTTCTTACGCCAATGCGACAGGGAGAAGGACCTGCGGCACGTCGTCACGGGCGTGGAGGCCAAGGGCGAGCGCGAGTTTGTGGTAATGACGGTAAGCGTATATCGCGCAATGGTGTGCGCGCGCCCTGCGGTCTCAACCCTCTATTTTTAGGGAACGAAGTCGCATTGTTTCATCGCTGGCAGTGCCACCCTAGCCAGCAGCTGGATGCGGGAGATCCGCGCTGCCCTCGAGAGGTCGCAAGGACCGCCGAGTACGCGCCAACCTGTGCCTTCGCACCAGTGCTCACGGACGTGACTCTCTGTAGCCTATTTATTCGCACATCATGTTGTAAGTCCCCTTCATTCGTTATTCGCCCGCTAGGACGCTGTTTGGACGCGGCACACGCATTGTATTTAATTTAATGGCCGTCAGGACCCGCACCCATCCCCATGTACCCGTAGTTTTTTAGCGTAGGAGTCGCGCACGCATGATTTCGAACTCGAACACGCTTTTTTGTGCTGTCGTGTGGCAGTAATTGTTTCCCCGTTCTTCCGCTCGGTGTGCGCTCGTAAGGAGGCTTGGTGACAGTGAATATACATCGCTTGATAAATACTTTTGGACGCGTTGCAGAGTCGGAATGCTCTGGCCGTTATACAGGCCCAGAACTCAGCCGGGGGGAAGAAGGCTGGCGTCGACGGCGCCTTCCTCCGCATCGTCGTCGTCCTCCGCGGGTCTCTCGATCGGCGTCCGCGGCATGACCATCAGACCTGCGGAGGAAAATGAGGAACGTCAACCAACCACGGACAAATCGGATAGATGCACGCACCCGTGCGCGCCGCCTCGATGATGCCAAACGGCTTGAGGAGCCCGAGGAACGCCTCCACGCGCTTCGTCTTGCCGCACATCTCGACGATGACCGCGTGCTCGCTCACGTCGACGATGCGCCCGCCGAACTGGCTGGAGAGCACGGAGACCGCCTGGAGGTTGTCGCTCTTGAGGCGCAGCGCCTGCGTCGGCGTGAGCGGCGCGGGGCTCGCCTGCTGCGCGGCGTGCTCAAAGTGCTGCGCGAGCGCGCGCTCGCGCTCGAGCTTCGCGCCGCGCTGCGGCTCGTGCGTCGGCCCGCCGCGCAGCTGGTCTTCGAGGTATTCTGGCCCGAGGATGGACACCTTTACGAGGACGAGCTCGCGCTCGATGCAGTGGGTGTCTGTGTAGTCGAGGACGGCCCATACGGGGACCTGCGCACTCACAAGTCAGAAACGGTAAAACCAGGAAAGGGGGGAGGACTCGCCAGGTCTTCTAGCTGTCTCCGCGCTTGCTCTACGACGCCGTCTTGGCCGCGCAGGACGATGCACATCCGACTGAGGTCGCGGATCTCGGTGCGGCAGACGACCAAGGAGTCGATGTTGAACCCGCGCCCAGCCAGGATCCCCGACACGCGCGATAACACCCCCGGCTCGTTCTGCACGAGACAGTTCAAAACGTGCCTAGAGGGGGACCACGCTAAGTAATGTGCACGCTCAAATTGGTTGTCTGCAGCCCTGCATACTTTTTGAACGGCTGCAGACTCGGCGGCGGCGTGTTATACAGGATGTTCGTGACCGCCTCCTCGGCAGTACGCGAGCGCGGCAGGTCCATGGCGGGCAGCGGCGGTGGGCGGTGCCTCAGCGAGCTCTTGTAGTCGAGCGCAGACGTCGAGTCGTCGATCGGGGGAGGAGGCTTGGGCGGGGCATCTACCGAGTCTGGTGCCCTCCTGCACGGCGAAGAGGACAGGTAACGCGGTTTGAACACTCTCGCAGCGAGCACACGCCGTCGGGCAGCGTTGGCGAAGAGACTTGCCATGGAGAAAGCTGCAGCTGAGGAGCGGAGAGCAACTGTGTTTCCTGCCTTGAAATTAATGATCGAGTCAAACTACGTAAGTCACGTGCCAACAATTCATTCGGATAATGCAATTGATACAGTTTGCATTAACTCCCTCCTTAAAATCACAAATAATCACCTTCAATACTTGTTTACTTGCTGAACATGGCTGTGAATTTTGATAGTGACTGCAGGCAGCGGGAATGAAATGATAGGTGAATTAGAGCTCATTAGAGAAGGTTGCAACACTGCTTCAGTCTTGGCAGACTTTCCCTTTCATCAAACCACTCTGAATTCAATGGCACTTTCTGTAGTATCTAAATGCTTTACAAAAATTTCTGGTACAAAACTCTGCAAGGATGGAATTTGGGAGACAAGAAATTCTTGAGAGACACTAAAAATGGTAAGTCAGCTATCAAACTGCAGTTGCAATTGCATTACAGTGCATTGCATATCAACGTGGAATCTCAAGTTGCACACGGAGTGTGATGTGACATTCCCTTATTAGGCAATTCTCATACGAGTACAGCTACGGTGCAGTAGTGAGTCCAGTGGGGACAATGAGCTATGAGTAACCACAGTTTGAGACCCATGCAGTCACATCATCTGCTGTAACAGACTTGATAGCCTGGTGAATCAACCACAGTCGCATTTCCAGGTTGATGGCCTCTGCTTCATGACGATGCAGCCATGCCTTCATGGAGTGAAAGGCCTGCTCAATAGGGTTGAAATCAGGAGAATAGAGAGGGAGATAAATCAATTTTGCCCCTGCAACAATGTTAGAAGGTGAATTGAGGTGACAATGAACATACCACACTCATTGACAATAATGTGCCTAATATCCTCATCATGATGGATAGCACAATTGTCCATAACCACCATGCTGTTTCAGCCTGGATATGGATTGAGCTTTGGGGCCTGAAATGCTGGTTTTTCATAACTTTATCAAAATGCTCAGGAACATACCAGTTCTTCCTCAACAAATCAGATGAAGCATTCCTTGTTGACAGAGCCCTCAAAGATATCGAGAGCTATAAAGCCCTCAGTGGTGAGAGCAGGTAGGACAGAATAGCGCTGTCCTCGTATGAAGGTGTCCTGATGCATGCAGGCCATTCTCAACCCTGCCCAACCCTTTACATGCTGATTTGTCCTGTTGTCGACACTTGACTCATCAAGCCACACAAAATACTTCATGGAAATATGTCCATACTCTGCCTGCCATATAGCATGCAAGAGCTCATTCTGCTTGCTCACCTCCTTCGAGATATATTTGTGCATCTGTGCGAGGCAATGGAGAGACCGACAAATTGTTGTAATAGAGACATCAGTCCCATGAGCTTGGTACAACCTCTCCTGAATATCGTCGAGGTAGATTGCAGGATTAGCCTGGAGGATGGAAAGGATATATTCTAGATCACCAGTGTCCAAAGCCCGTGGACATCCCCTTGGCTGAGCGAGAGGGTTTACAACTTGACCATAGTCTCGGTAAAGTGTGAGGATGTCATAGACAGTTGACTTAAAGCATTCAGAGAGTGATACAATCTCTGTCACAGGAATCTCTTGTTCACAGTACCATTTAGCAATGAGATTTCGCAGCTTTAGAGATGTATGGTGACCCATTACTGCAATGCGCGATAGCCCTTAGCACTGCGGGAGGTAGCAGAGAAAGTATCACATTGTCACACTCCTACTTGATAAGGTATCTATTTGGCCAGAACAAACAAAAATTTGCCGCAGCCAATTCCAGTTTCATATGCAACACACTGTACTGTTTGAACACTTGTTTGCTCTCAATCACCCTGCCACCATTAAACCTTTGCTGTTGTGCTTCAAAAAAATACAGAACTAAGCTTATATGAGAGATCTTCTATGTACAAGATTTTTGAAGGTTGCAAGAAAGGCTGAAATCTGAAAGAGTTGCATTAGTGGGCAACTAATAGTATACAGTTGGCTGATGACTTTGTACTATGAGTTCTGATATATATTTCAAATCTTCTCACAATCAGCCTAGATATTTCTGCAAGGCCTTTTTACTTGTTACTATTTAAAATAAACTTCATTTATATAGTTTCTGCTAGCTTTGCTAATAGGTCTTAGAAGTGATCAATGTATTCACATTCCTCACCATTTTTCCTGTCATTCCATGTAGGTCATGTTTGAGTGTAAAGCATTCTAAAATGTAAACCTTCTTCTTACTAAAACAAATAATATTCAAAGAGTTCCCAATTAAATGCAATGAAGTAACAAATAATTATATCTACATACTTCACTTATACTATAAGGGTGTCAGAGAATTATATGTCTACTGAATTACATAGTACTATATAAGAGGCATGTAAAAATCAAATTCTGCATGTAAGAGCAAAAAATCCAGCTAAGGATGTCCAAGGAACCTTCTTTCCCATGGAAATTTCTCATGCCCTATATATAGAAGGTAACTGCTATAAAGGAAAGCTCAAAAAAGACTTTATAAGTATGTTACTTACTTATCATCTTTTTTTTGGCCTCATGTGTTTATTGTCCATGAGGACATAGCCCTACGATAGATATGGTACTAGTGTATGTAGGATCAAGAATAACTAAAAGAGGGTTTAATGTAAACAAAGTGTACTTATTATCTTTGTGACCCAAGATCACACCTACTAAGTGCCCATTTCTCCCTTTCAATCACCAGGCAGTAAACATCAACCTCTCATACCTGTTATAAGCTCTCTTTAGCATTAGTTTTCAACTGTGAGATATGGAACTTATGAGAATGAGCCTTCACTCATCTCCTACTGTAGGTTTACGACCAATCCAGACAGTCACAGGTCACACAGATTTTCAACGACCCCGCCAATAATTCTTTCTCAATTTATGTGATTTTTTGAGATTTTTTGGACCATCCAAAAAGGCAAAACCTGTCCGGATTGGTCAAAAACCTACAGTACTATTAGTTTCTTAAGTGAAAACAATTTTTGATTAAGAGCCTCAGATGCCCCCTCTCCCCTACTATGTCTTATATTTTGCTGGTGTAACCCCGCTCACATGCTTATGACAGTTTGTTTGTCCCTCCTTCCTTTTATGTACTGTTTATATTATGTTCATCTTCATTGCCTGTTCCTTACTCTCTCCCCATGGCAACGAAGATATGTACATGTACACTATCTGCTCTGTATCATAGTAGTGACTCTCTCCCCACGGTAATGAAGATTATAGTTCATGCCTGTTCTGTCTTTGGCTGATTCTGAGTGAAGCACGCCCTCGACCGGACCCGCTTACAGCTGGTGCATACCTCTTGGTATAGCCAGGAGTGCTAATATATAATGAAGTATGATAGTTAAAACCAGGAGAAGAGTGTAGAAAGAAGATCTTACTGCTCAGTCAATACAAAGCTATACTTCAGAAAAATACTAGCTAAGACAAATTCCATCTCATTCATTTCAGTTCAGTGCAGGTCAACCAGATCAGTACATAACAAAATAAGTCTGCTCTATTATTGTGTCACTAAAAAGTGGTTCTTGTCATAATAAACAGTTACAAGGTGTGCAGCATCTGGGAATTGATATATAGCAAACAGATAAATTTAATTTACTACATATGTGACCACTGAAGTTGTGTTGTTGCAACTTCAAAACTGGCTTGATGAAAATCAGCTCATAGCAAAGGCAAATCAAGATATAATCTTATAATTAAAATAATATTTTGTAGCATACAATATTGCTAATTACTAGTCTTGTAGGTTTTCTGGTTTGCATTGCAATGGTATGATAGCCTACTTAATGTTTCTTGAGCAATATTCCCGGATGCACCTTGAGCTAGTCTGCTTTCTGATGTAAGAGGTCAGACAATTTAGTCATAGCCTGAAATTTACTATGGATTCAATACACCATACCACTTCTTGAGACAGTATCTCTCCTTAAGAGGCTTCACTTTTTCTCACTCAATTTTTCATGTTTTTTCAAATATATAGAAGTACTATATATGCTACTATGACATGACTACAGAAAATAATGCTATTGTGCTAAATCAAATAAGATCAGACACAGTCAAAGTTCATCAAATCAGGCCAGGAGCATGAATAGAATTCTTCCCAAATGACAATCAAGAGTATTGACCAATGTAATTAGGTATCTGATATATCAATAGAAATCATCATTGCATAAGCACTATCTGATATTAATCGTGCAGTTCTCTCCACCAATCATCAATAGGCACAATGCAAGTTATCATCATACCACCTACAATGTTACCAGTGGAGTCACGCACTACACTTCGTACATCTCGATCAACTTGTGCACCACTTATCACAGGGAGGGGTACAGTTGCATCTGCATAGTGAAAATTCTATCAGATGATGCAACAATGGAAGATGGAGAATCTGCAGTGTCCACACCAGTGACTGCAATAAATCCTCTGTGACCCATGGCATGAGATTGTTCCCGAGGATAGAGAACACGCCTGAATTTCGTGCAAACGTGCTTCATCTTGTAAGGGTCAAAGACTTGGACATTCAAAATGTTGTGATTTCGAGCAATGCTTCCGAGGGAGAGATAACCGTGAGTATCAATTTCCTCCAGTGTCTCTTCAAACAATGTCATGTCGGTGGTCGGCGAAGGGTACCATCGCACATGGACATTTGATGGTGAGATAGAGCACCAGTATTTGAAGCAATATCTCTTCTGACGGCTATATTCTGAGATATAAGTCTGTGAACATTCCTGTAAGCATGCTGCTTACATCATCTATTTGTACATACTGTTATGTGGGCGACTTTGCTCCCGCGGCGTCGCCTCGATCCTTTGGTTCTGAACCTACATTACCTTCGCAACCTTACATACTCACACATACACATTTCGTACCGACAATATCTCTGCTCTCGTCCAATACACCCACATCTACAGTCTGGTCTGTGGGAGATTGCGCCGTCACAGTGTTTCCTGTCTGGCCAATACCAGACAGGCTTTCACTTTTTTTGACTGTTTAACGTGACTGTACGCACAAGTCAACCAATTACCCCGCACGGGGAATCTAACACACTGTAATGACCCCACAGTCGTGCGCATCTGCACAACACACCGAACAACGTCAGCGTTCCCAGCAACCCAACGACCATACCCCTGTCTCCACTGCACTGCCCAAACTGTCACATTGTAAACCATCTGTTGCTACTTTGCTTCGGACTCGTAGCCAAAGATAGCTGTCCCTTTCACCATTATCCGAAGTTCCCGAGTCCCCAAAGATCAACGACAATACATCATCATCACGGGAATCATACTCCCTCCTCGTCTCGCTGGTTTTAAACCAAGGTGTCGCACTTAGCACCGCATATAGTCACGCAATAGACTCATCCAGTGATTCCGACGATGAACCGCCACTCGCACAGTATCCCCATTGTTCATCGCACAGCATGCTGTTAAATACTGTTGCTTCCGTCGAACATTCGTCCGCGATGAAGGTCCCCATCCTGCATCCTGGCAATATCTCGCCCACCGTAATGTGCGAGTACGAACATGCTTGCAGGAACTACTTTGAGCACAAGGAGATCTCCGACGATAAACATGTCCGAAAGATCCTCGCTGGTATCAAGGACTCCAGAATATGCGATTGGATCGCAAGCAACCGCGCGTGAATCCAAGCGCTATCGTTCGATGCATTCCTCACTGAACACCGCACAAACTACCTTGATGAGAACTGGGAGGAGAAGACGCAACGTGAACTCCTCGGAATGTCCCAGAGAGAATCCACTTTCTGAGATTATGCCATTGCAGTTCAAGCCAAGAATTCCTTGCTCGTTAACACGGACTCGCACCTTGATGAGTCGAAATTACGCCACCAGATCGAGGCCCGTTGAAGGGATGCAGAGTGTGCTGAGGTGGGAATCACATCCGCGAAGCGGTCTCACATTTTGGAGATACGACAGGGTGCTACACGACCGACCCTAGTCCGACAACAGTTGGAAGCTGATTCCCAGTGGAAAACGCGTCTTGTGAGATCGCAGCAAGTCGCACGAGGTCGTGGCTGTGACCAGCTGCGACCAGCTGCGAAAATTTGGACTATATGCGATCTTGAGCGAGCCCAATCAAACGTGGTCGCAGGCTAGCACGGTGCCAAGCGGGAGAATCGAGGGATTTCGCATCTAGTCGAATTTTAAGCCACTGTATAATAATTGTATTGTTGTGATTTAATACAGTGTGACTACGCTCGACGTCGTGTGAGCACCCTCGCCGTCGTGCGAGCTCCTGCGACATCGCGCGATCTACTTCGACCTGCTCTGCTCATGCCCCCGCTTCCGCTTCCGCCCCCGCCCTCGCTCCCGCTCCTGCCTACGCGCGCCCACCCCCCTGCCCGCGCACATACCCACACCCACGCACTGGCACGCAACCGCACACATCCACACTCCCACACAAAGCTGCAGGCCTCCTTGCATTCGCTGTTGTCCCCGTTTTCACACCTGGATGCTGCCCAACACCTGTAATATAAGTAGAGTTAGTGAATATGTGTCATAGCATAGATAAAGAATGAGATAATGGTACCTAGGACATGCTGCAAACACGCCGGTGATGCCATACCTCAGAAGCTGCGGCATCAGTCCATACAAAACACCGAGGTGATTGAGCATCTCCGGCTTGCGCTCCGTGGGCCCCTGCAGCAGTGGTGACATCGCCGTGGCTGCACGGATTGTCGGCTTATCTGTCAGCAGCGATGTCGACTGCGGCGATACGAGACTGTCATGACGTGTCCTTGCTGATATGACGCACGGCCACGTACCTCGTCAATAGCGGCAGGATCAGGATAAGCGTGCTCCAGACTTGACACCTCGTCCCAGTTGAAGTATTCTCCACTGTAGAAGGGATTCAAAGCCTGCAGTGCACGCGTGCCATACCCCATCTGTCGCCTCCACAGTCAGCGGACACATCAGAGGATTACCGTCAGGAAGACGAACGCACATAGTCCGGATGTGTCACAATGTGCACCACGCGTGCGCCAGAAAGCAGCACGAACTTGTTCTCCTGGAAATGCTGCGAGATTAGACACTGTGCAGGATGCGGGCAGCTGTGCGCGCTCGAGCGCGGCACAACGATCGCATCGAGGCAGATAAGGCTGTTGAGCCACTTCTGGATGGTGTCCCCGGCCGCATATTAAATCGGTGTCTCGAGCTTGATCTCGTGCAGTGTACGTGCTTTCAGCGGTGCCTTGACGATGGGCTTCTTGGAGCTCGAGCTTGCCGCTGCATCGTCTTCGCCCGCGGCGGTGTCTTTAGTAAGCGAGGGGTGGGTGCTCTCATGGAGCTGTTGGATGAGCTTGAGTGAGAGTAATCGGCCGGTATAATAAGCATCGTGCTCTGGAGGTCAGAGCGACTGGATGCAGGAGGACAAGAGCGCAGACGTACGGTGATGCCTCCATGTCGCAGTCTCCGTCACATGATGAGCTCGGCGTGGGTGCAAAGTGATGATATACATAAGTGCAAGTACACTGGGCACAAGTACAACGAATAGTATATAATCGAGACATGTGTGCAGGCAAAATTCGACAGACGGCGGCCTTACGTCGAGCAAAGCGCAATTCACACGGGACATGGTACAGGATCGACGCGTCAAATCACAGGATCTCTCGCACGTGTTTGACTAGGTGGGATTTGGTTCGACCTCCTGCGACAGTCCAAGTCAAGCCGCGATCTGGTGCGTCTTGGTTCGTTCTTAGAATATGCGTTTTTCACTGGGGCTGATTATTGGAGGAGGGCACACTATGAGCCTGAACACTACTTCCAATTCCTCGACTATGATCCGCAACCGTCTCAAAGTACCATCCGCCAGCTCGCATCTTCCAGTGATTCCACACATGACATCGTACAGTTTGTGGGCCGCGTTGCGCAATGTCTCAACCTGAAGGTGCAAGGTTCCTGATGGCGTTAAAAGCTGAGGAACACGATTTCAGGAAAATAGGGACAGGACGACCGCGCACCAATGTCAGGGAGACCATCCAGTGGGTGGCCTAAACCAAAGTCCTCACGGACAGCGAGGTCGTCATACAGAACGTGGGCAGTCAAACCACGAGGAATGACCGCAGGAAGGTGATCCGCAATTCGGGGTATCATCCGACGACCACCTTCTATAGTGCGAGCTGTTGCCAGGTGTATTTTCACTTGGGCCAGGACAGGGATATCGCGCGGAAGGGGTAGGATGATCCCCACGCTGGCCGCTTCAGACTGGGCTTGGACCATAAAGACCTCAGGGACATGTGAGAGTCAGACAGTGAAGGATCATATGCTCATGGGGGCCTCACCAGCAGGACATGCATCCAGACTGCCCATGCTTTCCACAGGATCGGATCGAAGGGCTCGGTAAAGATCTTAATGCGAAGAAGAGCTTCCACGAGGGTGTATTTGCGAAGGATGATGCTGGCGTCCATGGATGGGAGATTGAGTTTAGGATGGGAGATGCCTCCAAGACGGGCGGGTCCTTATTAGGTGCTCGGGTGGGTTCGGTGATGGAGGATCCCTCAGAATGAGTAGGAGCATGAGGGGACGGGATTGCAAGATATGGCGTGATGGGCAGTGATTCAGCGAAGCGATTGTTAAGCAGATGCGGGCAGTATCGGAATGGCAGGAAAGGTCAGGACCAGTTAAGTATGATGGCAGGGGAAGAGGTCGGGGTAGAACTGACCGTCCCGGAAGGTACACTTGCAAAAAGCCTCATTCACATTCCCATACCATCCAGTTAGTGCATCTTTGGGCAGTCTTGCATTTGTGCGTTTTCTGGGCAGTCTTGTGTTTCTGTGTTTCAGCGTTCTTCTTAGAGCAGTGCAATTTTACCCCAACGCGTTTCCAGCGATTATTGCGACTACAGAGATTTTCCTAGCTACGCTTTCGGGCCACCCACCTCATACCTCTGAAATAGACTCTTCTCCTTCATTGCATCTCAGACCCCACGCAGACTTGATTCTGCTCGTACTCCTCCTTTCCAGCTTGCAATGGAACTACAATCTCATCACCGTATGAGTGACCATCTTACTCTGTGTGCCTCTGGCACTATGGACAAGGCCAACAAGATACCGGAGTTCAGGAAATGGCTCTCCGCAGTTAAGAGCATTGACGAGGAGATCCGCGAAAATTTGAAAGACTTCGAACGCATTGCGAATCGTAACCACGAGAACAACTGTCGCATCAATCCCGCTCAGCGAACCCTCGTGTCATGGTAATACCACCAGCGGTAACTACGCCTCTTTGGCCATGGCGGCTGTAGGTGGAGATCGTGCACCACGCTTGACAGAGGGAGAACGTAAGCTTCTCTTCGACAACGAAGAATGTCTCAAGTGTCGTAACTTCTTTGCCGGGCACAAAGCCGCTGAATGCACCATTGGATTCCCTATTAAGTTGACCTACCATACGCTCACCCAAGCTATGGCCGATGCCGCTCGCAGATGCATAGCCAAGCCTGTCGCCACTGTGACCGTGATTGACGGCCACAGCACAGGACCGTCGGTCCACCCTGTCACGGCAGTCATGGGCATGTCCTCTTTCCCCATCACGAACATGCCCCTGAATGTGTCGAATGTCCTCGATGATGACAATGACTCCGACGCAGAGAACTCGGTGAGTACAACCTCTCCGATCCCTTCCTCTGTCGCTGTATCACCAGTGCAGATTTCCCCTTTGCCTGACACCACAGGTGACCTGGCCCCTCTACGCATCGTGCATATGACTTGGCGCTGTTCTGCCAGTGGCCCTGAGGGTTCATTCCCTTTAATGTTTGATGCCTTGATTGACCACGGATCGCACACAGTCCTGATCCGTGAAGACTATGCCTCCAAGCTTGCACTCCATCGTCATCGTTTGCCTGTCACTGAACGCGTCAAACTCGCCATGCAAAGTAATGGCGAGCACGTTGTTGTCGAATTGTTCGAATGGGTCAAATTGTCCTTATATGATCCCTCCAACTTCTGGTCTGCCAAGTCTGTCCGTGCCATCATTGTCCCCAGTTTGTGTTGCCCTGTCATTCTCGGATTACCGTTCCTAGCACATAATCGTATTGTAGTCGATGTAGAGTCCTGTACCGCTGTTAATAAAGACTCGCTATATGACCTGTGCAATCCTGCCCGCATCTCCGAACTTCCCACCCCTCCTCGTACGACTCTGCATGAGTCATTTACGCAGGTTTGCTCCGCCCGTTCTCAGGTTCTGAACGAACTCAAGGCCATCTGTGTGCAGCACACAACATGCACCGCTGAACATGAATCGACCAGTGATGAGCATCGCATCATCGCCACTGTACGAGAACATTTGGAGACTCTTGCCGCATCGCAACGCCTGCGCGATTTGGCCAAGGACATAACTAATGAGTTTTTGGATGTTTTTGCACCCATACCTCATATTGATGCACTGCCGACCAATGTGTATTGCTCCATCGTACTCAAGGATGCACACCAAAAATTGCGGACTCGTTATTACAGCACGCCTCGCAAGTATAAAGAGGCATGGTCTACTCTAATCCAACAGCATTTGGACGCGGGACGCATCCGTCCATCCAATTCTGCTCACGCTTCCCCCACCTTCCTCATACCCAAAGCCGACCCTATCGCACTCCCGCATTGGGTCAACGATTATCGTGCGCTTAACGCAAACACCGTTTTGGACTCGCATCCTTTACCTAGGGTCGAAGATATCCTCGCCAACTGTGCTAAAGGAAAGATATGGAGTAAAATGGACATGATGAACTCATTTTTTCAGACCCGTGTGCATCCGGATGACGTGCACCTCACCGCCGTGACCACGCCTCTTGGGCTGTATGAGTGGCTTGCAATGCCCATGGGTCTACGCAACTCACCGCCGATACACTAATGGCATATGACATCGGCACTGCGGCCGTATCTCGGGAAGTTTTGTCATATTTACCTAGATGACATTGTGATTTGGTCAGATACCGTGCAACAACATGAACAACACATCCGACTCATCCTCGGCGCATTACACGCATCAAGCCTCTACTGTAACCCAAAAAAATGTGAATTCTTCGTACTGCACATTGATTTCTTAGGCCATCATATTTCGGCCAATGGCATTGAGGCACAATCATCTAAGGTGGACAAGATCCTGCAGTGGCCAGTTCCGAAATCCGCAATGGATGTACACGCGTTCTTGGGGATCGTCCGCTACATATCTGCCTTCCTGCCACATCTCGCGGACTACACCTCAGTACTCACGCCATTGACCATGAAGGAGTCCAATCAAGCATTCCTACAGTGGACCGGTGACCATCAGGCCGCCTTTGACGCCATCAAAGCTCTTGTTGTCAGCCGGGAATGTTTGACAGTGATAGACCACGACAATCCTGGCAACAATCGCATTTTCATCACCTGTGACGTGTCTGATTGGAGAACTGGTGCTACTCTCAGTTGGGGAACCACATGGGAATCCGCGCGCCCCATCGCATTCGATTTTATGCAACTTAACAGCGCTAAGAAGAACTACCCCATCCACGAGAAGGAACTCCTCACTGTCATCTGCGCCTTAAAGAAGTGGCGGGCTGACCTTATCGGCATGCCCATGCAAGTATATACTGACCATCGTACTCTCGAAAATTTTGATGCACAACATGATCTCTCGCATTGACAACTTTGATGGCAAGAATTCATGGCCCAATACGACTTGACCATCGTGTACATCAAAGGTGAGGATAACACTGTCGCCGATGCACTATCATGTCTCCCGCCTTGCACCTTCCCCGACGAAATGCCAGTTGAGCCACTACCACCGCACATGCTGTGGAACACACCAACGACATCCGCAGTGAATGCCGTGCTGTCCATCATGACCGACTCATCCGTCCTAGAGTTCATCCGCCGCGAATACCTCACAGATGAATTTTGCAAGAAGGTCATTTCCAATGCACCATCGACTCTCGGCGTGATGAACGCCAACGGCCTTTGGTATATAGGCGATTGTCTTCTCATTCCACACATTGACGACCTCCGTGAGCAACTGTTTTGACTTGCACATGACTGCGCAGGCCATTTCAGCGCAGACAAATGCTACACCACCCTCCGCGATGCCTATTACTGGCCCAACATGCGCAGAGATCTCGAGCAATCATATATACCCTCCTGCGCTGAATGCCAGAGGAACAAATCACGCACAACAAAACCCGCGGGTCTGCTGCACCCTTTACCAGTGCCTGACACTCAAGGCAATAGTATCGCTCTCGATTCCATCGGACCTTTACCTCTAAATGACGGTTTCGATTGCATTTTGTCCATCACTGACTGCTTACATTCCGATGTTCGAATCATACCGACCACCACGCACATCACTGCGGAACAACTTGCAGTGTTGTTTTTCGACCACTGGTTCTGCGAAAATGGACTACCCAGTGACATCGTCTCTGACAGAGACAAGCTGTTCATCTCGTGCTTTTGGAAGGCACTCCACACACTCACTGGTGTCTGTCTCAAGCTGTCAACTGCCTACCACCCAGAGACGGATGGCATTAGTGAGCACTCGAACAAGACCATCAACCAAGCAATCCGCTACCACATCCGTCGTAATCAAAAAGGCTGGGTCCGCGCGCTACCCCGCATTCATTTTGACATTATAAATTCTGTCAATTCCTCCACGAGTTTCTCCAACTTTCAAATCTGCTTCGGTCGTGCCCCGCGTCTCATTCCACCCATCGTACCTAACTCATCCCGCTCATCGCCTGGCGCGGAGCTGGATGCTAAGAACCTTATTGACCGCATCACTCTCGATATTAACAAAGCTAAAGATAATCTGTTTCAGGCTAAAGTACAGCAAGCTGAATACGCGAATCACTCACGCGGCAAAGACGATGTTTTCACCGTCGGTGATCACGTCATGATGCAAACTTTGCACCGACGAAATGAATTCAAAAGGAAGGAAGAGAAACGTGCCACTCAGTTCTTCCCTCGTTGGGATGGTCCTTACAATGTGATTGATACTCATCCAGAAATGTCCACCTATACCTTGGACCTTCCAAATCTTCCCAATGTTTTCCCCATGTTCCACGCCTCCGAACTAAAGCGACACGTGCCGAATGATCCCACCCTCTTTCCTTCACAAGAACTCGACCAACCTGGTCCAATTGTCACCCCCGATGGCCTCGAGGAATACTTCATCGACTCTATCATCGATTCTCGTTGCCGTGGCAAGGGCAATACCTCGTTCGGTGGACAGGTTACGGACCGGAACATGATCGCTGGCTCGCGCGATCTGCCCTTGAAGACTGCGCCGCACTGGACAAGTGGTTAGACTCGGATGGGGGTGGGCCAACTGCTCGGTAGCTTTTCCCACTGGGTTTTTAATGCACCCATTGTTCAGCGCCCATTGATGTTGTGTTGGAATTTCTTTTCTTTATCCTCTAACAGCCCATTACAATACTCACGCATTTCACCACCGTCCCCCACCTCTGCTTTACAGGCCAGAAGAGTGTAAGCATGCTGCTTATATCATCTATTTGTACATATTGTCATGTGGGCAACTTTGCTCCCGCGGCGTCGCCTCGATCCTTTGCTTCTGAACCTACATTACCTCCGCAACCTTACATACTCACACATACACATTTCGTACCGACAATATCTCTGCTCTCGTCCAATACACCCACATCTACAGTCTGGTCTGCGGGAGATCACGCCGTCACAGTGTTTCCTGTCTGGCCAATACCAGACAGGCTTTCAATTCCACCCGCACCAGTCATGCTCAGTAATTCTCTGGTATGATTTAAGATGATGATACATACCTACTACTTGCAGGTAACCATATTCCTGGATTGCTATTCTGATGCCAGCTGCCGCTTCTTGAAGGGGGCTTGCAATAACTTCCTTAAGACGTGGCTCCTGCCGCTAAGCCATACTCAGCGCAGTGTCCCAATTATGAGAGGGTTTGTAGCATACCATGACTTCTTTGACCCCCAAGGTCTGGGCAAGAACCTCATAGTCCAGAAACCCATCTCCATCGAGAGGAAAGTTTAGTTCCGTACATTGGTGATCTGAGGTGAATACGTAGTCAAGAAAGCGAATACGAATTTGCCTGCCATCAAAAGGATCAGCTACGTTCAGGACTGGAGGTTGCAGGTCATACTTGTATGCTGTGGAAACCCACTCATGGTGTTACGCGGCAGCGAAACACGAGCGTCTAGTCGAGTTGTCACGAGACAAGGTCTTAGTCTAAGACACGAGTCCGTTCAAGTGACACTTCTGGCGATGTCCTCGCACTGAAGGTCGATCAGAGTTCGTTCTTATGACTCGTAGTAGCTGTCTGCTACTGACGGTCGATCTCAGTCAAAGGCAAGTGAAAAGCTGGTTTAATGGTAACCAGGTCGAGATGGGGATCCAGCTCGACAAGGTTGTCTACTTATACAAAAGGTATCCGCAGTACTACGCAGTAATGCGAGATCGTTCATTGGCTAGATAAGGTGAAACGATATCTGGGCAAGGTAACAGCGAGGAAGTAATATGTATGAGAAAGCTGAGTAAGGTTGTGAGAGATAATCAGTACTAATGGGGATAACGAGTCGTGTATCAGAACGGGGTAAAGATGAGGCATACATGCACGTCTTGCATGTGTGATAAGAAGAAGGTCCGGAGTTGGATCCGGTGTAACCCTAGACTAGGAGTTCTGGACATCTGGATAAAGAATCGGGGGTTGCGCTCCGATGAGTCACGTGTTGGATCACGTGGTCTGGTAACGTAAATGGAACAAAGAAAAGAAAAAGGAAAAGATGCGCCACAAGTGAGGAGCGTTGTAACATCAGCTCCCGTCTAACGTTTCTTGTCCCACAAGAAATATTGTGATCTTCATCGTCGTCGGGGGCAGTCGCGGACATAATGATCTCCTCCACATCTGTAGCATGTCCACCGGTTGGTTCGTGATCCTTGTTCGGGGATACGTCCACCCCTGTAGGGATGACTGCGACGCGAAGAAGTGGATGCGGTCGAGAAAGATGGTTGGGATAATGGAGATCATCCACTGGGTACGTGCGAACGAGGAGGGCGAGGTCGAATGGGAATTGGTTCTGGCGACGAGCGAGGAGTGGATGCAGGTATTCCATTAGTGGTGTATCCGAGGATGTGTCCGATGTCTTCGTCCCCATGCTCCCTCCAGATCTCCTGTGCTGTACGAGTGACCGTACTGCGCATCAACGACCAGACTTGGTCGACTCTGGTTCGGGCTCTACTCGTCCTTTCCTCTGCTGCGATGAGCTCTTGTCTGGTCATTTGCATCCACTCGACCATTTCTAATGCTCGTTGCATGGAAACCACCGCTTGTCGATCTTGCGGGCGATTTCGTAAGGCGACAAGGATATCTGTGAAGTCGACAGGAACACGGATAGCCGAGATCAAACGTGTGGCAAATTCTTGTTCGTCCGATGCGTGACTGAGTTCGATGGAAGGTGAGGGCGATGATGCGCGGATAAAGGGTGTCTGTGCTCGAGAGGGTACTCCATTGACAAGCGTAGGTGATGCGGGTATGCTCATAATTGTGGAGGCGACTTCAGCGAGTATATTGTGAACGAGGTCGTCTATAGCGGAAGTGGGCATTGATGATATGTCGTCTTCTCCTCCTTTTTATACCTTTCGGTCGTTAAGGGGATCGCGGTTATCTGTGATGTGAAACAGAATGTCGTGGATCCGGGTAATAATCAAATAGATGAAAATCCATTGGACGATAAAAAGTATTCCCACAGAGATAAGAGCTGCTTGATCAGTTCCAGGCATCGTTCTGATCACCCCAGCCGTCAGCGTGCGGGCTGTCTCGTGTGAAGAGTGTGTGTCCAACAAGTCGTCTGATAAGGATTCGGTGGACGATCCAAAGAAAAGCGAGGGTTGTGCAGTGGAGGACAATTAGGAAGATGAAGAGGAAAACCGTCGTGGTAGTCATTCCGGGTTTCTTTTCCTCTACTGGATTCCCCTGGTCCTTTTATATGCATCGAGGATTCGCTTGGCATTCTGTAAATTATGGGTAGGTTCCCACGAGTTTTCTGCTGAAGAATATCCTTTCCACTTGACTAAGTACCTCAGATGACCTCGGTACGTCTTGTGATTCAGGATGGCTTCGACTTCATACTCTTCTTCGTTATCAACGACATCAGGTGGTGGGTTCATGTAATTCGGACCATGTATGTCGTTTTCGCGATAAGGAGATAGAAGGGCGGCGTGGAATACGGAATGAACTAGCCAGGTTTTCGGGAGTTTGAGACGATAGTTGGCTGGTCCGATGACTTCGACAATTTCGAATGGCCCCTCACGCTTTGGTGCTATCTTGCGCGAGGCGTAATTGACCTTCAGGTTCCTCGAGTCTAGCCAGACCTTCTGTCCTAGTGTAAACTTCGGCGATCCTTGTCTGACTCGGTCCGCCATCTGTTGTCGGGCCAACTCGTGCATGGCTAGTGCTTCTAGTCTTATCTTCTGCAACATGTCAAGCCTGGATTCAACCGATGGAATGTTCGTGGTCGGAAATACAGAAGGGAGTCCACGTGGTTCGTATCCCATCATGATGCGGAATGGGCTCATCTTCCGTGCCGAGTGTTCCCTTGTGTTATGACAAAACTCGAGGTCTGGCAGGCGGTCGGCCCATGTTTCAGGGTTGTTTCCGCAATAGAGTCGAAGATAGATTTCCAGCTCCTGGTTGACTCGCTCTGTTTCTCCGTCCGTCTGAGGGTGATAAGCTGTGCTCATCGATGATCTAATCTGGAGTAGTCGATTTAACTCTTGGAAGACCTTGGATGCGTATTGAGGTCCTCTATCCGAGATGATTCGGTCGGGTAATCCAAATCGCGAGTATACTTTGTCATGAAAAATCTTGGCCGTTCCTTCGGCTGTGATCGTTTTGAGGCATGGCATAAGAATCACCCCCTTCGTAAGGTCATGGTCTACTACGACCATAATTGAATCAAAACCGTTGGAAACGGGGAGGTCGGTAATAAAATCGGTGGTGCAACAGGAAAATGGTAATGCGTGTGGGTCGGCGGGAATTGGTTCCAAAGGAATACGAGTTGGATGAGTATTTGGTTTCATTTGTTGACAGGCGGCACAGCCTTCAACATAATTGTAGACAAATGTATACATGCCGGGCCACCAGAATTCACGACGTAACAGTTCAAGAGTATTGAACTTTCCAGGGTGACCCATGGCAGGGGAGTCGTGATGTAGTCGAACGAGGTCACGACGAAGAGTTTCGGATGGTGGAACATAAATCTTTCCCTTGTAGAGGATGACACCATCGCGAACTTCCCAGTCGGAAAGTGATGATTTCATGGGGAATGGCCCTTTGTGCGCAATCGCTTCGAGGGCTTCATGAACAATGAGGTCTTTTGCTGCGTGATTCCTGATTTCGTCGAATAGTGTCGGGGAAATGGATCGCATGAATAGTGCGTTGGGTAAAAGAATGCGATCTTCGTTGTCACTTTCACTGTCATCGAGTCCATTACGACGAGAGAGCGCATCAGATTGGATCATCTGAGTGCCAGGGACATGGATGAGGTGAAGATCAAATTGTGATAATTTGAGACTCCATCGTGCTTGTCGGCGGTTTAACTTCTGAGCTGTACGGAAGTACGTGAGGTTCTTGTGATCACTGCGAACTTCGACGGGATGGGGAGAGCCTTCAAGATAATGGCGCCATTCAGTGAGGGCTCGAATGATTCCGAGGAGTTCGCGGTCGTAGATTTCGTAGTTCCGTTCAGCTGGATTGAGCGTCTGTGAAATGTAGGCACAAGGATGGAGGTCTCCATTGATATCGGCTTGGCATAAAACTGCACCCGTAGCAAACTTGGATGCGTCGGATTCAACAATAAAGGGTTTTGCCTTGTCAGGCAGTAACAGTACTGGGGCAGTACTGAATCGTTGCTTCAATGTGTCGAAAGCTGTCTGACATTCTGTTGTCCATTCAAAAGGTGGAGATCCAGTGGCAGTGCGCGTAAGATTTGTCAATGGTTTGGCAATATCCGAGAAGTTGGCAATAAACTTCCGATAGAAGTTTCCAAACCCTAGGAAAGAGCGAACACCTTTTACCGTGCTTGGTTCAGGCCATTCTGCAATTCCTTTAAGTTTGATAGGGTCCATGCCAATGTAGTTTTCTCGAATGATCATGCCTAGGAATTCGACTTCTTTAACGTCAAAGAAACACTTTTCCGGTTTAAGGAATAAGTCATTGTCTTTGAGTCGTTGGAGTACGCGTCGGGTTCGAACGTGATGTTCTTCCAAATCGTTTGAGAAGATGAGGATATCATCCATGTAAATGACTATCCATCC